CCTCGCGCATGCGGCTCACTGATGCTGAGTTAGCAGCAAAATGGCGTTGTTCAGTGACTACCGTGGAGGAGCTCAACGATCTACCGTAGTGACTTGCGGCAAGAAAGAGACGATCGCTTGATGTCCGTGCACACCTCTGGCGAATCTGGAAACGTTTGATGGAAAAAATCAGCACTTCAACTATTTCGGAACGAGATAGCGGGTTTACTGAAGAAAAAACCGGAAGATGAAGAATATGATGATGATGATGACACGAAAATCGTGAAATCGCGTAAGAGCCAATTCTCTCGTGGGGAACTGAGGGCACGTAGGAAGTCTTGGGGAAGTATGTATAGCTAGGTATGGCCTGTAGACTATTGCTAGTGATTTTCAAGCAATGGTGAGCTTTCTCGCCAAGTTTTGAGGCGTTTTGTACGCGGATCACGTGAGATTTCACCCGTGTCATCCCTATATAGAGCGTCTACCGACGCTCTGATAGTCAAGACCTGGGAAATTTATCCACTGAAAGTGACGAGGAAAGTCCACGATGTGCTGAATGATCATTGGAGGTGAGAAATTTGTATTTTCGGGCCTGATTGTATTCTAAAACTCTCTGTGATTCTATCCTCGCAGCCCTCGCGTGGCTCGCTAAAAAGATAGCTCGATGCGTGACGTGTAAGGGAGACGAGGAGGAGGGGAAGAAGGGACCGGTGGGGGTCGGCCGGGAGGCGGGGGGAGAGAAACAGCGCGCCGCCTGCCGACGTGAGCAGCGTCGCCAGGAGCAAGAAGACCGTGCCTACAGCGAGGTCCAGACGTACGACTACGAGCAGTACGGATGACGTTAGGTCCGACGCTCCTAGATCCTCGAGAGGCCGTGCCTCCAGCTAGGGGGGGGGGGGCACATTATCTAATAAGCGCACACCGCGCGTATGACGTACTTCCGGTTATCATGAAGGCAAACACCTCAATCTGTATACTGCAGTCGGTGTTGGTCTGATCGCCATAGTAGCTGGAAATGTTCGTTTTTTTCAACATTGTATTTATTCATTATTTTTAATCCACAAAATATAAGAAGAATTTTGATTGAGAAAGAGACTGATGAACATGATAACAAAAACAGCATCTAATGAATTTGATCAAAAATACAAAACACACCAACACTGGGGCAAACTAAGACGCTACATATATATATATATATATATAGCGGTATCCTTTACAAAAAAACATTGAACACTATAATTAGATCATGCCTGATTGCTCAGCAGGTTGTTGATCAGTTCTGCTGTCGTCACGGTGACCGTAGTCAGGGTCGTTGTCGGGTGGTGATGGGAGGGGCTCCACGCCACGAGCCAGCATGGAGATGAGATGGCGATGAACTCTGTGCATACATACATATATACAATGGGAATGGGCTGATCAAACTCATTACATTGCGACCCCTGGGATTTCCCCCTTAATTAATTCCTAGACCTAATAGAGGCTCTTTGATTAGGGTTATACTATAGTAAATGGTAGAAACCCTTTTTCATGCACCAGGAATGTGTATACAAGTGCACTGCACTTTCATTGGTCGGTATCTAAGCGAACTTCAGGCTACTGAATATAGTTTGCTTTTGGTTATGCCACTGTGCTACCTGACTTCAATGTCGCTGTGTTGTATTTCATTTCCGTCGATGTTCCATCGCGACGAAAGGGGGCGTGTCTCACTAGCCTGTGCCCCTCCCCCTCCTCCTCCTCTCCCACCTCCCTCCCTCTCTCTCTGCTCCTGCTCTCTTCTTCTTATGGAGCTGCCTCTCTGGTTTGTAACCTCATCATCATCATCCTGCGGTAGAGGAACAGAAGAGCATTAAATAAAGAAAGAAAAGAGAGAGGGGGCAGGTTTTTTGTTTTGCGTGCCCCCCCATGTCAATTTTCAAGCTTTTTGCTCGCCCCATAAATCCCGCTTCCAGAGAGTTAAGTGACATTAATGAGTTTAATCCCAGAAAGAACACGAGAAAGAAATATGTATGTACCTCTTGCATGAGATTGTCTACAGATCTCTCTCTGTCTCTTGTCCCCTCCTCTTCCTCCTCTGCGAGGGCTCTCGTTCTCGGGACCTCACGAAACTTGAACTCCTTCACTCGCAGGATTTGCAGGTACGGCAGATCAAACTGGAGAATGGAGAGGGGAGAAGAACAAGAGGTTATCACAACTAAATCTTCGATTGTGCCACTTTCAAAATACCCACTATCCACGTACCATGTCCCGGCTCTTCTTTTGTCGCAGGAGCCAGCGAGCATGGCTCAGCTTCGAGCAGCGACTCAGCAGTACAATGTCCGTCCCGCCGTTACCGAGGTGACCGTACGGGGAGAACCCGAGGGGGGCGTGGTGGGTAGAGCAGGCGTGCGGACACACCATGACGTTGGAGAAATGGCCGGTCAGCTTCCTCCAGTGTTTCTGGTCAATGGCTGTAGCACACGAGAGCATGACGAGACCATTAGAACGTATAGCTAGCTTATACTGTGGTTTTTCCCCCTTCATTGGGCGGGCATTTTTGTTGGGAGCAAGAAAAAATTTGTACACAGTTTGCCTTGGTGCATGCACATTCGTGAACACTGAACGAAACCACAATATAGTACATAGTTCAGAGCCCTGATCCAGTCACAGTAAGCAGTAAGTAGAGGTTTACACATATGCAATACAAGAGGAGGGGGAGTAGAAAGAAGGAGAGAAGAGAGAGAGAGAGGGGAAGAGGGTATACAGTTCTCACTGTCTTCCTCGGAGTAGGTGGCCAGGACGGAGGCCCCCTTGTGGCAAGCAGAGGCCGGGGACTCCAGACTGCAGTCAAAGTTGGCACACTTGTTGCACCTGTTGTCATTACACAACAACAGCAGTGAGAGGAGAAGGCCTACGTTATCTTATATCCTATGTGGTGTCTACAGAAGGTCCATGTGGGCTATAAACTCATAGGGATGGATGCATATGCAGCTATGTATGTGTACTGGGGGAGTTTCTTTAATAGTTGTACGCAATGAAGCCACACCTCCATGAACACAGCAAGTAGTTACGCAATCGCTGACACGGGAGGCTTCAGTGCACAGTTGACGATACATGGCAACATGGTATGTGTTATGTACCGACTGAAGCATCTCTCTCGCTTCTCCAAAAAGGAAGTGGGCTCCTCAATGGGGACGTATGACAGCTCCACATCAAATGATCTGCAGTGTTGTTGCGTAATATTACACCATACAGCACATAAATATAACTAAAATGACTCCACCATAGAGCTATGTGCGTATTGAAATGTTGTATACGTAGTGGCATGTTTTAGTTAACCGTGCATGTGTGCAATGGTATAGGTTCCATACAAGTTACCAGTGAAAACTATAGCCACACTGCATTGCATTATGCAGAAAAATTTCTCCGCTAGAAGACAATCCACGTAAGATCTATCTGTTGTGGGCAAGCAAAGAACGGAGTGTGTCTTTGTCATTTTGCGACAGGGCAAGCAATGAACGGAGTGTGTCTTTGTCATTTTGCGACAGGGCAAGCAATGAACGGAGGATCCGCCGTGTACTTGAAACTGTAAGTACACGTGTGTCTTTGTCGGTTAAACTGTCACGGTGTGTGCATGTGTGTGTTGCCAGCATTTCCAATTAGTGCACATCATTTTCAATTAGTGCACGTCTAAACATAGTGCGAAACTGGCTGCTCACCTGACTAATTATCAGCTATGTATGCAGTATTGCTACTTACATACAGATATGCTCGCCTAAGAGGCCATTACTTAGGGTCAATCAGTCGTAAAACCTCACGACTTGCTGTCTCTTGTCTCATTTTGAGTTTCACAAAATTCTCGCTACAGTGGAACCCCTCTAATCCAGACACCCCGAAATTAAGGACACCTCTCTCTTATTAGGACACCTTTTGTTTCCCAAAGAACACTTTTTTGCCGAAACATCACCGACGTGGACACTTTCTTTTGTCCCCAATTGGTGTTCTGGATTAGAGGGGTTCGACTGTATATACACGCTAGAAGAGATACGGACCCCCACCCACTGACCTATGAGAGATGAGTGTTCGTATGATGGCAGCGTTGTAGCGCCGAGTCCCGAGCCAGGCAAAGTCCTGACTGAAGAGCTTCATGTCTGACCAGAAACCGTAGGCCATGACTCCGGCCGAGAACATCTGGAGCTGTCCGTTACGACTTATGCTGGACACGTCCATTGGTGTGTTGCATCCTGCAGTACAGAGAGGATAGTATTATACAGCACTTATGATCTGTGGAACCCCCTAATAAGGACTTGCTGGGACACAATTTTCTAACTATTGTTAACCCTATACACTGAAATAAAGGATAAGCTGAGACCCGTGAAAATTGTCCCTCTTAACTCTTAGTTAACCCAATACAGTGGAATTTCCCCAATAAAGGGATGAAAACGTATTTTCAGATACTACACTCATATAATACTAAGATATACTAGAATAAATCATTTCAGGACAGGACATTGACCTCGGGACATTGATCAGGACACCAAACAGTTCAGGACGGGCTCACCCAGCATGATCTGTGCTGCCGCAACGTACGGATCCATACACCCGAGAATGGAGCGAGCGACCGAGTTTGTCAGCCCGGTGGGTACGATCCCCAGCCTCTGGTTGACTGAGACGGGGGCGAAACGAGACCGCCGAGTGTTGACTCCTGATTGGACCTGAGCCTGCATGACTAGAGCCGTGAGCACCTCGTTTACTGTTCCGTCGCCTCCTACTGCCACCACACTGGGAGAAGGAGGGAGGGAGGGAGGGGAGGGGAGGGAGGGAGGGGAGGGAAGGGAGGGAGGGAGGGAAGAGTGATATATATATATATATATAGGGTCCTTTATAGACTATATAATATAGGCTATAAAGGACACTTGGTTCTGCCCCCTACTAATTAAAGGGACACCTCCGAATAATCACTGTGCTGACCCATCGTATTGGGAGAGGTCACAGTTGCGGAGTAAGTCAGTGGCATGGTGCACGTCTCTGCCGTACATTCGGCCATCGGTAACTGCAGGAGAGACAATTTTCACAACATGAAACAGAAAGAAAAGGTACAGGAAGAAAAGGTGGGTAGACAAACATCTATAGGCTTTTTCCTCGAATCAGAAAAGGTTTTTCCCACTTTCATGCGTCTTTCCAGGGGTGAGCTGTTAACACCTGTGTTTGTGCCAATACCTCAATTTAGAGGTATCCATGGTTCCAATGTATACAGTACTAGTCTAACACACATTTGGGAAAGATTGTTTGGGAAAAGTGCAAGCTGCAACACGTGGCAAGGGAATTAGCTGCTTTGTGTTAACTTACACAATATCTCCGTGGTGATGTGGGTGAGTTGGAAGAGGCGCTCGACCTTTGACCACACCCTCAGAGCCGTCCCCTCGCCACTGGCAGGGTTCACCACTACATACAGTCGCCGCGGCCGGTTCCCGAAATCTGGAACCAAAATAACACACCAGTCATGGAATCAAACAACACACATATTTCAATATTTCCCCTGAATAATTATACACAACGTGTATGCTGTGGGACCTAGGATACATTGGGGACGAAAAATTGTACAGATGTGCCCTTTACTCGGAAGCTAGTACGAAAGTATGTTTTAGCACCGGACACAATAAGCCTTGCATATACAGAAATGCAGAGTATGCATAAGTAAAAAAGGTATATACACGGACAATGTGTTTTACCGAGAGAAAGCTACTCACTTTGTAACTGGTGTTTTATTTGTTGCACCCAAATATCGCAGGCGTCCGTCACCGACGTCGTCTTTGTGCTCCTGAACGTGAGTTTTGTGAGAACGCCCGGGCTGCCCGGCACCGCCCTGAGGGCGTGGATGGTGAACTCGCAGCACGACTCCATGGAACTGGAGCTGAGTCTTCGAGGACCGCGAGATCGTGGGGGGCTGGGGATTACCGCAAATATGTCACTCAGATAGAGACACTCTTTACCTGCATGTATATAGAGTGAGGGGAGGAGGAATGGAGAAGAAGTGGGTTATAAAGTTTCAATACTATTCCTTGTGTCCTATTGAGCATGACCATTAAGAGACAGGAGATTGTGGAGAAAGGGGCAATAAGGGGGAAGAAGAAGAGAAAGGAGAGCAGGGAAGGCGTCAGATAAATTCGAAGAGCGGTAGGTAAGTACATATACAGGGGAATGTGGGCAGATGACTATAGCTACTGTCATGGCATCTCCTGTGACAACTACATATTACAATCTCCCACCAAAGCGATAAACACTTTCCGAAACACTTTCCGGGATGCAACCAGCTATATACACCACATGCTCTCTGTACCCAGCTACTAACTATATGTACCAGAGGATTTCACAGGAGCCCAGGTAATCCTGTCCTCCTCCAGAGTGACCGTGCACGTCTTCCCTCCCACTCTGAACGTGTCGGTCTGCGTGAAGTCGATGCGAGAGCTGAAACGGAGGGACTCGAGCCTGTCCACAACGGGTGTCCTTCCCCCTCCTCCTTCTCCACCTCGTCGAAGGAGCACCGTCTGGCTACCGCTACCGTCAGAATCGCTGTTGCTGCTTCTCTGCGGCGGTGGCTCGTTGAGATTCACAGACTCCAGAACACCGCTGCCCGGGACCTCGCCGTTGGGGCTGCTGCTCGGTTGCAACAACCCCATCCTCCTTCCCTCGTCGCCGTCTCCTCCCGGGTCCGTCTCACTGGCACGCCGCTGAGCTCGCAGCGCAGCAGACTGGGGCTTTGATTTGACCACGTCTGACGCGTCTTCGATGCCTTCTGCTGTTGAAGAGCTGGCTAGAGCCGCCATCTTGTCTCGGAGCAAGACTTTGCGCTGGATGGCACGCACACTCGTCACGGGGGGCTCCCGAAGTTAGCACAGCTAGAAAGGTGGGACCGATCGCGGAGGAAGCGGTTCTAAATAATGCCCAGCAATAAACACCGCGTCCAGACGTCCGTTCCCGAATTAGATGTTGACGCGGAATGGAGACAAATGAATGCGGGGGCGTTCCTTCGCTCACGCGATCATCTAACCATCGATCGATGATCGATCATCCGCAGAAGTTTGACAGAGACATGTCGAGCTTCGAGAGCAAGCTCGAGGTATTCCTGGAGATCTACGAGAAGCTGAAGAGCGTGGAGAACGAAGAGGCGTTCCTGAGAGAGTTTATCGTACGTGAGTGTAGCCTAAAACGCGATCGGTAGCTTTGGTGTGCCGCGCCCCGTTGCGTTTTCGGTGTAACTGTTAGCGCATCACTAAACGCTAGAGACGAGGTACTGCGCAGAGTTTATGTGCCATCCACACGTCAGTAACGGTTATCCAGGCCTTCTTCCTCACTGTGTCTGTTTAGCTAGCTAGCTAGCTGTCGCTGTTTACCCATTCCGCTAGCTAAACTAACGTCTACTTAGTGAGTGCGCCCACCAAGAACACTCTCCCATTTACAATGTGCAGTGAATTTCTACTCACTGGGAGCATCATACTTGAAAGAAATTGCACACACTGCCTTGTAGTGTAGTATGATGCTAAATGCATATGTAGTATGCCATAAGAAAAACAGGTTATGAACATGGGTTACAAGCTAAGAACAATGGAAAATGCTGACCAACAGATTTCGTGACTCAGAATTTAGTCTTAAATGAAGAACCAACCACATGCCGTGTTGAGGACTCCGTTTATTGTGTAAATGGTACGTATGTCTAAGTGTAGATAAACGCGTGTGAGCGTGCACTGCTGTTTTGGCTGGGGTGTCCCAATAGAGGCACGGAGCCTGCTGTTTGCCAGTTGCTGCAGTCCTGTGGGAGTTCACAAGTGGGAACTGTACTCAGTACTCTGTTGACCTTTCCCAACTAGTTGTTCCACTGTAAACAAAAAACCGTTTGAAAATGCTATTGGCCACTACTGATGCTACCCCCTCTCCCCCTCTCTTCTCCTTCTTGCTTCCCTCTCTTCTCCCTCCAATTTTCTTCCTTCTCCCCCTCCCCCCCGTGTTGTGTGAAAGAGAGTGTGTTGCGTGGGGGATCTGGGGGAAAAGGCCTGCTCAAAGTGCTAATATGTATTCACTTCTCCTTTCAATTTCCTTATGATCTCTGCAGCATGTCAAAACCATCTCTAGTCTGGAGTTTACTTTACCCCCTCTTCCCCCTCTTCTCCTTCTTGCTTCCCTCTCTTCTCCCTCCAAATTTCTTCCTGCCTCACCTCTCTCTCTTCCCTCCCCCTCTTTTCTCTATGAATGGTATGTATATTCGTGTGTAGCGACTGAAAGCGCAGTCTGCTGGTTACAGAGAACAGAACACCTATCCTGCAGAGAGTGGCCAACTTTCTGTCAACAGAAAGAAGAACAGATTCAAGGATATCATTCCATGTATATATACACAAGCTCAAGAAATCAGCCGTTGCTACATTGAAATTCTCTCTCTTTCCCTTCTCTAGTTGAATACACGCGTGTCTCACTCCATGTAATTGAAGGTATAGAAGGCTCTGACTACGTCAACGCCAACTACATCCAGGTTCATTCACACGTGCATCCTGCATACTTTATTGCTAGCATATTAGACAATGATGCATGATAGATCACCCGGCCATAAATGCAAGTGTGTGTATGTATGTATGTATGTACATATATGCATGTGACAATTATCCCAATAATTGTATGGGGCAATGTGTGTGTGTGTGTGTTGCAGGGTGCTGATGGAAGCGTTATGTACATAGCAGCCCAGGGACCTCTCCCCCATACAGTCAGTGACTTCTGGAGGATGCTGTGGTACCACAACATCGAGGTATGGCTGCACGGGGGAATGAGTGCGTGAGGTTCTGGGAATGAGACTGTGTTTTGTGTCCAGATCGTGCTGATGGCGTGCAAGTTGGTGGAGATGGCAAAGGTGAGGCTCAAGTGAAACCGTTTTTCACACTGTAAAAAATCTCTCTCTCACTCTCTCTCTCATCTCAGCCAAAGTGTGAGCGTTACTGGCCGCCACTCAACAAGACGGTGTCGTTTGGCCCCATCACTGTCACCACAGTCAGTTCCTCTCACTACACATACCCACACAGTCTACTACTGTGTAATTATTCCACGGAACCTCTGAAGGAAGGACACTCGTGGTACCTTTCAGGGAGTGACTTTATTGTGTGTCGTTTCTTAAGAGCTTAAATGCATGCACTATACCCTGGGAAAGGGTGTCCTTTATAGAGTGTGCTCTATTTGGAGTGTCTGTTGTGCAAGGTGTTTCACTGCGTAAAGAGTAAAGAGAGAAGAGTTGTATCGTGGGGATTCTGAATGTGGTATATATTCCTGTGCATGTGTAATTGTAGATTCACGAAGAGGAAATCGGGAAGGAGTTCATCATTCGAGACTTCGTAGCCGAATGTGGAGGAGTGAGTTTTGTATTTCTATCGCTCTCTCTCTATCTAGCAGCAGTGTTAATGAGAATATGGAATTATATAAGGGCTCATGGAAAGTGTTACTAAAAATAGTAATGCATTCTTGCACTGGGCCCAATTGCCATATTTAGTAACATTTAGCCCTCCTGTACTGCCACATCTCATTTAAAAGAGGCATCAATCTATATAGTTACAGGGTCTCCATTGACAGCGTCTCATTAGAGAGGTGTACTTCTCCTGCCTGTCTGACCTATGTCTAATTCTCTCCCCCCCCCTCCTCGTCTCCCCGGAAGAGCTGTCCAGTTCTCCTATCCAGTAATCTCACCCTTGCCCTATATACCGCGTATTGAACAACTAAACATAGTGATGTAATAGTGATGTAAGGCCTCGTTTTTCGTTTTGTTAGGAGAAGCAGCAGATCCGGCAGTATCACTACTCCTCCTGGCCAGACCACGGGAGACCTGCTGAACCTCAGCCGGTCCTCAGGATGATCAACATGATGCACGACTATAGGAAGAGACTCGACGTACCACTCCTCGTCCACTGCAGGTATTGGATACTGCAAATCCGGAAATGTCAGCGTGCCAGTGTTAGCGCCCAAATTTTTTATAAAACTTTCCTGGATGGTGATCGATGCTAATGCTAACATTTCTGTGGATAAAATCATGTTTTCGGTAGATTTTTAAAACAGAAATAACACTGGTTCACTGCATGTTTGATCTACCGTGGTGCAGTGACCAAGTTTGCATGTTTGGTCCACCGTGGTGCAGTGACCAAGTTTGCATGTTTGGTCTACCGTGGTGCAGTGACCAAGTTTGCATGTTTGGTCCACCGTGGTGCGGTGACCAAGTTTGCATGTTTGGTCTACCATGGTGCGGTGACCAAGTTTGCATGTTTGGTCTACCATGGTGCAGTGACCAAGTTTGCATGTTTGGTCTACCATGGTGCAGTGACCAAGTTTGCATGTTTGGTCTACCGTGGTGCAGTGACCAAGTTTGCATGTTTGGTCTACCGTGGTGCGATGACCAAGTTTGCATGTTTGGTCTACCGTGGTGCAGTGACCAAGTTTGCATGTTTGGTCTACCGTGGTGCAGTGACAAAGTTTGCATGTTTGGTCTACCGCGGTGCGGTGACCAAGTTTGCATGTTTGGTCTACCATTGTGCAGTGACCAAGTTTGCATGTTTGGTCTACCGTGGTGCAGTGACCAAGTTTGCATGTTTGGTCTACCGTGGTGCAGTGACCAAGTTTGCACTACGTACTGTACTTTTCTACCCTCTCCTACCGCCACGTGCAGTGCAGGATGTGGGAGAACGGGGACCATTATTGCCATTGACATCGCCAGGTCCATGATCATCCAAAGAGTGAGATTCCCTTTAGTGATATCATATATACATTGTATACCATACTATTCACAATAGTTATATACACACCACATGAAACATAGAGGTTTGAGCATGAAACTTAGCGTTTGAGAGCTACTGTATACGTAGTGTATATCCATCAGAGAAGTTTGAGAAAATTATTGAGAGCTATCTGTGAATTTTTCTAGTATTGTGGTTGGGACCCAGTTATCTTAGAGGTGTAGAATATGTTTTGATAGCTGTCTGGGAATTTGTCACCCCTGAATAATTTTGGTATTGGGGCACTTGTAACAATCTCTCTTCTCCCTCTCGTTTGGCCCCTCCCCCCATTGCCTCCCTCCCCTCCCTCCACACAGCACATCCCGGAGTCCTTGAGTCCCCACGATATAGTGGAGAGCATGAGGAAGCAGAGGCCAGCCATGGTACAGGCCAAGGAGCAGTACATCTTCGTGTTCATGGCTGTGGCTGAACTCAGCAAGAAGGCACTTCGACAGGTGTGCTGGTTTACACGTGCTGAATTAGATCAATCTCACCGAAAAATACAGCATCCATTGCAGCACTCATCTCTGTGTATTTTTGAAAAAGGACCCTCTGAATAAAGGACGTCTTCCTATAAAGGACACCTTGTTCTGCCCCAAACTAACGTGCAGTAGTTATCATAATATTATCTCTGGTGTATCCTTTACTACCGCTGTATGTAGTATGTAGTGACTGGAGGGGTAGTCCCTGTAGTTAATTGCTCTAAACGAACTCCATTTCAGGCATCGGAGGGAAAAGATGGTGACTACGAGAACTGCACGCCGTCGACTACTCCTCTTGCCGATCCTCGCGACACCTCATCCAGCAAGACGCCCCTGACAGAGTCCTCGCAAGATGGAGGAGAGAGAGAGGGGGAGAAGCAGCCGGTGGCTCCACCCCGGACCAACCAGCCCTACGAGAACGTATCCGTGTTGCCACGGAAGAACGGGAGCGACAGAAAACAGTCTCCGCCTCAGCCGAAGCCCAGGAACAGCAGAGAATCTGCAGAGGTATGATAGAATGGATCGCCGTTAAAGTCATTCACTTTTCGCACTTCGTCAGCATTTGTGACGTTTTTATATAGTCTTTTATATCTCTCTGTCAATCACCTCTCTTGCTGTCCCCTATACTCACTTTCTCTTCCTCTTTCTGTTTAGAACTCGCCTCCCAGGCCAATTCCTCCACCTAAGCAACCAAAGGTAAACATTATACTCACATTTGTGAACGTTTTAACGTTTTCACTGACATTTTTTTTAAAGATTAGACTTATTCAGAGTGATCGACTGTTTTGTTTTAGAGTCTGGGATTGCTTTTAGTCTGCAATTTCGCGATATTTTCAGAATAATTGTCACTACAAAACATCTTGTTTTTCTCTCTCTTCTTTCTGACTATGCCTGTTCTGTTTTTCTTCTTCTCTCCCAACACAAAACACGTTTTCTCTCTTTCTTTCTGCATGCCTCTTTCTTCTTCGTTCTATCCTACTTTCTGTCGTTTGTTTTCTCTCTCTCACACTTTTTTCTCTCTTCTTACCACCCTCCCCTCCTCTCTCCCTTTCTCCCTCCCTCCCTCCCTCCCTCCCTCCAGATTGCAGACGAACCAGAAGAGAGCCACTATAGTGCAGTAGACATGTCCCAACTAAGAGACAAGGGACCAGAGATAGCAGTGGTCAACGAAGAAGGACTCAGAGCCCCTCTCTCTAAGGTCGAGGAGAAGCTGGACAAACATGGCGGAGCGGCCGTCAGTCCCGGCCGCAGCATTTTAGACACTGTGAGCCACGTTTAACCCTTTTTACACTGTGTGAGAGACCTTCTCGTCTAAATTTAACCCTTATACTGTGAGAAGAGACTATCAGTCCCTGGTGTTATGTTAAGGTGTTGTATATAGCTGTTTTCCCCCCCACTATTTGGAAAAAGTTCGTAAAATAAATCGGCCAATTTGAATGCGGACTGTGCCTACATGTACTAACCATGGAGCATGCCTGAAACTGCCATAGATAGTATATATAACATGTGTATATACACGTCAACAATAACAGAGTATTGTTTGGCTAAGACAACATTTGTTGTGTACATTAGAGAAGTATACTGAGATGGGTAGGGGAGTATACTAGATAGTTTACTAGATTGATGTACGTACGTTCGTCTGATGACTGCAGATCATGAGTGAAGTCGGAGATATTTTGCCTGATGAGAAGGAAGAATTCTCTCCCCCTCCTCCTCCTCTCCCTGCCTCAAACCCTCCCTCCTCCGCCCCCAAATGGTCTGTCTTCCCTCTCCACAATTGCCTACTTGTCTGTCCTTCTCTTTCTCGTTTGTCAGAGGTCTTTTGTTACGAGGGGCCTACGTGCCATCTCCTCGCGCTCAGCGCTTGACGAGCGCGCTGAAGACAACGACGTAGAGACATCTAGCCACAGAGCGGAGAGGCGAGAGAGATGAGAACCCCATCAGGACAAACACTCGCGGAGAGCCCTAGACAGTGCAGAGCGAAAGACAGAGCGCGAGACAGGAGCGAGAGTACGATAGCGCTGAAAGCGAGCGAAGAGAGAAGCCGAGAGCGCTATGTTCCATCTCGCTCTCTCGCTATCGTCACGCCCTATTACCTCCCTCTCTTCTCCCTCTCTTCCCTCTCTCTCTCTCTCTCTCTCTCTCTCTCTCCTCTCTCTCTCTCTCTCTCCTCCCTCTTACCTCCTCCAAGAACAGTTCTCGCATTCAATTTAACCATGAAATAAGGACGCTTCACTGGTATGGACGGACGGACACTTTATATTTTGCCTCATTTGTGTCCGGATTAGAGAGGTTCCACTGTTTGCCACGATATGAAACTCTCCCTCTCCCTCTTCCTCACACTCGCAGGTCGCAGTTCGAAGACGAGATTCCTCCCCCAGTCCCCCTCCACACCGAGGCCTCAACCCACATCCTGGAAGCCACGCCCACCTCGTCAGACTCGGAACATGTGGTACTGGACACTGGAATCTACTATACCCCGACTCCCCGTGAGTTCATTGGTACCGCGTTATGTAGTGTGAACGCTTGCAAGCGTGAGATAATAACGCAATTCACATTTCTGGCAAGCACACATATTGTGTAAGTGTAGATTTCATCGGTTTTACGCATTACGTAATGGACAGCACTGTCTATGCAGAAAAACCCTAAATTCGCTCAATAAACTCAGAGTCTGCCTGTCTCCATACACCCACTGTGTGCTGGGTGACTTGTGATGCAAGGTTCTAATTAATGCCCACCTCTGACACGCTGCAAATGTGTTTCCCCTCCAATGCCACACAACCTGGTGGCTGTGACTTAGTACACCGCTTCTATAGTTTCCACATACACACTATTTAGTATGAAACCCTAGGAGATGAACTTCCTTCATTCGTGCCATACCATTGGACATTCTATATCTCCAGGTTAACCTAATATTCCACATACAGTGTCTCTACAATAGGGACTATAATGTATGTAGTAGCATGACGTAAGGTGTGATTGATACTTTATCTGGGCTCTTTGACCGCATACGCCAGTAGCAGTATATGAAGGCTAGGATGATTGGCTCTAGCTACAGTAGTGCAGTTGTAGCTATAGAGGGAGAGAGTATGGAGGGGAGACTAGAGCTGAGTTAGTATAGTGATGGTTGGCTACATGGAGTATAACTATCTCTACAAAGACATTGGTAAGTCAGTGAGAGTTACAGTATATGATGCTGTGGGGTACTGTATATTGATTTGAGCCTTGTTTGCTGGTATGTAGCTCAGTAGCAGCAGTTCTCTGCCTAGAGAGCAGAGTGTCCTACAGCCAAAAGACAGTTGTACTAGTTCTATATACCTATAGTGTTTTGCCTTGCCTTTGACTTTGAACTAAGTTTTCTCTGCAAGAGAGCTTCCTGTTTTATTTGCAATGCTCCAAATTCTGCTGAGTATTATAATGTGTACATATTTATGTACACATTACCTGTGGTGGTAACATGTTCACTACTGCCTCCCTTCCCACCTTTTCATTCTCGTCCCTATCATTATTCTCACACACACACTCTCTCTCTGGTGCAGACTCCATTCCCATGCCCAGCGAGAGCTCCAGTTCGTCGCCAGTCCGCATCACCCCCTCCTCTCCTCCCCACGTCCCCGCTCCGGCCCCTCCCACCATCACCACCTCCTCCACTCCCTCCTCTTCGTCGACCGCCACCCTCCCCGTCTCCTCCTCGAACTCTACAGGGAAAGGCTCCCGACTCAAGACTGTATTCAAAATCGGCAAATCTAAGGTACACATATATTATGTGGATCGATAGCTGAGGTTGGACTGTGCACTATTTTCTTGAAAACGAGGGAACCGATGAGCTACTTTGTGTGAAAGAACTGTCTTGCAGTTATGATCCAGCGGTGTTTATTTACCAGTTAGTAAAATGGTGATCTATTTCATTGACAGAGTGAGAAGAGAAAGCCACTGACATCAGGCGACATTGGCAGACCGACAGGCATTCGTAAGTTCCTTTAATTTTCACCACTGGCAGAGGCTTTGCCAGTTCTCCCATTGGCAATCGGCGAGGATACGATGTACGTCACTGTTTGCAAACGAAGCTAAGTAGCATACAAATTATACTATTACGCTGACTTTTGTAAGCATGAGCATTTTGGAAAAAGTTGCAACATTGGACGCTATATATATAAGTCTCAACATACCAGAACGTTGAATAAAGTCACATTGTCTTGTGACTTATCAAAGATGACGAGTAACCTCTACAAAATTTTCCTCGTTTCTTCCTCTCAGCTCGTTCTCCCAGTGACCATGGTGCGTCGTCACCATCGCGAGGTTCGTCTCCCTCCCCGGAGCACGGGGTCCCCTCGCTCCCGCAGGTGAACAAGGCCCTCCTGAGTGATCTCGGGCCCGCCGAGTCCGGCCCCGCCAACAACAGATACACCTTCCCCGGGGAGATGGGTGAGTGAGAGGGGGAGCTTTTGGGGAAAGGACTTTCGTAGATAGTGTACAGAAAATTGGAACTTACGCCAATATGCATACAAGTAGGCAAATGAAAAGCAATTTTCTTCTTGGGAGCAGCTGGATGAAAACAACAAGCTAAACATTCTTGCTCCGAATATAAAATTTGCATAATATATGGCTTACAACATTGTTTTGCTGCAGGTTTTGGACTCAGGATTCCAAAACCAAGAGGTCCCAGACCAGAACCACCGCACTGGAACATGATTCGGAACAGTATAACTGCCATCTGATGATTATATTATTATACCATACACCTAATGTTGTTCAAGTGTGTATAGTTTTTAGCACATGTTTTGTAATCAAGCGCATGCGTGTACAGTTATATGCACGCGCATGGTGACCTCTTTGGCACCAACTTGCAGCAATAACTTTGCGTCGAGAAGAACGGGCGACGGGCCGGGGATGATCCGTAAGCGAGTGGCTGCTTCTCTTGCGGGAAGGCGTCGACGGACCAACTCCGGTGTCCCGCCGCCGCCAGAGTCTGCGAACCGCAGCTTGCCCGACGACAACGGAGAAGGAGGCGGCGGAGAGAGCGAGAGTTTCTCGTCAGACTGCGAGGAAGAAGAGAGAGGGTGGACTGGCAGCGGCGATGCCGCCGGGGGGAAGAAGCCGTGGGAGCGAGTGGACCAGAGCGTGTACGAGGAGCAGTTGGAGAAGCTGCAGGAGCAGCTCGTGCAGGTCATGATAGAGAACCAAGCACTGCAAGGTAGCTAGCTAAGATAGCTAGTTTGTGTGTCAGGAGAGCGCTGGGTCCTGCACCCCTTTTATTATCCCGTCACCAATAGAATCTTTAGTGATGGTGTCCTGGGGTTGAAAATTGCACGCAAGAACTGTTCTTTGAGAAAGAAACGGTATCCTTTTTCCGGAGGTGTCCTCATTTAAGGGGTGTGTGTCCTTAGAGAGGAGTTCCACTGTAGAACTATACAACTTGTGCACACTCACTGTGTGTGTGTGTGTAGCGGAGCTGGAAGAGCAGAGGAAGAAGCCGGGTAGCTCACAGAGAAGGGAGCTGGACCAGCTCAGACAAGAGAACACTTCACTGCAGCAGAGACTGGGGCAGGAGAGACTGAGGCATCAGACAGTCTCCACCACCAGTAGCCATTCTTCTGTCGGCAGGTGTATTACCTCATTCAGAACTTTCACTGTATGCGTGTACTCCATTATGCTCCCCAGTGAAGATGGTCCTGTTGAAGACGGATATGAAAACGTGACCACTGACAGAGAAAGAGGTGTGTCCATACTACCATTACGTCGCTATGATGTAATGCTGGTTTACAGTTCTGAAGCTGAGAAGGAGAAAGCGACCTTTGTCTCGGCGGTTTTCATATGCCTCTGCGCGAGAGTCGGTAAGCTGTCTATGAACACCTCCTAATATGGGCACTAATGGCCAGAAGAAAGTGCATGAGTGGGATGTCCTTACTTCAGGGGTTAAATTGCACGCCAAATAACTGTTCTTGGAGAAAGAAGATATGTCAATATTAAAGAGGTGCCTTCATTAGAGAGGTGTCCTCATTTCAGGGGTGTCCTCCCTCTTTACCGCAGGTCTACAATTTCCTATATCTCTTCTCTGAAGATGCACGTACACCTAGCAATGAGCCAGAGGAAGAAGCCACACCCCTCACTGCCAAACGGTGGGCGGGGCTAATTGTATCTCATATGTCATTCTGATGTCATTGTTTTTGTTTTTTTCCTGCAGACTGAAAGAAAACTGCACAAGACTAGGTCTGTGTGTATACAGTCATACTTTCACAACTTCAGTGAAACACTAAACACTTACATGTGTGTGTGTGTGTGTGTGCGTATGTGTGTATACTCAACAGGTAAATCCAGTAAGCCATGGAGGGAAACGGCGAGTCACGTTAAGGAGACTCTGAGGTGGAAAAGTTCGGCTGAGAGTCTGGTCGTGTTCCTGGTGAGAGGCCGCCTTGTTTTCTCTCTCTTTCTCTCTTTCTTTTACGTAGTACCCCAACAATTGTCTTTGTATCTCGTACTGTTCTTAACCACAGAAGCAACATCTTAAACCTCTTTATCCTCTCTCTATTGTTACTAAACAGCTAGTGAATTGACTACATTGATTCTTTGCACCGGCGAATACATATATTATAGTACATTGCAGTGCCCACTCTATTGAATACAATGTGTGTGCAGATCTACATGTACTGCGTGTGGAACGGATGGATCATACAACTGGTGCTGTTCATTTCAGTCATCAAACTCACCCTCAACTACCTCTATATCAGGTATATACACAATACTGTATGTCACACCATATGTACTGTGTTTGATACTCAGTCAGTCCGTAGCTTGTTTATTTATCGTTCGGTGAAATATCTTTTTCAAGTAGGAAATGGATTTTCACTGTTGCATGTGTCTGCCAATTTGACCCCGGGAACGTATTCTGCCACGACTAAAAGACAAGTGGTGATTGTCCCTCTCTTTTCACACTATGAACTGTACATTTACGCAGTGGTTTAGCAGAGCAGTTTGGGTTCAGTTCTGGACAGATCGAAGAGGTTAGCGAGTTTCTGTTTTAACCCTTTGGACGCCGTGGGGATGTACATAAATACGCAGAATATCAGCACCTAGTATTATAATCCCCAATTTAAATGCTTATAGACTTATGGAGGCTCTGGACACATTTATGTGCTGGCAGCTGGTTAAGTGTTTAGTTTTAAAACCCTGCACTTATCTCGTGGACACTTTCTTCTGTCCCATTGGTGTCTGGAATGGAGTAGTTCCACTGTAGACACATAATCAATCGCAGTCAATTGTTTTATGTTTTCTGCTGTAGGAAGCAGACGAGAATATGGGGCTAGCGGACAAATTCCAACTCGTGAAGCAAGTGGCACAGACTGTTCAGGTATATATACAGCTGACTCGCCCTCTCTCTCTCCATGTGCTGTGTGACGTCTGGTCTCTGTATAGAACATGTCCGGAACCACATCTGATACATTGGAGAAACTGCGCAAGTGAGCTTAAAAACTTTTTTTAAGCACAACACAAGAAAAAAGTTTCTCCCCCTCACACACACACACGCACACATCTCATCCAGTCTCTGGCTCTGGCGTCAACCCGAGGCGACCACAAAGCTCTACATCGCCCTCCTTCTCTTCCTCCTCGTCAGCCTCTTTCTACCTAACTCTTACACTCTCACTTTCATAGGTACACAGCTGCTACCTCTTCCTTCTCTTCCCCCTTCTCTATCTTTCTCTCCTCTTCCCCCTACCCTTCTCTTGCTCCCCCTTCTCCACTTCTCCCTCTTCCTTCTCTTCCCCCTTCTCTATCTTTCTCTCCTCTTCCCCCTACCCTTCTCTTGCTTCCCCTATTACCCAGCTTCCTAACGAGTACAAATGTTGCAGGGAAACCTATCAGAAAGGACACTCTAAATAAAGCACACCTTCTACATATAAGGACACTTGTTTCTATCAAATCACCAAACTATTTTCGCACACAATTTGCGCAGGTCTCTTCGCCGGTATGAAGCTATTTATCGTTGACAACATCTATCGCAAGTATCCCAGGGTAAGTCTCATGAACTGCATACCGTAGAGCTAAAAAAAGAAAAACTTTCACGATGATAAACGATTTGGTTTTGCCATTGTCACGTGCTCGCTAGCCAACCACTATACGTTCACGATTTTTGCAAAAGTCGCCCAATTAAATTAAGTTGTTGATCATTAAAGGTTTTTTTGGCGAAGTTTTTTCGTCATTAGACTTGTTTTCTGGGTTTAAGTGTGTGTTGCATAATCTGTCATCGTCAGGTTCAGGAGGAATTTGACAACGTGGACAGAATGTGGCGCTCTCTGCCGACTGATACCGAGCTACTGGAGAGACAGACGCTCTCTCGTGAAGAGATGGTCAGCTATATAGCGAGGGAGAGAGGGGGCGGGATTTTTCACATAACCTCCATGCAGCATGAAAATAGAAGTTTTGTCTATTGCATGTATGCAGCCCTTCTGCGTGGACCACCCACCATATATACCTATTCACTGAAGCTGCATGGGACTTGACTTGTTTTAGGCTCACTGTATATAGAGTGGGACCTCTTTTAAAGGATACGCTGAATAAAGGAATCCTCTCTATAATTTCAATCCAGTGCTAATACTTGTGTATGTACTGAACCTCTGAATAAAGGAATCCTCTCTATAAAGGACACTTGTTTCGATCCGGTGCTAATACTTGTGTATGTACTGAACCTCTGAATAAAGGAATCCTCTCTATAAAGGACACTTGTTTCGATCCGGTGCTAATACTTGTGTATGTACTGAACCTCTGAATAAAGGAATCCTCTCTATAAAGGACACTTGTTTCGATCCAGTGCTAATACTTGTGTATGTACTGAACCTCTGAATAAAGGAATCCTCTCTATAAAGGACACTTGTTTCGATCCGGTGCTAATACTTGTGTATGTACTGAACCTCTGAATAAAGGAATCCTCTCTATAAAGGACACTTGTTTCGATCCAGTGCTAATACTTGTGTATGTACTGAACCTCTGAATAAAGGAATCCTCTCTATAAAGGACACTTGTTTCGATCCGGTGCTAATACTTGTGTATGTACTGAACCTCTGAATAAAGGAATCCTCTCTATAAAGGACACTTGTTTCGATCCGGTGCTAATACTTGTGTATGTACATATCATGAACCTCTGAATGAAGGACAATATTCATGGTCCAAGCGTGTCGGTTGCACTGTTGCTGTTCTCAGACTTCACTGCTGAGGCAAAGATCGTCGCTATCAGTTGACGGAGGATCTGTAAGAGGTGGAGGAGAGAGTGGAGGTGTGTCTCCTCTCTCGGACGAGGACGCCGGGTTCTGTTCCAGGTTTGACCTCCCGACAAGCGAGGTCCCGTTCCCAGACTGGCAGGGCGGGAGACGGTGCACGCTCATCGATCGCGACCGGCCGCTCATGGGCTCCAGAGGAGGTCGACTGTACCTCACGTACAGTTTTCTCTGCTTCGAGAGACTCTCCATTAGGAGTCGGGATTCCGACAGGCTGGTGTTGCCACTCTCTGACATCACAGAGATCGAAAAGGTCCATTTCACTGTTGCAGTGCCAGAAGTCTGTTTTTTTGTCCAGAGAAACACTCTTCATGCTTTTGAAAAATGTACCCACTAAAATTGGTTAATAACACTTGCCATGGGTATCTCCTTAAATAAGCAGAAATTGATGTATTTAACGCCTAGTATTATACCCATAAATTCTTATGGACTTAATTATGTAGGCTCTGGGCATATATGTATATATCCCTGTGGCTTGCTAAGGGTCCAACAAAAGTGTTCTGCCTCAATATGATGACAATGGTGCGGGTTTTGTTTTGTGCAGGCAAAGCCGTTTGCAGTTCTACCTGGAAATGGAATGGCCATAGAAGCCACTCTCAAAAACTCTGACAAGGTAAAAAAAACAACTACTTATCAACACAAATTTTTGAGGCACTCGACTGCTAATTATTGATGGTTGCAGACAACTAACTACACTCTCTATACTGCATTCTGATGTGACTCTGCGCAAAAAAGTAAAATAATTGTTAAATTTGGTGCTATGATACGTACAGGTCCTTTGTGTTTGTCAAATTCTGACGCTGTGTATTTTGTCACAGTTCATGTTTGGAGCCATTCTGAACCGTGACCAGAGTCTCAGTTCCATCCTGGAACAGGGCCTGATGCTGGGGCTCCCCTGGGGCGCCGACCCCGACGACCTTTCCACCCAAAACCACACCCCCTCGTTACCGTCAAACACTAACAACAACAACAAGCAGAACAGTGAAAGTGCTCCAACTTGAAAACTATTTTTAGAAACGTGATTAATGTGTGTTGAAATTGACAGCTGTGTTCCGTTGCTTCATTACTTTTTAACCTTCTTCTTCTTCCTCCTCTTCCTCCTCTTCTGCATCCACGTCAAATAGGCGCACCTTTTTAGTCCGACGAGAGAACTAAAGAAAAAGACAGAAAGTGGAGATAATTACGCAATAATAATATGGAGCTACATTATACTGGGTTCTATAGTCTAATAATAGATGTTGATTGTCTCAATTAAAACCCTTTGAATGCCATATGTATATATCTTCTTAAGATATACAAGCAGAAATTGATGTACAACAGTCATATTAACGCCTAGTATTATAGCCATATATAAAGTCTTATGCACTTATGGAGGCTCTGTGCATATTATATATAATTATTATATATAATTATGCCTGTGGTTGGCTGAGGGTTAATACCCTTCACTAGATCTATTGTGACATTAGAAAAACCCTCCTTGTCAAAGGTGCGTTCTCAACTGTACATATACTGTAGAGTTGGTGAGTTCTCACCACTGCTGCGAGACGGCGAGGTCCCGATACTGCCATACTGACGGCATGGAATGGGCCCAGACTGTGTATCTGGGTCAGAAATCTCCCCACATCGTGACATTCATAGCTGTGTGTGTGTGAGAGGGAGGGAGAACTAATCATGCTATTTTAGCAAGCGAGTGAAAGCAGGTGTAAAGAGCATAACTTCGAAACAGCATCAAAATTTAACACACACAGCTATGGATAATCGGATTAAAGAAATACATACCCCTCCAATGCCAGCTCTCCGAAAGCCTCGTTGGCCAGGTTCAAAACAGGTTTGACCGGGAGCTGGGCCACCGCATTGAACATTACATCATCCCTCTCGGAGCTGCGATACTCCAACAACACGGACAGTGTCTCTCCGTTGTACACCTGCACACTCAGCAGATTCAGAGGCTCCGTACCACTCGAATGATAGGGGAGAGGGGAACGGAGAAAGTGACGAGATACGATTGAAGCGTAAAACACCCGAGTTTGGAGCGGGGAAGGAGGAAAATGAGAAAAACAAGTCATGTGGTTCGGAAAACCTTAAAGGAAGATATTATTACCCAAGTTTTGTCGAAAAGTTTGATGTTTATGACTCGGCTGTTTTCTAACAAATATTATTCTAGTCTCTTGCTGTATTTAGTAAGAAAGACACCTTTTCTCCTGATCGGCAAGTCCTGGAACGCCCCTCACACAAGCTCTGCAGCACCTCATCTGCCTAACGACACAAGTACAGAACAGATGCAGTACGTATGTTGCTAGCATGGTAAACTGACTGGGTTTCGTCGCCGTAGACAACCAGGAAGAGATCTCTGGCAGATGGGTAGTACACACATCTCTTTCCCTCGCATACTAACTCTCCACTGCAGAGCAAAATGTGAGGTTGAGTGTGATAGAATACACGAGGATGGTTCACTAATAGCTAGACAAGCCGTACTTCACTGAGATTATTGCCTCTTTCTGAGAACGTGCTGTCTGAAGAAAACTTACATTTTCGAGTCTATCTTTGAAACTTCACTGTCACCACTAAAAAAAGAGAATATTAGTTTGGACCAACCGGTAAAATAACTAACGTGGTTGATGGGAGTAAGGGTACAGACGGCTTTGGAGTAAACGTCTGGCAAATTGTCTCCTGTGGGAAACGAAGTGTTACGCATGACAGTATATTGAAAGTGAAAGTAGGATGTTCTGTGACACGTTTTTGAAGCAGCACATCGGAAGGTGACAAGGTGGCCGAGTGGTTAAGGCGATGGACTGCTAATCCATTGTGCTCTGCACGCGTGGGTTCGAATCCCATCCTTGTCGCATTTTTCACTTTTCATCCTTATTTTTTTACACTTTTGCAAGAGTACATACAGCTGCCACTAATTCAGTGAAGACAGCAGTTGAAAGCTAGCATTTGTTGCTCGTTTTGTAATAGTATTGCCCAAGTCTAGCGGATACCGGCTTTTATGCATTCTTTACTCATTCGTTGATGAAATTTTATTGCTCTCAACAAGTTACACGTGTATACCTTGGTAGTGGCAAAGGCAGCTGCAACATCTCTGACGAGGGAGTTGAGTAGCTGCAGCAGAGATTTCACAGGAGATGGTGAAAACAGCCATGGTATGGCTGCAAAGTGAGGAAAAAAACAGCAGTTTCTTACAAGAAACTATAAGAAGACATTAAGAAACTGCTGTTTTTTGTTAATACTACACACACCAGCAGACCACATTTGTGAACTTTACGCAATTTTTTGTTCACGATAATACACCATTTGAATCCAGCTCTGCTTCTTGCAGTAATCTCTCCCAGAAGCTTGGCTGTTTCTCCTGCAGCAGAAGTGAGTCGAGGAGGTGCCACAATAATACTGAACAGATAGAAACCCACTTCGACAATCTTCAGGTCTTCGTCCACCAAATACTGCAGAATGAAAGACACACGAAAGAGATCATAAACAGAGCTAACATACATACCTACGTATACATGGGGTTTGATTGTACAATGTATATGGGAAGGACCACCATTTGACTAAGAGGCCTAGCGTAGCTATGGGCTTTTGTTAATACAGTGGAACCCCTCTACTCCACACACCATTGGGACAGAATAGGTAGTGAGGTGTCCTTATTTCAGGGGTTAAATTGTATGCAAGGGCTGTTCTTGGGGAAATAAAAGGTGCCCTTATTCCAGAGGGTCCTCATCTCCACACGACTAGTCTCACATTGAGTAAACCCCTTACCTGCCCGACCAGTTCCAGGTTGAAGCTTTGAGAACTGCCAGCTGCAGACTACATCCAGAGAGAAAAAAAAGCAGCCATCATCAACTGACACCACATAGTAACAAGTTCAAGAGTCCCTTATAGACATATGTCCCTCATTCGAGGGTCTCTTGCCGGAGGTTTGAATGTAGTAAGTCAGCTCTGTTTACGTACCTTCGCCAGTCTCTTTTTAAGGAAATGGACGACCAGTTTCAGTTCTTCTGCATTCAGATGCTGCACCAACCCAAAAAGACAGATGGACTCAGCCAAGTCTAGTCTAGTCTAGTCAGAAAATGCTGTTGACTCACCTGCTTCATGTTTGATGGCACGGGCTCCTCACCCAGCTTCAGAATAACTGAGATAATATACGCAGAAATGTAAGGCTAATAACATTCACGTTTTAAAGCCACATAATTATACCGTATGAAAAGTAAGTTTTTGTAGAAAACTAAAGTCATTTTAAGGCCATTATACACGAGATAATAAAACAGATTGCCCTCTGCACGATAGCCAAGTCCTTTAGTTTTCGACATGTTGCTGAAATAAGAGGCCGTTCTATTTCAGGCAACGTGATGCTGTAACTTTCCTCGTGCGTGTCGTGGAAAGTACGCGGGTGGTTGTGGCGATCTATCTTTCTGCCGTTTTGCAGACCAACGCACAGCCTCTGTGGCTGCCCTTTAGCCTGCTGAGACACTTACGACACATGTCTCACTCAATTCGGACTTGAGGTGTAACACGATGACTTACTGACCGACGTAGATCCACATGAAGAAGGACTTCATACTTTTCAGAGACTCATCAATGACTCTGAAAGAAAGCAGGAGACGTTATTATGTACGTCAATAGATAGATTGTAGTATAGAGCAAGGGTCAGTGCTACTAAAAATAGAACTACACGATTAGTAAGGAGCTCTAAATTTAGCCCCAGGAGACATTATATGTACGTCAAAAAATTATAGTATAGAGAGCAAGGGCTCAGTGCATAAGGGCTACTAAAGATAGAACTACACGATTAGTAAGAAGTTCTAAATTTAGCCCTTACATACGGCCACATTCCGTAACTCACGACTGCAGCTCCTGATTCTTTAGAGCAAAAGTACCCAAAGACTTGATGCAAACTGTGGGGGAAACCGATTTAATATAAACAGCACAGAGAGGCAATTTTTCTAGGTGTACCGGTATTATCGTCAATATGCTTATAATTGAACTCCACAATAATTGCCAGGCTTCTTATAATCCCCAGGCATGTAAATTTGCTTCTTCGGAACGTCAAAATTTCAAATTCTGCACCTTGAAACCAGCTCGGCTTTCTTGCAACTATTTTTTTTCGACCTCTGACTGACCTTGTAAGGAATCGGTAGAAATGCCGAGATTGCCGAATCTCTCCTTCCACCTTGCCATCCCTAGCACCTCACCGAGATGAAACTGGAGGGCCTGAATCACACTGTGGAGGGAAATTGAAAATCCAACGTCCCACTCCACATAAATTTGCCCAACTCTGCGTTACTACTATGCTTTCTGAGGAACACTTAGACCCTATCGGGAGTCTATATGAAGTCTTAGACGGCTTACACATGAAGTGTTTAGAGCCTATGGCACAAGGTCTTTTAAGGAGCCCGCTTTGAGCCTTTTAAAAAGTTATAAAGTAACATATAAACTGTCCCTACTTCAGACTTATAGATACGTAGTGGTGTACAATACATTTGGGCATTAGAGCATTGTATAGTTCTAAGAGATCACACAAATACATTAGGTTTTTTTGAGTCCTACCTACTGAGACAATTGAGGGAATATTTCCTGACTCTCGTGTATGACGTCTCGAGTGATAGTCCGATCTTCTTCACCCCCTGTCATGTGACACGTCATGTGACAGGTCACGTGACATATACATAGTTCTGTATGGTATAGCAATGTTGACCTTGGCTGTCAGTTCGTCCAGCAGAAAGTCACGCAGTTCTGACCTGTACGAGCACATTTTTTAGATTACTGACTATACCTGATAGATTACTGATCTATATCCGAGAGATTACTGACTACATCACGTGAAATACTGACTACACCAGGTAGATTACTGACTAGATTACAAGTATATTACTGACCTTGCTCTCCCGCAGGCTAGTAAAACAAGCAGCTCATCTGCCACACTGGCTCCTTCTTTCAAAGTCTAAAAAAAATCATAAAGCGAAGCAATAGAGTATAATTATAGTATTCAGTTGGACTGACAGTTGAGTATTTGGCAAGCTTTATGTCCATGGTCAGAAGAACGTCCTCCCAGGCCTCCGTCATGCAACGGAGGGTGTCAGAGGTGTAGTGGAGGAGAGAGGAGACGTGGGAGTAGAGGAGAGACAGATGCTGGAGCTCACAGTACCTCTCACGGATCAGATCCACCGACATCTGTAGTGGCAGACACAAGGTATATACATTAAATACATACATGTGGTTTACTAGCTAGAGTTAAAACTGAGTCATCCTAATTTTTGCAGAGAGATAAGACTGATTTTTCTTATATATCTCTGCACACTAGAGCTAATAGATCTTTAGGTAATAAGACCTTCATTATCCTCCAAAGTTAAACTTATAGGCTCACTATAATGTTTCACATTCCCTACAGACAGTTGCTTACAACTTGCAAGTAAAGTGCCGATTTCTGTCGGTGTGGGTCAAAGTTCAGGACAACTGCTGACAGTAGTCTCAGATCACGTGACAGGCATGTGATCATCACGTGATTCTCCTCGCCCTCCTCTGTAGCTGGTGCTCTGATATCAACATCAGTAGCACAAAACACCCCGCCAATACACACGTGTACTGTCCCTTCCTAAATATGAAATAATTATACACACGTCATACAAACAATATAATATATAAGCACCAAAAAAACTTCATTATATTACATTACAGAGGGAGAGAGGAAAAGGTTTGAAGAAGGACTGAATTAACATCTACCTTATTTCCAGCAAGAAGAACGTCGACTTCCCTGAACATGTTTGAGATGTCGAGAATTCAAACAAACCGAACAACTCACTTTGTGAGTGGTTTTACTTGTCTCTGCTGTGTCGACTGGACTCCAGTATCTACCTCATCACTGCATTGTAGTAACATATTATTGTTATCCAGCATCGAAACAATTTCTGGATGGTAACGATCTAAGCTAATCTAGACTAAGTGATGATTACTTCAGTCACAGAGGCTTAGTCAGTGGGGAAAATATTTTGATGTTTTGATGGATCTAGAAACTAAAATTATTCTTATTGATGCAGAGCTCACTTGGTTTCGAGAGAGGGAAGAGGAGGAAGAAATGAGAGAGATCTATCTGTGTACTGCACATGATCCGAGTCAGCACTGCCGGAGGAAATAACTGTTCGTAGTTTTTTAGTGTTGTGCAAGCTGGAGCAAGCTAAAATCTAACTCTAATTTCATACAAAATTGTACTGTTTGACATTAGCTAACTCCCACTTGCCGGTAATAATGCGGTCTTCACCTGCATTCTTCTTGTACCATCCAGTGTAGAGAGGCTATTGGGTGAGTGAATGTATGAGTGTGTAGCCTGTGTCCGTCTTCCACACTCAGCACATCCACCCTTCCATCTGACCTTCCCACAGCCAGCACTGTCAACATTGCACAGAACACACTTGGTGATTAACCCTTGGCACGCATGCGCAGCGAGGGTTACAGTACTTTGTTGGTACAGTTTTTGAGGCCGTGCCAACAATTAATGCACTAAGCCGAAAGGAAGAATGCTAAAACAGTTTTGAAAGCCATGCTAAATAACCAGCCTTGGTAAATGGGGGGTATATACCAACTCTAAACCCCTAACTCCCATACACTGTACATAGCAACACTATTATTGCAGGTAGAGTTTGACTACTATACCTTTCCCATCAGGTCTCCATGCTAGTGAGGTGGGCCTGCTCTCCTCTGCTGGGATGGTCCATACTCGCTGCCACGACAGCCTATTCACCATTACCTGCACAATGGAAACTCTCTAGTGTGGGTACGCATGCGCGCGTGTGCAACGAGCCCCGCCCCCTAGCGCGGAAACGATTTGCGCATGAGCAAACGTTCATGCATGCAGCGTGCTGCGCGATGGATGATTGAGAGAGGGGGGGTGCTGGCTCACGCCACTGAGAACTCTACGCAAATGTTAAATTTACCGAGTTGTCCGCGAATGTTGCGGCCAATAGGTCCATAGTGGGTGACCACTGCATCAGCACCAAGTCCCCGCTGGCCTGTTTCTCCAGTCTCTGTCGGTAGCTCAGCGTCTCCGCCTCACCCTCGCTCACACCTTCATCCGCGTCTTGCTCGCAGTCCATCATTTTGCCAGCGCTAGAGTAGAACTTTTCTAAGGGTGCGCGCGCCGTTGTTTCCGTCCGTTTATCTCCGTAAACTTACAATTATTCGCTCCTTACACCCGACCCAATTGGACGTAAACTCAACCACATTCTCCGCATACTCGTATTTATAAACGTGCTAATTGGGTGACAGTTTACAACCAGAGGTTTGGAGTAGCGGCACTTCAGGAGATCCATGTGACATTCTTGCAGTTATCTTGGTAGATCGCTGGAGGAAATCGTGAAGATACTTTTGTTTTACCCACGCGAGCGATCCTCGATCCTGCGAAGGAGAGAGAAGAGCGAACGGGGAGAAAGAGAGGTCCTTCATGAGCCAATCGGCGCGGAATGGCCAAACTCCTCCTGGCTTGCCTGAAACCACTGACGACAGATGACGACGCAGGTAAGAAGACACTGTGTAATATCAAGCCTTAGAGCGTGGCGTGAGTTGCTTGTATGTAGCTAATCCGTGGTTTTAGAAAAGTATGCTGATCGTCTAGTTCTAGCCTGTGTGTTTCTTGTCTACGACCTTTACACGTTTCTACCCGTTCTGTATCTACAGGCTCGACGCCACGGACTACGACAAACGGGTAAGCCGGAAATGTGTATAAGTACGAGTATTATTGTGTGGCTGTGAGGTGTGTCTGTCTCTTCCGCCACCTCCTGACGTAGTTTTGCTGTAAACAACGCACAAAAATATCGTTTGCTGGTCGTTATCTGATGAGGCCACGCAGCCTGAATGCTAAACTTGGGTAGGTTCTGTGGAAATGCCAATGTCAGGGAACATATCTTAGGAGAGGGTGGAGGGGGAGGGAGGAAGGGAGAGTGAAAATGAGAGGTAGTGTAAAAATGGCAAGGACACTGACATTTCCACACTTAGCTATACAATTGGCACGCTACGCTCACGAATGCCAAGTCGCAAGATTCCCCTGCTAACTCATAATCTTATGTAACAATCTGCTGCCATCCTCCTGTTCAGCCGGAGACAATTGTCTGGCGTCTCGTGTCCTATTTACGATAGCCGCTTGTATTTTACTTAGCGTATGCATGGGGTGCTAAACACGAAATATACTGGTCCTTATGAATGTAAGAGTGTCTCCGATGTATTGTGGTGTGTGTGTGTACATAGTCCTCGACAAAAGGTATTTTATCTCCGCTCATTGATAGGATGGGTAACCATGGAAACGGTCGTAAGGGGCTCCATGTTTGGGACGGACAATGTGTGTATGTGTGTGCCGTCGGTATGGCAACGGAGAGATAATGTAATCAGTGATTGCTGTCACGCGCATCATAATGTCCTAACATAAAGAATGCGTGTCTTCTGTGCCAACATTGCTTTTTTACGTATTTTCGTAAACAATTGCAAAACTCACAAGTGTTTATTGTGAAAGTTTATACAGTATAAAGGACGAGTCTTTGTACATGTGCATAAATCAGTCCCTGCAGCATTTTTTTACCTGTTATGTTTGCTGGTGGGTCTGGGTGTCCTCTATCATTGGGATATCCTGTTGGTTGTATAATATTATGCCTCGTCACTCTGCCAGACACTCAGCCTCAACAACTGCTCTCCCCAGAAATCCCCATTAGCAAGATACCACCCATTATTTCTCCATCGCCCACCCTTTTGGCGAGCTTACCTGGTCATCAGAATTGCACATATAATATGCGTGGACTTGCTGTCCATAACATAAAGCATAGTAATTTGCATAAGACCGCTGAGGTTCGCTCCCATTAGTTTTGCTAGTATATACTCCATTGACAAAGGTCTAGGGTTGGGTTGCTTGTTCAAGTCAAATGAAGTCAAATTTGCATGTGGCTACTATTGTCTTTGAAGTGGGCATCTCTTTGCCCATAACCATTCCCTGGTATTGTGTAGCACCCACCATAAGGCTTCTTTACTCTCCACCACATCTTACAGTAGTGACCAAGCATCTTACAGTAGTGACCAATACACCGCATACTGTGCTTCCTCTGTGGCTAGGTTGGCAGGGAAAGCTAGTGAATTGGCCCTGGGATGTACTTGTGGTTGGTTACCAGGAAAATCGCAGTACCACATTAGAGGCTTTTACCCAATCAACCTTCATGTGATTGTGCCTATCAGTGGGTCAGTATTAATGCCTCGGAATTCTCTTCCGTTGAACACTGTTTGGAACTTTGTGTCTTTGTCGTTTGCACACACGTCCAATATATACCCTATTATGAGAGAAAGTCAAAGTACCTATAAGTCGATACACTGTATGCCGATTCATATCAGAAAAATGGAAAACACTTTGAGCAATATGCCACACTGCACTAATATTTTATACTGGGAGCAAACAGTTATCCCTTACAATTTTGCAAAATTATTAGAGAAGTAGCTTAAAAAATTATGGTTGGGTAAAACATTATACCGCCTGTACAATAATAAAAAAGGTTCCCAGTTACGGTATGGGAGCTCTGCCCAAAAATGGCTAAAACAACTGAAGTACTCCAAGCTAATGACATGATTGTTTGTGTCCTCTGCTCAGATCACCAGACGGATACCAAAGCTCGGCAGCCTCCTCTTCCCAGGAGAGAAGAAAGGTGGCCTATGTGGAGTTACTACGACGCAGCAGGGAGCCGTTTGGGATTGGGGTTGAGGGAGGGACAGACAGACACCAACCTGCTCACATTGCTCACCTGCGACCGGGTGGAGTGGCCGATAAGTAAGTCAGAGCGTGGGAGAAGAGTGTGGGGGGAAATAAGGCTAGTTTCACAACATGTTGCATTGCTTGTCGCACCGTGCCACATTGCCGCATCCCGAGGTTAGAATCCCTTTCTATCTTCGCGGCACGACGCAATGCGATGCGGCACGGCATGACAAGGCAATTCGACGTATTGTCAACCCGGCCGAGAGGGGGAAGACCCATTTTCCCCGCCGCATGTGCAGTGAGTGTGTAGTCTGTCTGTCTGTTACCACGTTTTCTGCCACCACCATCAAGACTGCATTCAGTAGCTAGAGTGATTTTAGTTCAGCTGGGAAAGAGGAGAGGGAAGGAATCTGTGTAAGCTGTGTGGCGCTATAGACAGAATTGTCTCCAGATGGGTTTTGTGCATTGGACTATATCAATTCCAGCTGGACTAGAGAGAGCTCTGGCTACCATAATTATATCTGTCCCTCATCACTGGCTGTGTAATCCAATTGTGATGGCCAGGTCCCATGGCAACACTCTTCTTAGGTTGTGGTGCACTCCCACAATTAGCCCCTGGAATTAGTAGTGTATGTGGGTGGTGAATTAGCTAGCTGTGTGTAGATGCTGAATGGGCAGTGGTGTGTGTGTGTGTGTGTGTGTGTGTGTGTGTGTGGTGGGGGGAGGAGAGGTTATTAAATTACTGGCTCAAAGCTACCTCCCTAATTATTAGATTTAGAAGGTGCAGATATTAAGTTCCCTCTCTCCTCTGCTCCCTGTAGTAGCGTAGTATCTCTTGTGCTATGCTTCTCCTCGAGTATTGACCAGCTTCATTACTAGAGATACAGGCGTAGGGGCGGGCACCCTTGCTGGAGCAACTATAGTAGCTTCGTGGTTCAATCATCAAATCTTGTTGGTCGAAAATCTTTTTTTTTCAACTAGCTGCATTTTAATAGCCTAAAGTGCATGTGCTTATTCACTCACTGTACTTGTTGGTACATGGTCCCTTGGGTAGAAAAACTCACTCCTAAAATACCAACATTATTATGCAATGTTGTGTATACCCAGCCGCTACATAAGGTCTGGCTGAGGGAAGTCTGGGTATAGTTTACCTAGCAGATTAGTGGGTGCAATTGATTGTTTTGCTGTGACTCAATGGAGTGGACTTGGCTCTCTTCAAAGGCCAGTCTGTGTACACTGTGTCTGCCCTGGGGCTAGGCTGTCTAGCTTTTGTGTGTACTGAGAGTTGCTCTATTGGTTTACAATGTGGCGCTATTGTTGGGCAATTCTTGGACCCAGAATGTTGATATTGAACTCTGTGTGCCAACGTAAGTGTATGTGTGTGTCAGCATAGGACAGAGGTTGAGAGAAATAGGAATACAATATGAAGGCCCAACTCCCTGGATATCTCGGGAATAGAATGGGCTATCCGCACCACATTTTAAACAAGCACAACAAAAGTGTTGACAACACGAAATCTGGAGAGAAAAATATGCTGACTTTTACCGCTTTTTCGCTTGGACGGTCATGCATGTGTCGTTAAAGTGTGTGTTAATGGAGGTTCCACAGTATGCCAGTCTGCTCTACCTGCGTGTGTCTGTATGTTCACTCACAGGAGCCAGGCCCTGCAGACTGGGGACCGGATACTCAGCATCAACGGGACCTCCACCGAACACCTCATGCGCTCTGAGATAGCAGCTCTTCTCGACAACGCCGGCAACGTCGTCAACCTCGAGATTGCTTATGAAGCCTCACCAGGTATATCATGTACATACATTACATACATGCAGTAAGAACCGCATGTCTTTCATTGAATGAGGTCCATAAAAGCTTCTTTTCCGAAGTTCGTGTTTCAAAAACCCTTTTCCCTGCCACGTAGCTAACGCACTCCTGCAGAATCGCCACCTGGACACCAGTGGCACAGAAGAAAATTGACCATTTTTGTGAAAGGTGTCCTTATTTCAGGGGTTGAATTGCATGCAAAAATTCTTCTTGGGGAAAGGAAAAATTTCCTTTTGAACGAGGTGTCCTCATTTCGGGGGTGTACTTACTTAAAAAGAGCACTGTGTGTACCTAAATATTTTGATCCTGTCTCTCTCTCTCCTCTCACTCACACGTGACAGATGAGGAAGAAGATGAAAGTGGAGTTCTGAAGAAAACTGCCTTCCTCACGCTCACGAGAGAGAGGAACAGTTTTGGATTCACCATCAGTGGTGAGTCAGTGGGTGTATATAGGCACTGCAGAGGTAATGAAAAGCACTAAAGTGCAAACCCTCGGCGAACTGCGCATGCGTGGTACCGCTAATTGATGGGCTGGGCTATTTGTAGTATGCGTTTACTCGTGGTCTCCCGCTAGTAGCTCGCGGAGAGTCTGACACGGGCTGCTACAGCAGTAGATAGCATGCGGGAGTCGATGCAGGCCCTTTGTTGTGACTTCTTGTGCCTTCAAGACACACAGAGCAAGCGGACCCGCAGCCAAGATTACAACCCAGTTTAAGACATCTGTGGCTTAGCCTCATGCGTCCTTTTCTTGTTATGCACTCGTCGTGTGATCCTCCGGCATATTATGGGGTTGTTTATCCACTAGCTTATCCACTTGCTGTCCCTGTAACTCCTTCTGTGCACTGTAATAAGCCATACAGACCCCCTATAACCCCCACTATTAGTTTATAGACTTTTGCAAATGAATAAGACCCCCCTAAAACATAAAGTGTCAGCGGTAGTAAGAAGGCATATCCTTATCAAACCAATTAGACATCAAAGAAATTACTTTGACCACGAAGCGGCATGTCTAAGCGCTAACACTGGGGGGCGCCTTAAGATAAGGCTTTTGTTGGTAGCTGAGGGGGCCCCCGAAATTATTAACCAGTGGTCAGGCTGTTGGTATAGTTGGTGGGGCCTGTGTATAGAGATGAGAGTAAGGGACAGGTTGTGTCTAGGTGACCCTGATTGGGTTGGCTGATTACACCTTGTCTTGAGTACACCGGAGGGCCCATCGGACTATAATTTCAAATCCACCGAGTGCAAAATAGCATGTGATGCGCTGCTGCTAACGATTCCGACATGTTTTCCTATTTACACGAGTCTTTATATTAGCTTGCTGGACAAGATGGCTTCATGTGAGGTCTAATTGTTATGCAAGGATCGGTGGGAATGGGGGATTGGTTTGGCTGCACCAACTACAACTTCCCCAACATAGTATTCCCCTTTCCCCCTTTCATTCTAACCTTTCATCAAACTCTTGTTCTTCTAGGAGGCAGCAAGGAACGCAGGCCCATCACTGTCTCCCACGTGGCAGTCGGTTCCTCTGCGTTCAGGTGAGAGATCCACCATTATGACCATCTTCCTGTGTGTGTGTGTGTGTGTGACTGTTAGAGGTCTTCTCCACGGTATCACTCATTACATTCATGTTGACTCTTTCTCGTTACGAATGGTAGACAAGTTTCTACTACCACTTACTATACCATTCCCCTCTGCCTGGCCTCAATCGATTGTTAGCCTCGTTAGGTCCACGAAAATCATAGGTACCGCTTTGCTCTCAGGCTCACCCTTAACCCTCCTTCTCTCCTCATCACTTATCCCTCTCCCCCCCTCTCTTTATAAAGACATGGGGTACTAAAGGCTGGAGACAGAGTGCTGCAGATCAACGGGAGCGACGTGACCGCAGTCTCGCAGCTTGAAGCCGTGACGCTCCTTCAGTCCAGCGATGACACGTGTACTCTCGAGATTGAGTATGACATCACAGTTCACGGTGAGTCTCTCTCTCTCCTCTTTCTCTTTGTCCCTCTCTTTCCACCCTCCTGTATCTTTCTCTCTTTCTTTCTCCTTCTCCTACTGACCCCCTCCCTTCTCTTTGACACATCTGTAGACCTACACTCCCCTCTTTCTCCCTCCCTCCACCCTCTCTCCTCTCCTAACCTCCCTTCCACGCGTACACAACACAACCCGGGTCCCCAATTCTCCAGGGACTAAGAGATTAGCCTGTCTTGTGGTGACTGGTGGAAGGATAGAATGTCCCCCGTGTGTATACCAGTGGGGGGAATGGTGGGAGACCTGGTAACCAATCGCTGCCTTCCTTTGTGGTTGTGGAACCTAATCTCACGCTAATTTCCCCCGTCCACATAGCCAGAACTCCTCTCAACTCCGTAGACGAAAGTCTACTGTTCTTATCCACTCCACGTACGCCTTAGCCGCCATTTCGACGTATGTATATACATAACTGCTCTATGATTGAACCGGCCTTCACAGGGCGTACTGTATATATACATACGTCCACTCCTGCATTTGGCAGCCCCTCTTATTATTGACCTAATTGCACTCTATTCGACTTTTCTATGGAAAGAAAGTGTGTATGCCGCGAGAAGACGCACTGTGCAGTCAGTGTGTGCATATTATGTGTGTACAAACAGTGTAGCTACGATCCCACTGTTCCATGGAAGAGCTTAGTTTCTGGTCAAGATTCACAGGGAAGGTAAAGTTGGAAAGGGATAGAGAGGTATATACGTAGAAGGAAAATTGTGATGGGAGAGGTTCGAGGTTCGAGGTTCGAGGTTCTAAATGGCAGTCCAATAACCAGGTATGTGTGTACATGTTCCCATGGCCCTGTAAAGTAACAGTATATATGGCCATGGGAACAGGTAGCATTTCTATAGGTGCTATATATTATATATAGCACCTATAGAAATGCTACTTGGGGATTGACAACATAGTGTGTTTGATTTGAACACATGTGTGTATTGCAGGTTTATTAGTCAGAGCTATCTTGTATGTTGCTGTCTTTCATGAAGCATAAACTTTGTAACGGATACTGTGTAAATATATACCTGCTGTTGAGTCTTTTCTTACCTTTACTACTGTCTGTCTGTCGGTCTGTCTGTGGTAATGTGAATGTGTGTGTGGGTGCAATTTCTCAGGTGGCCCGAAGTATGTCTTCCCTAGACAATGTGTCTTTGCCAGACCTGTCCTCGCTGAGTGTGTGTATCGGCATTACCTGTACGGCATTGTGCTTGAATGTTGTGCATCCCCTCTCCCCCTTCCTCCGTTTTGCATTGTGCGTGCTCTAAGATAGTGTTCCTCTTCCCAATTTGCCATCCATTAACTACGCAAGCCCTTGTGTGATGCGTAGTGCTAATTTACGGTGTGACTGCAGTAAGCTCAGCCGAAAAGATCTTTCACATCACTGTGTTTGTTCCCCTCTCCCCCTCCTCCTGTCTCTCTTCTTCAGATGAACTACTTGAATCAAGGGGCCCCCTACAGGTTGACCTCATAAAGCCAAAGGGAGCCAGTCTGGGGATATCGCTGAGTGGAGCGCTCCACCTTGGCCAGCCCATGTACATCTCCAAAGTGAAGGAGGCTGGGATAGCTGAAAGGTGGGTCTTGTCAGAACAACCTTATTTGGTCTTCAACCTTTGGTCTGTATGACTTGTAGTACAGCACTAGGAGTGTGTGTGTGTGATGCAATTGTGGGATCGAATGCACACACACAGCACACACCTGCAATTCATGTTGATTAGTTTAAGGGGAAGGAGGGAGAGGCCTACACGGATTTAACCCCAAGTCTTCAGGTTAAAGCCAGCAATAGACCAATAATATTGCCTCATAAGTGAAGGGTGACACCCTGTGGCAGGAAATGTTCTCATGCGAACTAGAGGAAATGGGTGCCGAGTGGAGAGAGAGAGAGTATGTGTGACAGAGACACTTGTCTTCATGTCCCTACATCCCTCACATGTCTACATGTAATAAATGTACACTTTACTACATTTCTACAGCCGGTTTTACAACACCATGTTGATACTGTACTTTTATACTGTGCATGCCTAGCCTGTTGGTGGCATCTATGAATCATGTTGTCAGCTGTTGTGTGGGAGTGAATGTCTAGACAGTGTAGCCAATGTATATACAAAGGCTAATGGCTGTACTTTAACTGTGTGCCAGAGTATAGTATATACCTCACGGCTCCCCTTGTACTGTGCTTTTCAACATACAGTGGATAGCGTACAATGTTCCCATGTTGCGCGCGGCTTTTCAATGCAGCGTGCCATGCAGCGTATAGGGCAGTATTATGTAATGTCATGTAAGAGGTGTATAGGGCAGTATTATGTAATGTCATGTAAGAGGTGTATAGGGCAGTATAATATGTAATGTCATGTAAGAGGCGTACAGGGCAGTATTGTGTAATGTCATGTAAGATGCGTATAGGGCAGTATTATGTAATGTCATGTAAGAGGTCAGGAGCTTATATAGCGTGTGAGCCCATGGAAACTGGCTGCACTTTTGTGTGCTGATTGAATCAGCTTTGTACACGTCTCCATTTCTGTGTTTTTACCTGGAATCTGTGCCTACTGTATAAACTAGAAAATGTTAGCACGAAGAACCGTGTCCGTTTTGCATGCAGATGCAAATTTTTTATCTGCTCTACTTCCTCCCTTTAGCCAGCCCTTTTGATATGGGGATACAGAGAGGACTATTAAAAATGGGGGGACAAAGCCCCTTTGCGTGCATGTGTGTATATAACCAAGCACACACTAGGTGGTGCGATATTTGATTAAGGGGGCAAGTGCTCCCACTCCCTAAATTAACCCCTTCTTCTCCGTACAGATGCGGAGCTCTCCACGTGCGAGACCAGCTGGTGTCAATCAATGGGGTGACCCTTGATAACAAGACAATCAGGGATGCGGTTCGACTGCTGGCGCGGTCAGACTTCAACGTGCGACTGGAAATAATACCTGCCCACAACCTCACCATCGTCCCCGATCTCTCCCAGGAGGAAGGTGTGTTCACAGCTTCCATCACTACAGTGGAACCTCTGATAAGGGACCCTCCGAGATAGGGACGACCTCTCTACAAAGGACAAAATCGTCGTCGGCCCATTGTTCAGAGGTTCCACTGTAATCATCTCCTCTTTCTTAGCCAACTTGTACGACTCATAAGTTGTAAGTAAAGATGTGAAAGTGGTTGGTTGTCTTTCTGCACAGCTCTCAGTGACACTCTATCAAGGCTGTCTGATCCTCATGCTCCCCATCTCCCTGGTCGACAATCGCAATGTGAGCTCCACCCTCTCTCTCCCTTCCTCCTTCTCATTCTTTTGCTCCCTTCACTGATTTATTAATTATTCCACCCTCCAACAATGGTAAAAGTGTTAGAAATGGTTGGTTTGTCATTCTGTTCACTCGTGTTCCTGCGAAAAATGCAAAACTGTTCTAAGAATGGGGTACATTATATTATGAGGGAGTGAAAGGAACGGCGAGATTAAGGCAAGATAGTGTTGCTATTCCACCCTCCTACAATAGTCAACGTGTTAGAAATGGTTGGTTTGTCATTTTGTTCACTTGAGTTCCTGCGAAAAATGCAAAACTGTTCTAAGAATGGGGTACATTATATTATGAGGGAGTGAAAGGAACGGCGAGATTAAGGCAAGATAGTGTTGCTATTCCACCCTCCTACAATAGTCAACGTGTTAGAAATGGTTGGTTTGTCATTTTGTTCACTTGAGTTCCTGCGAAAAATGAAAAACTGTTCTAAGAATGGGGTACATCATATATGAGGGAGTGAAAGGAACGGTGAGATTAAGGCAAGATAGTGTTGCTATTCCACCCTCCTACAATAGTCAACGTGTTAGAAAAGGTTGGTTTGTCATTTCGTTCAATCATGTTCCTGCGATAAATGCAAATTCTTATAAGGATGGGGTACATTATAATTAATGATGGAGAGAAAGGAAAGGCAAGATTAAGGGAACATAGTCCATCCTCCAACAGTAGCCAAAGTATTAGGGATGGTTTGTTTGTCGTTTATAATAATGATTCTTCTTAACACTATCTCACCTCCTCTCTCCCATTTTGTGCTAATACCCAGTATCAGTGACCTCCAGTGGCAGTGGTGGTCACCACATGCTGTGTCATCCCGAAACCATGAGAGTCCAACTGAAGTCAGACGACATTGGGTTCGGCCTCTCTCTCCACGGCGGAGTGTCGGGGAAGAGATACCGGCCCATCAAGATTGCCGTCATTGAAGATGGAGGACCTGCTGCACTGTTAGTAGTACCTTCAAGAATCTCTCGAGGGGGGAGGAGTGCTCCGTTTAAAGTGTTCTCGTTGGGTCCTCTCATGTTGTAGTCAAACTGTCACACGGTGCACACCGCAAAGAACAGTAACACCCACGATTTTTAAAAACTGTCCTTTTTCTAGGACTGGTTTTAACCCTCCTCCTCTCCTTCCTCTCCTTCCTCTCCTTCCTCTACCCTCTTGCCCTCCTGCTTCCCTCATCTGCACTCTTCTTCCTCCCTCCTCTCCTCCCCTCTGTCCCTAGAGCTGGTGTTCTGCAGGTAGGAGACCGGATCATATCTCTGAACGGAGTGAACGTGGATGGAGTGGCCACAGCTCATCAGGCCCTGAAGCTGGTCCAGGAGGGAGGCGACGTTCTGGACATGGAAGTCATCTTTGACGTCACTGGTAATTTACCAGACGCACATTTGCCCTATTTCTACATAATGTATGTATGGGTAGGTTACACAACTGGTCAACGGTACTTCATATGTATGTACACATAGTTACACTGTGTTTATGATTCTCTAGCTCTATAATTGTTATATAGACACAAATACTGTATGTATACTGTACATTAATCTCTGCACAGATGCAGTTGTACCGACTTCAGGGACGTTTGACGTGAAGATGGTCAAGACATCCAGTCTGAATCTGGGCATCACTATCAATGGTAGGTGGATAGTCTTGCACTTCAATCCCTATCTTGCTTTCTACTATTCGTCTCCCCCCCTATTTCACCTGCACCGACTAGCACACTTACTTTATGGTGACTAGCACACATATATATACAACAGTGTGAGTGAAGTAATACTGTACTGTAGGGAGTGACAAGAGAGAAGACAACATTTGGATATCAAGCCTCAAGAAAGGAGGCATTGCTTGCAGGTATGTATGTATGCATTACCATAGTTATTATACACCAAAAATGCCCCATGTTTAGTTGCATACTTGCGTGTCAAGTAGTGTGTGTTTTACTGTTTATTTACGTGGTTTATACATTAATTTTCCCTCGTTGGTTTGCAATTCACCCACCCTCCCCTCCCCCTCTCCCCTCCCTCCCTCCCTCCCTTCCTCACTCAGAATGGGCACCCTAAAGCCAGGCGATGTCATTCTGGCAATCAATGGTCAAAGTATGCAGAACTGCAATCTTCGCGAGGCGGCGCACGCCCTCCGTAACGCAGGCGACGTCGTGACGCTCACCATCAGCAAAGAATGCTGTGAAAGACCCACCACTGGATGTAAGAACACACGCGCACATCACGTAGCAAGTCTTAGTACGAAGGGCGACGTGTTCATGGGGCTCTACGAGCTCTTCTGTAGCCAGCCTGTACTGAAAAATGCTTAAGAACAGGCAGAATCTTATGAAGCATTGTCTAACGCCCTTGCCTAGCCTTTCACCTAGTCTGTGCTTTCTGGGTTTACCTTAGCCTTTCTTTCACTAACCATACTTACAATGTTACAAGGAAAAGCTGTATGTATATGCAGTTTTCCACAAAGTGCTGTAAATTCAGTGAGTTGGACCTCTGTGTGGAAAACATGCTGGGACCATCCTTTACACACAGACGTGTCTTTTATTCAGTTCGAAAGTAGTAGCACCGGATCAAGAAATGTGCCTTATTTGGAGTGTCCTTTAAAAGTGGTCCTACTGGACATTTTGCCGTTTTAAAAATTTCGTACGTGTGTCCCTGCAGAGCTAAGTCCATTCTCCCCTCTCCCTGTTTCCCTCGTGTCCAGTGACACCGAGTGAGGCTGTCATATTCTCAGTCGAGCTACACTCCGATGGCTTGCCTCTTGGAATCTCCCTCACAGGTATACATTATACACATAGCCTAGCCACAATCAATCGGTGTATTACATGGTCCCACCACCACTGCCAACAGTAGGGGGTAGAGGACATGGGATGAGACAGGGGGAGGAAAGGGAAGTGGCACAGGGTGCATTTGTGTTTGTAAACACAGTTGGAGCAGAGTTAGGCGCCAATCTCGAAACCCAATTGGAGCAATAGTCACTCTTGGCAGCTGGCCGACGGAAAGCCAAATCGCCCGTGTGCTCACATTCACCCACAGTCAAACTCCCTCCCAACAACTCATGTGTTATGAAAATATGATGGCTGTACCTTGTATCGGCATTATCTTTCCATCCTACTTCTCTTTTCATCCTTGTTTCTCCTCTTTCTCCTTGCCTGCTCCCCCCTCCCATCCCTCCCCTCTTCCCGTAGGTTCTAACCACCAGCCACAGCCAGTGTTTATTGCCAGGATCTCAGAAGGGGGAGTGGCTCACAGGTATGCAATACTTACAATACAACATTCATATGCCGAAACTCTATATAATATGTTCACTGATACACTCTACTATGATTGAGGGGTCTCTATAACTGTTGTGTAATTGAGGGGTCTCCATAACTGTTGTGGGATGGAAGGGTTGTCGTTGTCAAGTTGACACAGGCTTTTTAGTTTTAGGATGGCAAGCACAAAACACGTTTACCTGTTTTACTGTCTAATACGTGCAGAACGGGGGCCCTGAAGGTGGGAGACAGGATTATGGCAATCAATGGTCAGAGTCTGTTTGGCAAGACTCTCAGAGACGCCGTTTTCATGCTCCAGAACGCCGGGGACGCCGTCACGCTCAAGATCAGTAAACTCAACAGAAGAAGTCAGTAATCTACTTGTAAATCTCTGTAAATTAGCGTTTCAATGCGTGTGTTTCTCTGTGCAGAACACTCTAGACCTAAAGCTTGGAGTCCGACAAGCAAGGTAAAACATCCGCATCACAAGAGCACAATTTTTAGTGCAAGTATAATTATGATTTTCGATTTCTCCATGTCCCCTCAGCTCTATCGCCAGAGGTACCGTGGAGGTAATGTCTCACCGCCGCGACGCCACACCCACCACGCCCGTCTCCCGAGACACGTTGGCAGTGCCGGGAACATGCCGATTGCCAGTAGATTCCTCGGAGGAGGTCTCCACGGGAGACAGCCTTCCTCGACAACCATCGCTTCCTCCGTATCGGGCGCCGGGACCCCCGAGATACCCGAACGACTTCCCTATCTGCCAAGGTCCGTAGCTTCCTCCCCGAGACAGTTGTCGGGGGATTTCGGCTGTGATGAACATCGACATCTTCAGTTTTCTCCGAGCGAACGCAGCGCTTTTAGTCGTCTTCCAGCTGTGGAGGACGATGAGGAGGAGGAGGAGGAGGAGGAGGAACCTGGGGAAAGGGTCAGAGTTTCACGACAGAGGCTGTTTGAAGGTGCCGCGGGTGCTACTGGTGGGCCGAGTTACCAAACCCAGCCTCCTGCTGCGACCAGTTTGTCTCCCGTGGAGGCGCTGTGGGAGAGACAGAGGAGCCTGGCAGAGAGGAGCGCTCTCGCTGAAACCGACGAAGAGACGGGCCAGGAAGACGAGGAGCTAGCGGCGGGGGATCGGTTTCATTATCGCAGGGGTTCCCTCCCCGTTCACCCGCTTCCGCACTTTTACGGTGGAGTCGGTGCCGCCGGTGGGCCCGGTCGATGGAACTTCAAGATGAGAGCCATGCCGCTTCCTGTCGGGCGGGTTTCCCCGCTCATGTCGGACCACGAACACGGGGGAGGGAGGGGAGGGAGGAAGAAACTCCCAGCGCAAAAGGATCAGGACGAGCTTGGCGCTAATAGAACTGCAACAGGTACCCCACCTAACAAACCTTCAAGTGTTGCTGGAGATTTTGGTTCCCGGAGTCCTCAGGACAAGGAGAGCGTTCGGGAGTTGACAGAATCGGGGGAGAAGAGGGGCGAGGAAGAGGAGAGAGAGGAAGGCGAGAGTGCGAGTGATGAAGAGGATGGAGAGGAGAGGGTAGGTGTAGGAGAGACGGAGTTGGAAAGCTGGGAAGAAGGCGCGGAAGACATCGAAAACGGAGCTAAAACTGTTCACACTGAGCACACATCCCTCCCCTTCCCTCTTGTCCCTGCAGCCAGGGCCCTCCCTCGTTTCCCCTCGCCACCTTCCTCCCATGTCAAGAACACCACTTCAACCTCAACCCCGAACTCTCTCAGTAGGCCAAAACCGGCCTCAATCACTTCTCGGGCTAAACAGCGAGCACCAAGCGTACCAGCCCTACCAACGTCTCTCCTCGCTTCCTCAGTCGACCCCAACAATCTCCTGGGGCTCCCGGAATGTCTCGGAGACTACGAACGTACGCTGCACAACGCCCGGAACTACATGAGGGAGTTTAAAGCTCTCGCCGAGAGCGGATCCTCGGACCAAGAGAGCGACCCTGAGCCGACTCTCAGCACCAAACTGAAAGCCGCCGAGATAATGGAGCAGATCAGCTCGGCTGCGAAAGTCCCAGCACTCATCCAGCACCATCTGGTGACACTGCACAAAGAGAGCAAAGAGACTGATCTAGGGTTCAGTCTGTCAGACGGTCTCGGCGAGCCTGGTGTCTACGTGAAGAGCATACACTCTGGCGGGCTGGCAGAGAAAAACGGAGAACTCCGACCGTTTGACCGCATCATGAAGGTTTGTAAACCCCTTTTCTTATCTTTTGTTTGTTGCTACCGGTAGCGTTTGTGCTTTTAGCTTCTGTAAATGGGCCCTTCTTATCAGGCCCCCGTTTCTCGAAGATGTACACTACACATCCAGCACCATCCTGCTCTCACTGTTGCTGGCTTATTCAGTTTCGCCCTGTTTTGACCTCAGCCACTCTTGTTACAATATAATAATACCATTTCTTGCCCTCTTCGCCTCCCAATGATGACTATATTATAGATCAATGATGAGGTGGTGAGGGACTACGACTGCTGCAGAGTGGTCCCTCTCCTGCAGGAGCTGACGTCCGACGTCGCGCTCCTCGTGGCAAGAAACTCTCTTTCAAAATCTCAACCTTCTACTGCTGCTGGGTCCAAGTAACGGTGTTTCACGGCACACTTTCGGATTGTGAAGCAGTGTCAATTTTCTCAATTGTAATTTTTGTGTTTTTGATGTTGTGTAGTTGTGTTTTTCATCTTCATATCATTGTTGCAGAGCACATTCTGAAAGTATTGCGCATGCGTTGGAGCGCCGTGCGCTTCCGCGCGTCCGACGACCACACCCACCACCGCGATGCGGTCCGTGCTAGAGAAGGGAGATAATGTCCTGGTTTGCTAATCTTGGCGTGTTCAGGACTCTTCCACTGTTCTTTGCGATAGGCGCCGGCGTCGAATGGTTCATGATCCACGTCCAGGTCGGGAAAGAGACGTTCTGTGAGTTTACCCCAATTGATGCGCACCATTGCGTCTGCATTGCTCATATCTGTAGACGACACACTAGTGCGGAAAGAAGCCGAGCGGCGAGCTACAGAGAGAAAGGAGAACCAAGAAACGGTAGACACCGATACAAATTCGTAGAGCATTCCCCAAGCTCGCCATGCCGTATCGAATGAGCTGGAGCTACTATCTGAGCTTCGCAGGCTCAGCGCTAGTCTCTCTGCTTCTCGGGGCGTCAGTCGTCCACAATTACTACAAACCAAGTGTGGTAGGTATCATTTGTGCTCCTGCAGAATAGCTATAGTCGCACTATTCTCTGCAGGAAGTGCCTGAAGTGCCACCTTCCACTGCTGACAAGCCTTCATCTTTCATTGCCATCAAAAGCAGTCCAAATAAAAACAAATAGCTGTCGCAGTATACTTTTTATAAACGTATTGACGTCTGTATATTATTATTTCTTTGATCCTGGTATATACTCTTCTGTCAGAGTATAATAACTATAGTGAAAATGAACTTCATGTGTGTGCACACGTGAACATAAACTGTGTCAGGTGTACGTTTGAGGTGTGCAATTAATGCAAACTGCTATAAAATTATTGCTAGCTACACTCCAATAATTATACAACGAGTAAAACTTCATGTGAAATTAAAGGACAAGGGAGTCCGTAATAGCTACTTCACCTTTTCATACAATTGATCTTGGGTACTCCCTTCTACTGCTTGGAGGTTGTGAAACTCCATTACCTCACCGAAGAAATCTCCATCGGTGATCCTGGGTGGAGAGGCCGGGTTAGCCACCATACTGTAACCAGCCCCAATCTTTGCAGGGTCTCCAGATCTGTCAATATTCTGGTATGGTATTGGCGGTTCGGTGCCTGAGCTCTCAACCTCGGCAACTTTCTCAGTCGAGCTCCTCGTGTCCTTTAGCAATCCGCTCTCGGTTGGTGAGGAGTAAAACAACTGGTTGATGCGACCTGGCAGCGGAGGTGGGGTACCGTCTTCCCCTTGCTTAATCATTGAGTAGCTCCCTGTGATTCCAGTGGGACCGATCAGCGTCGAACGTGGTCGCATAGGCTCAACTTCGGAATAGGTCATGTTGTTGCCTTTGACACTGCTGCTGAAGCTGTCCTTCCTCTCGCTGCTGTCATCCAGTAGCTGCGGGGTGCTGGTAGAGAATGGGTGACCGAACCTCTTGGAGGAGTTCATTCGAGGTCCGGCGTGGCAAAGCCGGCTGTACCCTTCACTGACTCCTCGCTCAATCGTGATGCTCGCGACTACTTTTGACTCGTCTTCTCCCTCACCTGATTCCCTCGACTCCAGCGGAAGGAGATTAATGTCATCGTACTGCTGGATGCAGAGCTTTGCCATCTTCTTTTTCTGCCGGTGCTCCTCTGGGACCGTTGCATACAGGTCTGCCACGTTGCTGGGGTCGGTTCCTTGAGCATTAGGATCAGTGTTATCTATTATACAGAGTGGCCTTGAAAACTACTGTTGTTGCATGCCTTCATTCACCTGTGTTTGAAAACTCTGTTCCTGGGAGCGGCTCTTCTGAATGTGACTGTTCTTTATTCGCCGCACCAGACACTGAGTCTTGGAGATGGGAGCGGGTATAAGGTTAGCCTCTGATCAACGAAGCGACTTACCGGTGTGCATCTTTGCAACTGCTCCGTCTGGTTCCCGCAGAGCCTGAAACGATCTTGAGAGTTCGCTGCAATATAATACGTTGTAAGGCCGCTACAAACTAGCAAAACGGCAGGGGAATATAGCTAGTTACTAACCGTAGGCGTCGCAGGACGGCGCAAAGTAAGGTGAAGGTAACGCAGAACAGGGTCAGCAGTAACAGCAGCAACACGATGCCGAAAGTTGCAAAATAGTACCATTTTCCGTTAATTGTAAGAACGCCATCCTCACCGCTTCCCTCACCCATCCCTGTACGTCTTCTTTCCGCGACAACGATGTGCGCTGCAGATTATGCGCATGCGCGTTTCATACGCGGCGCATAGCCTAGCCGGATGGAAAAACTAACGGAAGAGGCCATTCAACTAGCACATTCACTACCAAGCTTCTCTGCAGATATAAACATCACCTGTAAGCCTTGTCTGTCACTGAAATACGGAGATATCTGCCTCGGAAGGTTCCTCCCAACTCCGACGGTAATTTAGATAAGCACACATGGGCGCCTATCTAAGTTAATGAACCGCAGGAGGAAGAGTTATCAGCAGCATGTGAAAGGTGTGGGACCTTCACTGGAGCTAGACTCAACCCTCAGCGGCAGCTCTGTCTGTCGCTGAATCGACCAATCACATTTCAGCGCTGCATCCAACAGATACTGGATGGACGTCCGGATTGGGGTGGTTGCCATGGTGATACTGCACCGCAAGAACCGATAATAGTAACGGATTACATCACCAGGTCTCGTGTGTCTGGTAACGAGGTGGAATTACCAGGGGCTCCCCATCAATTGAGTGTCAGTGAAGGGCGTATTATTCTGGTCAAGAAAGTCTTGCATCACGTACTGACCGTTACCGGTCGCCGTGCTGCGGAGAGCCAAGTCACACGAAACGTAATGTAAAACGTAGTATGGAAATCCTTTAGTTTAAAAACTAAGAAACTGTGTATCTATACTGTAAAAAGACGAAAACAAAGTTCACAGAATGTCATTTTCTGAGATTGAACCTCAAGTACAATATTTTATGCGTTACATGTGGACAGTTTTTTTAGCATTTCGCCATTAATTTTATTTGCAGCCTGCACTGTTACGTATGTTCTTATTTTTTGCAGTGTCCGGATGTTGCAGAAGCAGTGCTGTGTGATTCGAGAACAGCACAAAATTGTCTAGTTCAGAAATTTTTGGACTCATTTTCCTCCCCTTCCACTGTCTCTGTCGAGGCCCCTGCAGCTTTGAGAGAAGAAGAATTTCTTCACGCAATACAATCGTCCACTTACATATCTCACTCTCACCGCGGTTCCGTGTGCGATGCAAAGAGATTTCTCCATGAAAAGGGCGAGTTTATCTTGCTGGTGTAGGGGCATGTTGGTCTATAGTTTTCCCCACTTTGTTTTTCTGCTTCGTGTACACGCACCCGTGTAGCTGCTAAGAAAACTCCAATTGCGGCACTGTTTGCTTTCTCCCACAATGAGGGTTTTTTGACTAGGGAATTTGTGTTTTCGAACACAACGTTATATAGCTCTACCGTCCGTGCCCTGTCAACAGGTCTCGATGCCTACGACGACAATATCCACACTATCACAGGTAAACAACTCTTGCTGTAACACACAGCCCCTCTCTAAAGACACCCTCGAAATCAGGACACCGCTCTAAAGACACCCATGAGATGACGACACCTCTCTAAAGACACCCATGAGATGAGGACGCCTCTCTAATGGCACCCCTGAAATGAGGGCACCTCTCTAAAGACACCCTCGAAATCAGGACACCTCTCTAAAGACCCCATGAAATGAGGACACCTCTCTAAGGACACCCCTTCAAATGAGGACACCTCTCTAAAGACACTTACTTTTCCTAAAGAGTTTTGCTTTCAACCCCTTAGTTTGCTCTAAACAGAGACTTCTCTTAGTCAAAAGTCCCCCCACTATGATAATGGCTAATGTATACTCATTTCAGTAACATAGCTCTTGAACCATGTATTTTGCCAAAGATTTTGTCCTCAAACCCTGCCCACTATATATGATGATGTATCCTCAATTCAGTGTGTGGTGAGGACGGTGCTCCAAGTCAAGCTGGGTCTTTGGCCTCCAGTGTGTGGGACATTAGCACGAGGCTAGCGGGAGAGAAATCAGCACGGAGAGTGATCCACGCCACTCGCCATTCAGATAACTTCAAACTACAGCAGGCTTTGGTGCTGGTTGAGGTAGCTGGAGAAATTCAGCCCCAGCCACACCCCTTGCCTTCTCAGGTATATACTCAATAGGCAAAATTTTTGTACGTCTTTCCTGTTTTTTTTTAATTTCCCATGCCGCACTAGTGCTCTTCCCCATATTTTCATAATATTGGCCATAAATGGCACACAATTTTCACTGTTGTGGTGTTTTCCGTGATCTTTCTTGGAGTGCTGTGTGTCTTCTTGTGCGGCTATTGACTGACTGGAGTGTTTGGGTTTCAAGTGTAATGGTGTACGGTCGCTTTGTCCGCTTATGTGGTAGTGTTGTGTTTGGGAAGGGAAGTCTTCTGTGGAACGTTGCGTTTTGACACGCACACACACACGCACACTCTCTCTCTCTCTCTCTCTCCCCCCCTCTCTCTCGGGGTGTGAAACGGTCTTCATTGCAATGCATGTACAACATCACGAATGAGGCGTGGGTGATACACCAAGGTGAATGACTTGCCTAAGTGACGTACAAAATCACTGCACAATACCTTGGACCCACAAGTATAGATTAGCATACACGTAATAGGGGGGAAAGGGGGAGGGGAGGGGGTTGGTCTATAGTTTCCTGTTTCTGGAACACCAAATGTTGAAGGAGTTGATGAGGGCTGCTCTTGTTACGTCGCAGTAGTTGCTTCAACTCCTTCTCTGGCACTCCTAGCATGTCCGTCATGCTCTCTCCCTCTCTCTCTCTCTCCCTCTGAAGCATATTATTCTCTGCTCTGATGTGGAAGTCTCTGATGACGAAGACAGAGTCACAAAAGACTATCTGCTAGAAGACCTTCTCAAGTAAGGCACTAGGCATCATTTTCTCATGCCATACAGTTGGACTATTGGCTGCACGTGAAATGTCCACCATAACCGCTCCAGAAAGAGGCAAAGCCAAATGACCGAAGCTTTTCTCATCAAGTACGATGCCAAGACTCTCTGTAAGTGCTACGTACGTATCGTAACTACTGTATTGATCTGGGTCGTTGTCCAATCCAGCTGAGGCTAATGCTCAGGATTTGGTATCGGCTACAACTGAAGCGGTCGTGAAATTTGAATTACTTTCAACTGACCCCCAATCGAAAGTATGTGTGCAAAAATAATATCATTTTTCCTGAAATCCACACTCAAAAAGTCAAATTGCCGATGCTAATAGCGATGTCATTTTGCCAGTGAAATATTTAACCCAGCAGGAATACTGGATCTCCAAATTTGAATGTCACCTTATTTTCCAGTCATATAATTGGACTCTATCCTTCAATATTGTGGCTACAGATAAAGCTGACAGTACCTAGCAAAGCTAGCCAGAGCAGTGACGTTAGATTTGCTGGATCGTTTGTCCTCTACAACTTTGCCAGACTAGCAAACCTCGTCAGGAACTTTGAAAAGGCCTGCAACCTCGGTCAGAATTTGCGTCAGAGTACACACAGCAATTCTAACACAGCGTTGTTATTCTCTTCACAATGCAGGGAAGTACCCTTCGCTACCTGATATCAGCCTGGTCGACTTTTCTCTGCTCACGGATGAGGTGTGAACATTAGTAACGAATGAACGTGCACCAATTCATGATCCAAGCACAAATTTTTTCAACCTCAAATTTTCACTATGGTAAAGCCTCTCTTACAATAGCGATCCAAAGATCCAAATGAAGGCCACCTTTCTATAAAGAACATACTGCTACGAGACACCTCTACACGTGTCCAATGCCCCTTAACTTCAGGGGTTCCACTGCACTACGAGGGAGTGTGGAATAAAAGTCTTGTATCTCCTCCTCTCCAGGAAGAGTGGTCAATCCTATTCCGCCATCTCCTGCAGTTCCCGCTGGTCGTCAGGGAAGTCACCTCCAGCGTCTGCCAGTCTCGGGCACTTCGCTGTCAATTCAAACTCAAAAAGGCAAAGAATAAATCACTCCGTGTATTCCCTTCTCATTGTTATCTCTTTTTCTTTCCTTCGTGTTCTCTGTGATTCTTTGTTGCAGATCTGCCAGTTTTTGACTCAACTGAGCCACTGTGTCAGTACCTACTACAGCAGGGTTAAGATCCTTATGGTAGGCCCTCTCTTCTTCTTCGTGCACCCTTTCTCTCGTCCGTCACTCTCCCTCTCCTATCTTTCTTCTCTCTCTTCTCTTTTCCCTTCTCTCCCTCCCTCCCTCCCTCCCTCCCTGTGTTCTCTGTCCTCCCTCCCTCCCCTCCCTAGGCACCAGAACCTCACCTAATTCCCCTAATTCACGCCAGACTACTCCTCATTACGGCAGTCAAAAGGACAATGTACAGTGCTCTACAACTGCTAGCCATTGAACCTCCCCAACAGCTATGAATACCACCAGAATACACACTTTCAGTTTGAAAAATGCACGCTACAAACAGGATGTATAATAATATTGTGACAGGCAAACTATAACAGGAAACTCGTGAGAAATAACTTTCAACGTTTTTGGTATATAGCAAACACAAATTTGCAGGGAGTAAACTTTACGGCTAATAATTTTTCTCCCTCACAAGTTTCATATGCTTCATTCTTTCGAAAAATGATACAAATAGAGATGATAATTATTAATATGATCGGAGAACTTGGGTGTATAATTGTACGATGTCAGGAATGTTTCTGGAGGACGAGTGATGTCACAGTCTGTCCGGTTTTCCCGCCAAACTGGAGGGTTGGTGCAGGGATGACTGCCTCGGGGGACAGCACTGAGCCATGTGATGTGTGTTGTAATACTTACTGAATAGGGGATACCTCTCTAAGAGACGACATCCATACATTTACCTCTGAATACAGTGAGCTTCTATGTGTAATGGACGCTTGGTCTATATAAGTGCATAATAAGAGACGCGCCTATATATATATACCTGACTTTCAAGACCCCAAATATAATATTTGGAGGTTTTAGTCAACGTTTACAATAAACATTTACACAGCATCTTTCAATAATGAAAGCTAACTTCCGAGAATCAAAACACACAATAAAGGTTGCTTACTCTGATCAAAGTGCTTTGTTAGCTCTTCTCGGGTCCAGTTGCAGCTGGTGATGAGGAATATCCCGCCATTAGCGAGGAGTGCGCTCACACTCCGTATGTACCTTGACCTCTTCTCCTCAGCTCCCAAAGGGTCTAGACTAATTGCGTCGTAAGTCCCTTTGTCGAGAATTACGTCGAAGTTAGTTTGGTGGAGGAGAGAGTCATCTACATGCAGGACATCCACTACCTATGCACAGACATAAATTCACTGGATCAGTCTACAAAGAGAGATAATCAATATACAACTCAGTAAGACAGCCTCCTTCTTCTTCTTTATAACCTCCACTGAAGGAGAGTAGCCCTAGGTGCGGGCGAACCCTGCACCCCTCTATACAATGCCCCTGAAACGAGGACACTCCTCTAAAGATACAAGATACCCCTGAAATAAGAACACCGTCTCTCTCATCTAGAACAGCACTTGCCACTAAAGAAGGACACCTCACTAATAAGGACACTTCTTCTGGTGTCTTAGGGTTCCATCGTTTAACAACACTTTGCATTACTCATATTGGCATCCACCGTTTTAAGAGCACTCTCTTGTATATACACTGTTCAGATAATATACCAGAAACTGAATGTTGTGTGAGTGGAGATCTGTGTCAGCCACTTGTTTCGCCAGCTCAATGGCTGCCGGGGAGTAGTCGATACCAGTCAGCTCCTCGAAACCATCCTCCGCCTACGAGTAAAGAACACACCTTTTTATTTCCCTTAGAAAAACACACGTTACATGCCGTATAGTGTGCAAACCAATTTACGCAATTGGTATTGGGAAAATCTTCACAGTTGCCCATCAAACAACAAGATGTTGGCCCTACATACCACGACGAGTCCTGCTATTCAGAATCTGACCCACGTAGTGTGCCATAGGTGTACGTGTGCGTCACTCGTACGAGTTCCATTAGGAGAGCACCGTTGCCGCAGCCAATGTCCAGGATTTTCGTCTCTTTGGAGGAGACGTTTTTCTTTAGCCAGTCGACCAGTCTGTGCTGACAAGACAGCGAGAACCTGTGTAATAATTATCACTGGCTTTTGATAGCAGTCTTTTTTTAAAGGGAGGCTATATACCATATTTCTCCCGAGTCTCCATTTTCGTGGAAGTTTTTCAGCTCTTCTGCATAAGTGGCGTCCCAGCTGTAAAACGGTTCGTTTACCAATGGGAATTAGTGAGCACTATTATACTGCTGCACAGGTTCACACTCACTGCTCTTTGGTTCCAAGTTTGGAAGATGGCAGTTCACTGCCCTCCTCTGTGTCCATATCCCTTGACTCATGCGCATGCGCGCAATTGTGTAGATTGGCGCGGGGTGCGCGGTTATGATAAGGGCACACTGAGCTCCGCCCCCCTCCCCAAACCCACGTGGCGACACCCCAGAAAGCCAAGAAGCAGTGGCAGAGATGGAGCGCTCAAAGTCCAAGGCGAAAGGCAGGAGTGATAAGCTCTTCAGGGTAAGTGTCGCCTTACATCTTCGTTTCCAACGCACACCTACTCTGGAAGGCTGTGCGACCGTCTTTACAACGTCTCTTCTTCACACGTGATGCAGTTTCAATCGTTTACGGAGCGTATTGCCAGCATCAAGATCGACGTAGTGCATCAGACACGGACCACATCAACAGACGCCCCGGACGTAAGATTCGTAGATACGGACTACTTGTGAGTATTATTTGACACCACATTTTCAGGAGTCGGAAACCTTCTTTGGCACTGCACTACACAAATGGCGAGAGTTGAACTGTACATCCAGTTTCGGTGAGGCCGGAGTGGAAACTGATGGTCTCTCAGTTTTTCCACCTCCTTACCCTCCCTGCAGTTCAATTCCACGGCAAAGTTGTCAGTTGTTCCAAGTCCCTTCCCCAGCTCGTTCACCATAAGGTACATACAACATAAGTAACTATAGGCCAACGTCTTTCGTGATATTCTAGAAATACGAAATACAGAAAAAAGTATGCTTCTGTTAACACCTACGACAAACTCTTGGACTGTCAGGGAGTGGGAAGGATCATGTGACTGGTCATGTGACTTGTCATGTGCATAAATACAGTATAGTCAGTTTTCTGATACTCTGCATTATACTTACCAATGGTCATACAAACGTACATATTATAGCTAAGCCACTTCCCAATTCAATTGTTCAATGTATTATGGTAAATAACGGAACTTCTCAGCATCATTGTGACTTGCTTCCCTCCAATGTATTAGGATGAGATACTGACAGCTCTGTTGGATCATCTCCAATCCAGTGACACTCTGGCACATGAACCTCTTCTTGAGTGAGAGCTCCCGGCCGGAACGATGATAGCACATGTATATACACTGCTATGCTCTTTCCTCTCCCTCTCCCCCATAGTTTGGTGGTCCAACTGGCCAGAGATATTCAGAGTGACTTTTATCCACATTTCACCTCTGTGTTCCCTGTTCTAGTCTCCGTTTGCCTCTGCCACGATCCTCAACTGATTCAGGTTCTTATGTACATACTACAGCAGAGCATGTGACTTAGTTTGAGAGCTGTCTGTGGAAGTCTCTAAATCTTGGTTTCTGAAAATCTCAAATTTATTTATTTCCCTCATAATTTTATCCTCAGTTGGCATCGTCATTACTCTCTACGCTGCTTCAATTTTTGTGTGCAGGATGGATTTTCAGCCATTGCTCACATATTCAAGTTCCTCTGGAGACACATGTTGAGAGACATAGAGAACGTCTACAGGTTATTCAGAACACTCCCTCCTCTTCATCGCCCCCCCCTCCCACTCCCACTCCCACTCCTTTATGCTTTCCACCCCTCCCCCCCTCCCCCCTCCCTCCCTCCCCCTCAGTCTCTATTCAGAGCTCCTGGTTCAGTCGCAGAAATCGCACATACGACAGTTTGCTGCCGAAAGCTTTGGATTTCTCCTCAGAAAGGTCTCTCAATAGAGTACACTTTCGACATTGTCAACCAAAACAGGAAAACATTTTCTGTTAGGTTAGAGACCAGGAGAAGCTTCTGGGAATGATCTTTACGAGTCTGTCCGATAATCCCGAGGTGAAGTTTCTGCTTCTCCCCTTACCTCTCTCTCTTTCCCCTTCCTCTCCGTCCGTCCCCCCCTCTCTTCCTCTTACTTGCTTGATATTGCCCCCCAGTTGGTGGAGGGAGTGGGTCAGCTGATATTCGAGGTCTGTAAAGGGGTTCCAAGGCAGTTTCACTCCTGCACCGAAAAGGTATATTATTACTATTATTACCTGTTGTTACACTGCGCTTCTAACCCACTTAAGTAATGACTGTTGAATCAACTCAAAATCATTACAAACACTTGTTTTAAAACAGCAAACTTAATGAACTACGCAGCGTAGCTTTGGCATCACTAGTATTGTAGATAGCATTTTTCACACTGCTACTATAAGTGGTATATAGCGCCTGGTCGAATTATGGCTCTGTTTTTCACGTGTATCAGGTTTTGCAGAGTAGCTTGGAGCACATGACGTCGTCTTCATCTCCCCGCCCTCTCTCCCATGACCTGGTGTTTGCCACTCTCTCTCACACGGTCCAGCTAATGGCCGAACACACACGAAGGGATTTCTCTTCCCCTCTCTGGTCCCCTATACTGGTTTGTTCTACATACGTACACACAGACATAACATGTACACAGTGGCAGATTGTTTTCCTTGTGATTTTGATTTTCAAGGAAAAATTTTTCTTCAACACGCACAATACGTAAGTAAATAAGTGGGAATAGTTGCACGAAGTTTCTGTTCTCAGTTTTAAAGTTAAAAATGTTTATTATGATCATGTGAAATTTGATTTTTTAGACATCTTTCATTAACTCTGATTCTTTTTCAGTCTTGTCTGAATGGACTCGTCAGGCTGTGGAAGGCATGTCCCGAGTCCGTACCACTGTCCCGGAACCTGGACCACGTCCTACACCTGGTGGGTGTGGCAGTCGCCTGGCATAAGGGAAGTCGGATCAAAGATAGCGGAAGGATTGTAGAAATCCTCGAAGAAGTTCTCTCTCCCTCTTTTTCCGTCGCTGATTCTCTTCTCTCCACTGCTCTTCACCTCGTCACCTCGCTCGTGTTGGTCGGTCCCCACGTCCCCGAGTGCCACGCCCACTCTCCGGGGTTGCTACGGTTACTGTGCTCTCGGGGAAGGTGTGAGGAGGTGGAGACTGTTTTGAAGTGTTTTCGAGAACTCTCAGAGAAACATCCCTCATTTCTCACCGTGAGTTGTAATGTTTCTTTCTTTCCTGCCTGTGTATACATTCTTCATCATGTTCGAAGGTATATAATAAGCTCTGTGGCTTTTAATAATGTCTTCTAGAACATTCTTAGGGTTAAACATGTCGTGTTGGAGTAAAATGGATTTGTCTTTGTGTTCCAGAACATCCTTCCAGATTGTGTGAAGTATTGTGACAGAGCGTGTGAGTCTCGGGAAAACCACACCCACATCATCCATTTTCTTGCCGAGCTGTGCCTGGCCTTTGACCCCAAGTGGGCCCGCCCCGAGTCGGGAACCCCGGCTGGGAATTTCAGGACCCCTCAGCCCCCCTCCTCGGGGGGCCAGAATTTCACCCTGCAATTGGAGTGGGGGGAAGGAGGAGGAGGGAGGGTGCTGCGATCGGGGAGTGGGGTGTGTGGTTTGAAGCAGCTGGTGACGGCTCTGCAGGGAGTCGTTGTAGGAGGATACGGGATGGTGGGTGTGGTCAGTGGTGAGGGGGTGGAGTCAGAGGAAAGTGGGCGGGGCTGTGGAGACCTTGCCAACACTTGGGCAGCTCTGGTTTGTGCGCAACATTTGAGGTATGATTTTTCTATAGCCTTTTTAGCAGCTACAAATGCTCCTTGATGAAGTAGGTTTAGTCGCATCTACATATTATATTTATCAAACCATTGTGCATTGCGATTTGGTTTGCCACATTATTCCCAGCTCCGTTCCTTCAATGCTGTGCGAAGAAGTGAATAAACTCCTATGGAACCTGACACATTCCCTCCAGAAAACCACACCCACCAGCAACCAAGACCACACCCACTGCCAGCAGCTCCTGATGGTGTGGTCCCAAGCAGTGTGTACCCTGACCTCTTCTGGCAGGCCCCTCCCCCTCCCGTGGGACCACATCCTGCCTCTTTTACAGTATGCCTTACTTTAGTTGACACAAAAAAGGTTAAAAAGTTTTGTGACCAACTTTGTGGTACATAACCCTTTGAAAAATAAACAAGCTTGTTCAACCTGGTCTAATGTATGGTATGGATGCTAACAGCTTGGTATTTTTCAAAGGGAGGACTTTAAAATCAAGTCGTGTCCATTTTGCAGGTGCTGGCGAAGTTCACCTAATGTTTTGACTGCTGTGGAGAGATACCTGAATCGGCTTCCCGTTTCTTCTCCCCTTCCTCCTCTTCGCCTTCTCTTTCGACCCCACAACTGCCGCCATTTCGTGATCTCCTCTCTCTTCTCCTTCCCAACCTCAGTTGGCCTTGCTCTCATGTACGTAAGCCGCTGAACGACTGCAGTACACTTTTAAAAATTTTTTTTTGGTTTGCAGGTCCGAGTGTTAACACTGAAAGTGATCAAGCGGTGTTTGTCGCGTGATACGAGTAACGCAGGGTGTGACGCGACTGACACAAGTAATGCAGAGTCGGACGTCACAGCAGAAGATTCAGGAAGTAGCCGGCTGGTGGAGTTGGTGGAAATCTGCCTAAAGGCTGAGCAACCACCAGCCATTTTGACCGAGGTATATACCCATACTTACACACTGGACCGCAGCATTTCATTGGTCTAAGAACTGTCTCACCAACTGCAGTACAGAGCGAAGCTACTGTGGATGGAAAAACTGAAGTACAAACCTCGGACTCTGAACTCCCTGCCTTCCTTTGCCCATGAGGTCTCAATGTTATACACGTATACAGTGGGGAACTCCCTCTAATCCCGACACCAATAGGACAGAACAAAGTGTCCATGTTGGTGAAGTGGCCTCATTTCAGGGGTTAAATTGCACGTAAGAACTGTTCTTTGGGAAAGAAGAGGTGTCCTTATTAAAAGGAGGTATATGATTTTTAAGGGGTGTCTAGATAGAAGTTGCACTGTAAATGATATTTTAGAGTTCAGCTCGATTTTTTTCCCCCTTGTCTCAGATTCCACTGCGGTTTCTTATTGGAAGTCTGTACGTGAACTTGAGTCTCCTCTGGGAGCCAATCAAACACCTCATAATGTGCGTCATGTGATCCCCACATGACTGTCACATGACCAAAATTGATGTATCTGTGTTTCAGATCTTATGCCGTTGATGAAAGGAAGAAACTGTTCTGGGAGATCTTTGGCCATTTTCTTGAAAGATCTTCAAACATTTCGGAAGTTCAGAACACCACTGCGCCACCCTCCGAGAGTCACAACTGGCACGATTCCATTCCAGCTCTGTTCCGGTTCCAGTACGGTTTGGTGTGTGGTATGGAACGGGGACGACCGGACCACGTCAACTTCAGACGACTCTTGTGGGGCATTCTCTCAGATATTCCGTCTTTTGCCGAGCCTCGTTCCCGAACCTTGGTTCCTCTGTTTTTGCAGTTCATTGAGTGAGAGTATAACACACGTCCTTTACTAGCGTTACATTCTGTTTGAAGTTGTGGATATTGAGTTATGCATGCGTGATTGCAATTATAATGTGCATTTGCAAATAGAGACCCACGCAGCATCAAGGGTTTCAGAAGGCTATTTCCGATGTTGGATGCAATAGAGTTTCGTGACCTGTCACCCATTACATACAGATTTCTCCACGTGTATATATATACTAAGGTATTCTACCTGATCTGTTTGCTCTTCCCTCTCCTTCATCTCCCCAAAGAAAAGAGTATGCCTTGAGAGTAGACAATCTAATGGAGTTTCAAGATTTGAGGTGTTCATCTGAAAACGATGACTTTGAGGAGGAAGAAGAACGCGAAGAGAGAGCAAAGGACGAAGAAGAAGAGAAAGAGATCACGGCAGAAACGGAGGTGGAAGACGTGGCAATGGAGGTGGAGGAGGAGGAGGGGAGAGAGAAAGAGATGAGAGGCGGTGAAAACAAAACGGCTGACACCAAAAGCAGGAGAAAGAAGAAAGAGACGACAGAGAAAAAACAGAGTGGTGGTCGAGGATTGACAAAGTCAGTGCTAATTTCTGTCGAAGGATTCGAGAATATTTTGTGGTTTTTGTGTCAGGATCTTGCTGGCAATGTTGGAGGGTCTTCTCAAAGTTCACGAACCCAAAGGTTCTATACCGACAGGAGGACCTCCACAACCTCTACATGAAGGTGAGGCAGCTGCTTCTGAATGACTTTCCCTCCAAGCCTTTTGTCCTTTCTCTCTTCTCCCCCTCGCGTGAAGGAATAAGGCTTTTGTTTCTGAGTTCAAATCTTCCTTCTTTCACAGCTTTCTCTCTCCTCTCACTTGTTCACTTTGTTTGTGTCCCCCTTCTTTCTTGTCCGTCCCTCTCCAGCTGTTAACTCACAGGGACACGGAGGTTCAGGAGTTGGCCATTGACTGCCTCCTCACTTACAAGGCTCCATACTTAGTCCCCTACCAGTAAGCCCATGCCCATCCTCTGTAGCTGTAGACTTTATTGTGCCATAATATGTGGAGGGTGAGTAATTGTATGTACGTATGTCTGCAGTGAAAACCTAGGAAGGTTGATGGAAAACGCGTCATTTCGTGAAGAACTCCTCAACTTTAAGTAAGCACAAGTCTACGCTGTTTCAAATTCAACATTAGTTCTATCTTTCTATTTTCGTTTGCGTCACACTGCCTTTCTTGTGTCTCTCCCAACTCAGTACAGACAGCGATAATTGTGTGGTGGCGGAAGAGCACAGGACTGGACTCTTACCAATTCTTCTCAGGTATGTGGGACAGGTGTCCTAATTTGGGACGTCCTGATTTGAAGTGTCCTAATTCGGGACGTCCTGATTTGAGGTGTCCTAATTTGGGACGTCCTGATTTATGGTGTCCTAATTTGGGGTGTCCCGATTTTAGCTTGCCGGTATCAATATTTTCCACATCCAACCTCGTTTGGGTCTGTCTGTAGTATTGCACGAAACCTCTTTGATTTTTACCAAATTGAGAAATCCACAGGGAAAACTTATGTAGATTGTGCTTGTTACGCTATAAAAAATTTCCCCTTCCCACAACACATACAAAGCTTTGTGTTTTCCTTAAAGTTCCTTGATCTATATAGACCTATGTACCTCATCTACTTACGTGGGTTTTCCTTTCCGTAGGATACTGTACGGGCGTATCCAGAGACCGGTGGGTGTGGCTATGAGTAGAGTGGGTGTGGCCTCTAGACGGATGGCAGTTCTCCAGTTCCTGGCCGGCTGTGAGGAGAGAGACATCGACGAGTTCTTCTCTCTTCTCCTCCTCCCTTTCCGAACTCTTCTCGGTGAGTGAGAGAGGCCTAAAATAGAGTAGGTTTTAAGTGTATATTATTTAGAATTGTGTAAGCTTTGGACAACATTAATATTAAAGAAAACTAGGTTGGGCTCACAAACACTTTTCCAGATTCTAGTGAGGATGAGGAGCGACTGCTGGAAGTGGATATTGGCAGGGTTATCCCCCTCAGAAAGCAGCTGGGTTTTGTGAGAATGCTGTCGATGATTCTGGCGGTCCTTGGCCCCCGAGTTGAGCCACACCTACCCACCTTCCTCTCCCTGCTGCTGGGTCTGGCCCACATCTACCGCACCATACTGGACCACTCCAGACACCTGGTGAGACCACTGTGGTACTCTTGGTGGGACCACTGTGGTACTTTGGTACTCTAGTACGGCCGTTGACCTCTAGAGTGATGTGACCTTTATGCCGCTGTTTGACCTCTTGTACATACTATGTAGATTCAGCCTGTATTTGTGACTGTGATTAAGACCCTTCGCCAGCTGGTTGTCGTGCGTCTCATAGAGGTGGGCTTCAATTGGACCTTCTTACCACCAACTCACTGTACATTTGTGTTTTTTCTATTCTTCTTTCAGTGTTTCAAAACTTTCACAAATTACGACTTTTCTCCTTTTGAAGACAAAATCTTCGGGACAATAGTTTGGCCTCAGGTAAATAAACACAGTTTTTCACCTCCATTTTTCACTTTCAATATGCAGCTGGTAAGGCTACCCAGTGAAAGTATACAGCACCCAACTCCTCTCATGAGGCTGTTGTCAGCATGGAGCAAGTTCCAAAGGTAGCTATAAATTTTATCTAAAACCGGCCCACAAACACTTGGAAATCTAATGCGTACATATGAAAAATATAGTTTCTGTAAAACTGTTCGAACCTTTTCACTTTCAGATATCACAAACTATTGGGTCGCTCAGTTCCCAAGGACCTACAACCTGCGTCCCCTCAAGAGTCAAATATCTCATCCGGGGGGCAGAAATTTACCCTGGGGGTGCCCCCCATACTCCACTATGTGTACCAGTGTTTGTTCTCCCCTGGAGTAAGTGTGAAGGTCGCTGGCTGCGTCATGGAGATGACCCTTGACCTCCTGGAGTGCGCTGGAGAAGAGGGAGGAAGGGGAGAAGTCGGAGAGAGGGGAGGGGAGGGAGTGAGGTTGGTGCTAGCTCATGTGCCAACTCTGTTGGCCTACCTGGGAGGGAGAGTGAGGTCAAAGTACGAGAGAACTGCCGAGGGAGAAGGCGGGAACTTGCAGCTGGAATTCACTGTCCTATCAAGGTACGTAGTACATGGTTTGTATTGTGGGGTAAGCCATTCAACTTTCCAACTCATAGCACTCCACTCTTTAGACACTCTGCTGTAACAATGAGTTTCAGTTTCAATTTACTATATAGGATCAGTACCCATGTGAATGATTCTGAGGAGTGTGCCACTCTCGGTTCACTTCTTCTGCCCTTTGTCTCTGCCCACAAATACAGGGTAAAGTTGTCGCTGAACAACGAGAATGTTTGCTTAAACTGTACGGTATTCATTTTCAGAAACAGCAAGAGAGTGTTCTAGTTACTCTGAAGAACTTGCTGGCGTCTATTCGTGATACCAGCTCCTTTTTCAGGTGTGTAGTGTGATCATCACTAAATAAAAGGGGTGTATTAGCTTTATTGCCTTCAAGTTGTCAGGATGGCCGAGCGGTCTAAGGCGCTGCGTTCAGGTCGCAGTCTACTCATGTAGGCGTGGGTTCGAATCCCACTCCTGACAAATTTTTCCTCCCTTTTTTCATTTTTCACCCTCAGTTTTTCTTACTTTAACTCTTTTTCCTCTTTCCTATAGACCCCTCTCCAAATTTTTTGGAGAGTTAACATCAAGACAAAACAGGAAATTATTGTGCGAAACTTTTCAGGTATATACTCATTACGTAGGACAATATTGCGCACAGTATATACCCTATTGATGCTATATCAGGTTTTAGCCGAAAAGGATGCCAAGTGGAAAAGGACTGCAGACATTGTTTCTATGGTAACCTGGGCCTCTGGAATGTGTCTGTCACTATGGCAACACCCACAGGTAAACAAGTGGGACTCGAGGCACATTGAAGAGCCGGCCTACGAGACCAGACAAGAGGGGTACGCAGATGCTAGCGAGCTGTTGTCGTCGGAGACCAGCTGGACTGTTGACTGCGTTCTACCAATTCTCCATAACGCCATTTACACACTAAATATGGTCAGAAAAATGAACACCTTTTGTGCTAATTAAATTTGTGTGTTTGTTTTAATACAGAGTAGTGAGATGTCACTTCGTGATGCTGCTTCTTCCTTTGTCACTTGCCTCCTCTCACACGTCGGGACTGATGGTTAGCTTTCACTTTCAATATCCGATAACCACAGCAGCTGTTTGTTTACCTGTGCCTTCAGCTGGGGAAAAGTTTCATTACCTGGTAATGAATGTGGTCGTGACAGCAGTGAAGAAGGGACTCCGATCTGGACAGGAGGTGTGTGATTAGCTCAAAACCTTGCGCCCGCCGTCGCCCTTGGGAGAGGAAAGGGGGTCATGTAACTATTGAGCAAAAGTTCTTGGTTGGTGCTGACTTGTTCATGGGGCCACGTACGTGTGCACTGAGGATTTATTCGTTCAGCTGCCTTACAAGCAGATGCATAATATCAGTTGACATTTTAAGCGAGTTCTAAGATAGATTTACAGTATTGGTTTGGCCCGAGACTAGTGCGATATTTCTTACTCACGGCCCTCCCCCTCTATTCACCCTCCCTCTTTCCCTCTTTCCCTCTTTCCAGTTCGCCAGACTAGAATACATCTCCGTTCTCTCTTCCCTCGTCAAATACTACCCACTCCATCCTCGTTTCGTCGACATGGCAACGCACCTCGCCAACGAAGACAAGGAAGCCGATTTCTTTGAAAATGTGCGACACCTTCAGCTTCATCGTCACACGAAAGCCATGAGAAAATTGGCGACTGCTTGCAAGTGTGGTCAGCTCAGTCCCCATTCCATGACAGGGTTCCTTGTTCCGCTAGCTAATCAGGTTCTGTTCCATTCCACTTCCAACGTGGAACAGAATCTCGTGACGGAATCGGTGAACGTGATATCGGGAATGTGCCTGCAACTAAAGTGGACCAAGTACTGCTACTTCCTGAGGCATTACCTAAGACTTCTTACTAAGAAAAGCGATGTTCACAAGACCCTTATAAGGTGAACAGCTACACACATCGAACAATGTGATAATGATGATGTAATTTATTGTTCTATTTTTGCAGAGTTGTCGTGGGAATCCTTGATTCATTTCACTTTGATGTGTGTGGTGCTAGTTCTGGTACACTTGGAAAGAGGGAGAAAGAGGAGGGAAAAGAGAGAGGGAGGGAAGAACAGGAGGAGATAAAGGAAGGAGAGGAAGAGAAGGGGGAGAACGAAGAAGAAGAAGAGATGTCACCATCTCTGACTCTACAGCAAAAGATCCACGATACTATAGTGAAGACTATTATACCCAGTCTTGCAGCTGTGCTCACTAAGGTATGCATTCACGACTGTGATTTTTTGCCAATGATATTCGCGGTCTGAGTGCACGAGCACACAATTGTGAGTCTTTGCCACTTTTCATGCCCATGACATCTGTGGTCGCCAGGATAAGGTCTCCCTCCCATCCGTTCCCCTCCCTCTCTTGCTCCCTGTTCTAGCTGTAGTTCTCTCTCACTTCCTATGTATGTTGGCTCAGGGTTCTTCCCCAACACCCGCTCACAAGCTGAGTTCAAAGTCCAACGACCACGAGGCCAACGTGCTCAGGGTCCCAGTTGCCATGGCAATGACGAAACTGCTCCTCCACCTTCCTCAGTCGACACTCATCACCCACCTACCCAGGTTCATCAGTCACATGCACCTTTACTCACTTCATGAAGGCAATTTTTCGGAATATCATATGAAACATGGTTGCCAGCCTTTTTTAATGCTTTTACTCTAACTTGCTGATGATACTAAAAAGCTCATTTTCTACTTACACTTATTTTATATACATGTATATACCTCCGCAACGTCTTGGACACAGGAAGGAGCACATCGTTTAACTTGCTTGCAAAAATGAAAAATGTTTTCTTCCCCATCTGCTTGTCCTCCTCCCTCTCTCTCCCCAGTCTTCTCCTGAAGGTGTGTGAGATTCTGAGGAGCCGGTCGCAAGACGCGAGGGGTGCGGCGAGGGACACTCTGGTCAAGATGGCCGCTGCACTCGGCCCTGCCTTCCTTCCATACATCTTCAAGGAGATGAAGGACCTCCTCACTAGGGGGTATCAGGTAGCATTTAGCCGGAAAATTCTCCACAGACGCACAGTTTTTATACATAAAATTATGTGTGTGTAATGTTCATAATGCTTACTCAATGCTTTGTGCTTTCTATGTATTGTCGTAGTTGCATGTGTTGGGGTACAGTCTTCATTCCATTCTGAATGGTGTGTGTCCGATTCTCAAAACTGGTGACCTGGATCCATCTTTAGACCTCGTCAGCCAGGTACATATGTACATCCATTATATAGATACCATTTACCATACTCTGATTCTCCTGTACTGTCATTCACAATCACAATACAATATTTCAGATCCCCATTCTCTCATTCTCCCATACGGTCATTCCAGATTTCCAGATCCCCATACCTCATCCTTCTGTCATTTCAGATCCACATACTCTCATTTTCTCAATCTCATTCCAGATTCCCATACTCCCATACTCTCATTCTCTCATACTCAGGTTCTGGTGGAGGATCTGTTTGGAGTGCCGGCAGAAGAGAGGGAGGCCGGGGAGTCGGTTGCTAAGATACCAGAGGGAAAGAATCCGCAGAGCAGCAAGAGCTTCGGTATAATGGCCCAGTTCCTGTCGCCACGGTTACTGCCTCAGCTGCTGTCACCTGTCAAAGAGGTACAATGGAATCTCTGAACAAGAGGCGTTTTTGATGTACCCAAGGTGTCCTGTGTTCAAAAGGGAGGAAGGGAGAAAATGGTTTTGCTGACACTAATTACATATCCTTCCTTCACAGATACTAGAGGCCAAGGCGTCGTCAAGGACGAGCCGCGTTGCCGAGGAAGTCCTCCGTCAGATTGGCTACGGAATCCTCTCAAACGACGGACTCACTCCTCAGGCCCTTCTCGTCTTTGTTCACGGACTCGTGAGCGACGCCGTACCCCGGCTGTTGACTACCAAGCCACACCCGCCTCACGTTGCCACGACGATGCATTCGTCGGCTCCGCGGAGACCGGAAGACTGTCGTCTCATCCCGAGAGAGCCGGGGAGGGCGCGGCCTAAACCAGCCAGTCAGAGTAACGTTGCTATTCACGTCATCACAGAATTTGGTCTACAGGTCAGATGCTTGGAGTATTGATTTCTGTGTTGTATATACACAGCATGGGTTTGTGGAACGCGTGGTTTAACTCGACGTGTATGTGTGAATGTGAAGGATATGGTGGATAATGCCTCACAAGACATGCTTTAATGAATGCCAGTATCAAATATGTGACACTGGGCATGTGTGTATGGAGTTATGAGACATGGGGTGTGCACATGTGATCCTGCCCTTGTTGACCAGGTTCTGCGCACTGCCTTCAAGAAGGGAAAATTCGACAGTTCTTCGACCGAGCAGCTCCAAATGTTGGACCCCTTTCTTCCCCTCCTCACCCTCTCCCTCGCGTCCCGGCACACCAAAGTCCTCACTCACTCACTCCACTGTCTCCTCCCCCTCCTCCGGCTCTCCCTCCCCTCGCTCGACGGGAGCGTCAATCTCGTGGTGGCCGCTCTGTTCGGTGTCCTCAGAAAGTACGCCAGGTCCGGGGAGATGAGTGGCACGAACAGGGAACTAGTCGTAGCTGCCTTCAAGGTAACATATTATCTCTTATTTCACCCTAACTTCTCTCTATTTTTGCATAGACATACTAGCTGTTTTTCCTAACATTTTGCTTCTTTAAAATCTTCCTTGCTTGAAGATATTCGCACTAAACTCCCCCCCTTACTAGGAACCCTCTGCTTTCTCTACTGTTTCTCTCCCTCTCTACAGGCAATGACAGTAGTTCTACGAGAAGTAAAACAATCGCAGATTTCAGAAGACGAACTTAAACTGTTGCTGAGTTACGTCGAGGAAGATATCCACGACTACAGACGACAGATAACGGCTTTTCCTCTTCTCAGGGTGAGATGTAGTTGGTTTACTGTTTCATTTTCAATCCACATGCTACGCAGGCAATTTTGGGTCGCAAGTTTGTGGTTGAGGACATCCACAAACTGATGTACAAGGTCGCCCAACTCTCGGTGACGTCTGATTCTGATACCACCAGACTCCAGTGTCGTCAGGTTCACATACACCCATACTTCCATGCCTTCATACATGAAACACCCATACACCGATGCGCTTACATGCGCCCATACACCCATGCTTCAATACCCCATACAACTAATACCCTATGCACCCATGCTCCTATAATCCATACTGTCATACACTCATGCCCCAATACACCCATACTCTCATACACCCATTCTCCAATACCCCATACTCCCATACACACATGCTTCAATACACCTATACAACTAATACCCTATGCACCCATGCTCCTATACCCGTATAATCCATACACCCATACTCTCATACACTCGTGCCGCAACACACCCATACTCTCATACACCAATACCCCATACTCCCATACACGCATGCTTCAATACCCCCATACTCCCATACTCTCATACCCCCATGCATGCATTCCCTGGTACTGGTTCTCGGTACTGATGTCCAGGCCGTGGTACACTATGTCATGGACTATCCACTGGGGAAGAAACTGAAGAAGATCCTCGACTTCTACGTCTGCAACCTGAGGTATGAGACTGACCCTGTGTGTAGAGTGATCATGTGACTGTCATGTGACCAGCTACGAGGACCAGAATGGGAGGGAGAGTGTGGTAGAGTTCTTTTCCCTCATCTTCAGTAAATTTCCAGACGTAAGTGGTTCCACAGTTCCAAGGCACTGTAGTTTTATTTACAGTTGTCCATTGTGTTCAATGCCTATTCTCGCTCTCCTTTAGCCTAATCTAGGACTTTAGAATAATCTTGCCCAACCAAAGGTTGGATTATACCTCAATAGCATCATTCGTCTCCATTTTCACCACCAATTCCCTGTCAACAGTTGCTGATTCGTCGCTATGCCTCCTTCTTTTTCCTCCCTCTGTCGGCTCAACTGGCAAACGATGACTCGTCGACCGTCAAGAGAATGATAACCCAGACCCTCTCCTCTCTCTTCAAGAGGGTAAGTAGTCGGCCAGTGTCTGTTCTCTGTGCTGTTGCCAAGCACTGCCGATGATGTCGCGTTTTTCTCCAGCTCAATTCTGCTGCGATGAATGATGTCATCGCCATGGTGAAGACATGGCTTTCACACACACAGGTGAGACTGTGTGTGGTTTTTAAAAAAATGGTTTTTGTAAATTTCAATTTCAAGTTTTCAATTTTTCCAGACTACCTCTCTTCCCCCTATTATCTTTAAATATTCACACATTTTTGCGTGAAAATCACAAAAATGCTCAAATGCGCTGCCAATCCTTGCTTCCTCGCACGGTTAATTTGATCTAATCATCATCTCAATTGAAGCTCGCCAGTGGTGATGTCATCATTACGTCATTCTTCCCACAGCTCTCCCACAAGAAGCTGGCGGTACAGTTGGTCGGAATACTGACTGAGTCTCAGGGCCGACCTTTTGAGGCCCACCTCCCCACCTTCCTCCCTCTCCTCTCTCACTCCCTTCTACTACAGCACCAATACCCCGTCGACGGGGAGGAGCTTATTTCCATGGCAACCAATGAACCAGTTTCCATGGTGACCGAGGAGTCTGTTTCCGTGGAGAGTGGAGCTATGGAAATGGGCCGCGTTTCGAAAGAGACTAAAAATGGTACTGAAGGAAATGGCAGTGATAACGAGGAAGGTTTGACCGTTGAAGATGAAATTGAAAATGAAACTAGGGCACCGGATGAAAGATCGCTGGATCACTTTTTGTTTGGGGTCGTCACCGTGTTGAGCAAGTTGCTCACCACCTGTGGCGCTCTGAGGTCGCCCCTTCATCAGACACTCGTCACGAGCACCATGGGTGAGTGAGTGGACCCATTGCTGCGTGTCTCTCTCTCTCTCTTCCTCCTATAAGCGACCATTGGTGTGTGTATCACCGAGTGGAGTAAGAATGGCAGTGGTCGCATTTGCCCTGCCGTCTCATGCTTTGCTACTTTGCTTCAATGTTCCGGGGCCTCTACAAATCATATACATGCAGCACAACTTGTAGTGGTCCACCCAAAGAAGTGCATGATAATAGAAGTGGTGTCTATTGCATGAAGTGTATGTTGCATATTATGGATCCATCATCCCATACATTGAAGATGGTAAGACGAACATCTTTCTTTCTCTGCCACAGAGCAAGTAGAGAGTCTTCTGCTCCATCCCCACGCCTGGGTCCGACTTGCCTCCTGTCAGCTCTTCGGTCACCTCTTTGCTGCCTACAAGCCCCAGGAACTGGTTGCGTTGCTCGAGACGACGGGAGAAGAGGAACCAGCTGCTGTCTCTCTATCGTCGTCGGGGGAGAAGGGAGAGAGGGGGATGGGTGGGGGGAGGAAGAGAAAGAGAAGGAAATCGGGAGTGGGTGTGGTCTCATCAGAGTACTTAGTGAGGGATCCTATCACAAAGGTATGTAGTGAGAAGCCAGTAGTACCAAGAGACGAATTTCACAAAGAATGCGTTGCGACTTTCGTACATGTGTGTGAATTGTTTGTGGAGAAACTTTCAAAGCTTTCACAGATACTGAAATTATTTTTTTATGTTTTAATAGCGGTTTTGATGTCACAAATCATCTTTCTGATGTTTTCAGGTTCCTGAGTTGTGTCACAAGTTCTGTGTCCAGCTCAGCTCTCATCTGCTCACTCCAGAACTGGCCAATCAGGTTCAGCGTAGACGTCATGTGACAATCACATGTCCAACATCTGTCTCTCGCACAGGCTGTCAAGAATCTGGTGTTCCTGGCTAAAGTTCTTCACAGAATGATGGAAGCTGGTCACATGACCTCACATGCAGATCATGTGACTGATCACATGACCCCCTGTGTAGATCGCACATCGAGCAGTACAACCACCAACTGTGGCACTGAAAGTGAAGGTTGTTTTGGCATCAATGAAGACCAAGATGAACCTGGTGGTACCACAGAAGACCACTATGAGGACCACTGTGGTAGCAACGGGGACCGCAGTGGTCATCGAACGGTGCAAGACTTGCACTGGCTGGTGGGAAGAATGGATCGACTGGCTCGGCGTGAGGCTGGCAAGACCCCTCATCAGTCCTTGAAGGTAATATAACAAAGAGACCACCACAAGTAGAAAGGAAGACAAAACTACATATAAAAGTTGTTCAACCTATCTTTTTTTCAGCGCACCAGTGTGCTTCAGTGGATGGCAGCTTTATCTCTTGATCTAGGCTCCACCCACCTCCCCTCTTACCTCCCAGTACTATTAGCCACACCCTACAGGTAAGAATCAATTTTTATATCCTAACAGTTGTGGGTTTCGTAATGAAATTCATTGCCCATGCCCATAGCTCTCAAAAAATTTCCTAGCTGAGCTATGCTTGTGGTTTTCATAATGATATTCATTTACTTTTAGTAACTGTTCTTAGTTTGACCCAATGCTTGTGGTTTTCATAATGATATTCACGTTGGCCCCACCCCCAAGGGAGCTGACAGACCCCAACAAGACTGCGGGGGAAGGACTCCACTGTCTGGCTGGTGAGGTTGTCGAGGTGATGAAGGGGACGTGTGGGAAGGAAGAGTTTTCCAGGGCCTACACTGTCGTCCATCGCAGGGCCCTCGACGCGAGAGAAAAGAGGAAGAAACATGCAGCCTTGGAGGTGAGCGGCGGCCATTTTTCAGGATAAGAAGGGAGGTTCAGCACTGAAAAGGGAGAAAGCATTTTTATAAGGATGCCTTCACTTGTTGCACTGACTAACGCAGCCCCACCCACACTGTAACTTGCAGAAGCTCCTCTTTAATTGCTGCCCCATGAGGATCTACTCTATGGAGCGATGCTCTGAGTCTAGCTTGGCCAATGGGCCAACGCTATATGCAAAACTGGACAAGAGAATTGTTGGGGAGTGGTAGAAATTCTGTACAGAACCCCATAACCCCATAACCCTGTTTTACATCTTTCTCCGCCTCCTCTCCCTGTCTCTTTACTACAGGCTGTCATTAACCCAGAGAGGGCTATCCGTAGACGTCAGAGAAAGCACTTGCTCACCAGAGCCAGCAAGAGAAGAAGAATTCTGGCATACCGCCCCTCTGCCTCGGCTGCTGCCAAGAGGTTTAGACACAGAACCGGGAAGTGATAGAGATTTTATGTAGCTGTCCAGTGGTCTCAATAAAGTATTTGTACACCATGATAACACGTGACCAGTACTGCCACAGGAAATATCGTACGATGTTTGCGAATCAAAAAGCGACTTCTCGCAAAAGAAAGCTTCACAAAATGCAAAACCTTTAGTTGCTTGTGTTGTAGTTCCCATTCCATTAGCGATTCTTACACCGTTCGCATGATAGTATAATATTCTCTTTAAGGTGACAAGAAGTCTTCATAATCTATACCAGTGTTAGATCAACAGGTAGTGCGATATAATAATGATATGAAAAATGTTTGAGACATTAATCGGCAGAGGCATGACTAAAGAAGGTTTCGTTTCGTTTCGTTTCGTTTCGTCAATTCAAAATGAGGACTTGTCGGGAAATTAAATGTAATATACTAATAGCTGGGAGTGGGGTGGAATAAATACACTAGAGCTCGGAGTGTGGACATGGGAGTCTGGGAATCAGCGTTTCTGGAGTGAGCCGGCGTCGAGACAGGCAGTGTTGCGGGCAATGTGGACCTGGATTAGTTCGTTCAGCTCTTCCAGCTGCAACGAGAGCCTCTGGACATCTCCTCTGATGAATTCCTGCTCAGCCAGCAGATCTCTCTCCCTCCTCTCCAGGTCTGCAGGTGGAAGTCACATGACATCAGGTGACACCATGCAGCCATTGTGCTTACTTGCATATAAACTGGTGCATGTATGCATCTTTGCATCAGGCATGGCCCTTTCAAGAAGAGTTGAAATGGGGACTTGAATATTGAAAAGTGGCTCCATATGGAATGATTTAGAAGTATAATATATTGACTCCATTAATTATGGCAAAAAGTGTGGTAATTATTGTGGAACAGTTTCTCACTCTCTTCCAGAAGCAGCTGCTGACTAGTTCTCTCGATGAGGGCTGCGGTCCTCTCGCGGTAACTCTCCGCCTCTTGCAGCTGCTCTTGCGACATCCTCACCTTCTCGTCCGTGGCATTGCGGAGTTGAGCAAAACTTTCCTCCAACTCTTGGGAGCTCTGTTTCCAGAAAAAATATATACGCAGTATGCCGGCAGTGGACGCTTGTAAAAATGGGAGGGTGCTTATTTTGTTGTGAGCACAGTGCATGCACACTATAAATTGCCTGGGAAAACCGCACATTTTGTCATCGAAATGTATTCTTGATTGAGCGGTTTATCATTATTTTAGTGAGGAAGGCAGATATACAGCTTACAAGATCGACAGCTGCACTGGCATTCTCGGCTTCGTCTGTGAGGCCACGAGCGGCGGAGAGAGCTGCGAGATTGCGAGCCAATTGGCTCTCGAGTGCCCCCAACCTCTGAGTGAGATTGCCCAGCCAGCGTCGTGCGGAGAGGAGACTGGAGTTGGTCTGGTCCAGAGCTGTGTTGGTCTGGGGAGGGAGGGGAGGAGGGTGGAAGAGTGAAATGGGAATATGCCAAAAACTGTTCCCAGGAAGTTCCTTGTATTCTTTCAACATGTACGGCATGGGCATGCTTCCATCATGGCTATATGTCCTGAGCTATATCACTAAGTACGGTAGTACTTAGTATATAGGGATTGACATGGTACCTAGCATCATAGATGTATGGGGCTATGATAGGGAGTTTTGTTCATCATCATCTTCTTCTTCTTCTTCTTCTTCTTCTTCGACCAGCGTAACTCAAAAACCGAAAGAGATAAAGCCATGAAATTTTGTAGGAATGTACATATCGATAACCACATGGGACTCATCATACTTTTTTGTTTGTAAACAATGTTGTTTACTGTAAACAACAACAACATTGCCCCAGGCAATACATTATAATGGGCAATACGTTATAATGGGCATACTACATGTGTCAGTGTAACTCACAATTGGTAAGAGTTATGCGAGCGAAAGTTTGTATACACAATGTATTCAATAGCCAACATCAAAATCCCAACAATACATGTTTGTAAATAACAACAAATAGCCTCAGGCACTTTTCTTTAAATTAACTTCTTCACTTCTCAAACTTTCCAATGGTAGCACGCATAGAGATGAAACTTGGTACGTATGCCTATTATATCATTTCCATGACGATTACATGTTTCCATGACGACCGCATATTGTTCGAAAAGGCCTCAGGCAATTTTCTTTAAATTACTTCTTCACTCCTCAAACTTGCTAATTGTAGCACGCATGGAGGTGAAACTTGGTGCGCATGTGTATTACATCGTTTCCATGACAACTACAACAACAAATAGCCTCAGGCACTTTTCTTTAAAATTACTTCTTCACTCCTCAAACTTGCTAATTGTAGCACGCATGGAGGTGAAACTTGGTGCGCATGTGTATTACATCGTTTCCATGACGACCACAACAACAAATAGCCTCAGGCACTTTTCTTTATAATTACTTCTTCACTCGTCAAACTTGCTAACGGCAGCACACATGGATGGTATGCATTTCATTTCCATGACGACAATTTTTCTCTATTATTAATTTTTATAGGGGCTTGCCCCCTTCCACAGAGATAATACGTAGTAGTATATAAAAATGAGTGGAGACAAGTAAATAAAAAATCCTGCGGATTAAAAAAAGAGTGCATATAGGGATCGTATAAAAAGAAAGGGAGACAAGATAGGGATTGTGTTTGTGGAAGCACAGAGATGCTAGCGAGGAGTTAGGACTCCCACAGGTCATTACAACAGCCCTATATCGTCGTACGGTGGGAATACCTAGCATCATAGATGTATGGGGCTATGATAGGGAAAGTTTTCAATCTTCTTCGTAGGGTGGGAGTGGGAGTGATGAGAGAGTCTGTAGAATATTGCTATAGGTAATGAAGTACTTACTAATTACCTTTGATAGATTTGTCATGCTACATTTCCATGGAGTGCGCATTTAGGTGGAAGTGTAATCAGCTGACCATAACATTGGATATACATGTTTATACATGGAAACATGGAAAAATTGTGTAACGCAAGAAAACAAAATTCAAGTATGCAAGGTTGGCTGATATATTCACGAGGAAGTAGTAAAGCACCGATACGACGATATAGGGCTGTTGTAATGACCTGTGGGAGTCCTAACTCCTCGCTAGCATCTCTGTGCTTCCACAAACACAATCCCTATCTTGTCTCCCTTTCTTTTTATACGATCCCTATATGCACTCTTTTTTTAATCCGCAGGATTTTTATTTACTTGTACACTTTAAAGGAACGTGAGGCAGCATAATCATTAGGGTGAAATTTAAAACTGATTGATAGGGCCCAGCACAAGAATGCAGTTAAGTTTCCAGCCCCTATATCAAACTGCCACATGATTCTAATGCTATATTATACCTCTTCAATGTCCGTCTGTGTGTCAGAGTTGGTTGTCTCGGCGAGTGTTATGTTGTTGAGAATGGCCTGTTCTTCTTCTGTCAGTTCTGCCAGAAGGGACCGTAGGGATGACACGTTAGCCTCCAGTTGCTCTGCAAAGACACTGCAGACACAGTAGGTCATACAGCGGTAGCCAAGGTAAGTTATACATACAAAGAGAAAAGATGACCTAAAAATATGATTCACTGATCAAAATAAGCATGAGATCACATATGACAAGCACTACCCAGTTATATGCATAGCCTCAAGAAAGTTGGGCCCGACCCTTCTTTGCTTGTCTATAGCACAAAACCACGTCTCACTTGACATTCTCAGCTCTTTCTAGTGCAGTCTCAGCTCTCCTCTGAAGGTCCGTGGAATTAACCCCAAACCTACTGAATATCATATCCACCGTGCTGTTGATTGCCACCAGAATCTCCAAAAACTGCAGAAACAAAATTCAGATTGGGGGGAGATATTATTGTGATGCGGGAACGTGGGGGATGGTACTAATGGTGATGGTAAGCTAAGGTTCCTGACAGACCCTCGACATGTCTGTTGGCTCCATTGATTGTTCAAGGTGCATGGATGAGTACTTTTCTTACCTCTTCTTTGAGCATTAGCATTATTCTTACCTCTTCTTGGGTGACTGGTAGCGATAGAGAAAGAGTCTCCCTCTCAACCTCCTCAATGATATCGGGATGGATTCTCTCCTCCTCCAACCTTCTCCGGAGGTCGTCATGGAGACCGGTGACTTCTTGGAAGAGTCTCTCGGCCGACGCCTGCACCTCGCGAGCGGCAGCTTCGGCGTCCAAAGTCTCGTTCATCACCACGGAGATCTCGGTGAAGAGAATCCGTAGGAGTGTCACACGCCCGCGTGTCTGGTTCCTCAACTCCTCGGCAACTTCCAGCGCTTGCCTGGAAACTACGAGTGACTCGGCAGCCATGGTAACGAGGCCGTTACATTGGGGGTTCCCCCCACACGTATCACACTCTACTCCGCCACATTCGCCACACGTTCCATCATCACCGGAGCCGTTTAGCGCGGCTCCGCAAAGTTGTGCGTTTGCCAGGACTAGAAAAGACTCGTATTCGTCAATTCTCTGAGTGATTGCAGTCAGAACACGAATGTTTTCCTCCTGACGTTCGATTAGTCTGCTCTCATTCAGATCACTCCCGTAGTCCTCAATAAGACTCTCAGAAAGTGAGACGAGAGTCGTCACATTGTGCGAAATGAGTCGATCGGCGATAGTAGATCTCTCCTCGGCCCTCTCAGCGATACTCAGGTAAGATTCGAAATCTATTTCGGAGATCGATATGTTTCCAAACCGACCTGATATATCCTCGAAATCGTTTCGGAGCTCCGCTAAGAGTAGCACAAGACGTGACGTCTCGTTTTGAACACTTTCAGTTTCACCATCGAGTCTGGCAATCTCGTCGTCGACGGCAGCAATCCGCTCAAACAGCCCCTGCGTCTGATTGGTCAGTTCACAGAGTCGCTCGTGCAGCTTGGTCACGTTCCTGGCAAGCTCGGGATCGATCCGAGTGTCGTCCAAAACCTCTCTCACCTCGCCGAGAAGGTTCAGCAACACGACCAACAGAGGCACACCTTCGGGTCCAGGGGTCATTGAGGTCACCCGGGCCAGCTCCAGCGCAGACTCGACCTCAGCTCTCAAGGGGTTAATCCTTGCCTGCCACTGACCTGTGCACTCGTCGCAGGGCTCGCAGGACGGGAAGAGATCGGTGGAGTTACTCTCGCAGTGGGTGCACTTTCCTCCGGCCACGCGTGGCAGGCAGGAGCACACCCCGGTTGCCTGGTTGCACGACTGCCCCAGAGAACCCTCGGGGTCACATTCACACACTGTGTGGCAAATAGAACCTCAATCAAACTCTCAAGGTAAAACAGAACACTATGCAGTCCGCACATCAGATTAAAGCTACAAAAATGATATTCTTGGAGGCAAAATTTGTGTCCTTGATAACCGAGAACGATATATTTTTTTTCCAAAGAGAACTGTGCATCCAGGTGCATGTGTACATAGGGAAAAAAAATTATCTGGCATTTTGTACACTGAACAAAATTTTTACCGAATGAAAGGCCTGCTACGGTACACATAAAGGATTGGGAGACTTACGAATGCACTGTCCAGTGGTGGGACTCCAGTAGCCATCGCTGCATTCATCACACCTTCTGCCAGAATATCCCTGTTGGCACGGACACACATCTGCCACCTTGGGGACGGAGAGATTGGGCAAAGTTAAACAGTCTCGGTAAAACAGAAATTGTGTGACGTTAAAAACAGAAGACTTTTCCACCGACTCAAACTCACCGCACGGCAAGCTCCTCCTTCGGTCCCGGCCTCGCTGCATTCACACTCCATGCACGGATCAGTCCTCAGTCCCGATTCTCTGAAATAACCCGCCCGGCAACTCTCGCAGTCCGGTCCCTCGGTATTGTCGCTACAGTCGAAACACTCCCCTGAGAGTGGGTCGCACGACGCCGAGTGGAAGTTACAGAAACAGCGGACGCAGCGGGCAAATTCCCCGCCAAACGAAGGGTCGGTGGTGTAGCCGGGGGCACAATTTTCGCAGCGGGGGCCCCTCCGGTTGAGGGGGCAGCTGCAGTTCTCCACGTAGTTGACTGGTTTTGGGGGAACCGTTACGAAGGGGTCCGAGAGCGAAGTAGTGGCATAACCAAGGGACACACCGCAGAGCCTCACAGTGAGTGGAGATGTTCCGGGCTCCTAAAGTGGGGGGGTGGGAGGAAAGTGGAGGGAGAACATTGGTATCGGCACATGAGGTTGAGAGCCGTGGCAGTTTTGTGCTCGACATTATATATGCAGCACAGGCAGTATAGACCATCAACAAAAACTTCTCATTGAAGTGCATAAGCAATAGGACAACTTTCTTCACTTACTTTATGTGTTGTTTGGAATTACAAGTAGAAGAAAATGGACATAATTATATAAACGTAATACACCAATTTTTTTTATTTTTTTATTACCGTGACCAACGGCTCTTCACTCAACGGCTTTTCACGTGTTTGGCTATAGATCTATATAGGCCTTATGGTATGTGTGTGGTTGCTTACAAATACGACTTTGAGTCTGAACCGGTGTATGTTGGCTAGGATCTGCCGGATATCTCGCTGGCTGGCCAACCTCTTCCAAAACCACAGGTCCACGAGGAGTCTGTTTCCTGGAACCAGTGGTAGCTAGGGGAGGGAGAGGAGAGAGGGAGAGAGAGAGAAAAGATCCAAATGTTACAATTAGAGAGCACACTATGAAGTTTTCTCAATAATTTTTTCCATTTTATAGTGCAGCATATACCTCTAGCAGCTGTGGCTGGTTGCTAGGAGGTGGTAGCTCGGCAACCAGAGCGATCTGCCGATAGCGACTAGAGCGACCTACGACCTCCACGAATACGTGGCAACGGTCGTCGGGTGCCATATTTGGAATACTGAGGTTGAGACTCAGCAGCTGGTTGAAGGACGTCCGTCTGTCTCCGAGGAAATAATCGGGGAGCGATATGTAGAGGGAGGCTCCAAGTGAGTCGAATTCAAGACAGCCTCTGGAGGTAAACGATTGAGGTAAGAGAAATTACAAAAAATTACAGTGAAACCTCAGAAAAATGACCCTCCCACCCAAAATAAAGGACACTTGGGTAAGCCCCATACTAATACGCTGGCGTATTATAATCATTACCTATTATACCTCTGATAATATTAATTCAGGGAGATCCTAGTGTTCCCCCTCTGTGTGTGCATGCAACCCTGAAACAGAATACTGAAGACAACATTAACGTACCGGTCGGCAAACACGTCTCCGTCGCTACGGAAACCCTCCGTGGCGATCCCACCTCGGTCGAACCCGGTGACCACATTGGCCTGGTACCAGCCGTCTGCCGGTGAGCAACTTTGAGAATATCCGTTGCAAAAACAGTCGGTGCACGGTCTCACCATGTTCCTGTCGGGCCCCAACGAGGCACCGGGGCACCGATCGCACCTCTTCCCCTCCACACCCTCTACACAGTCACACTCTCCACTCTCACCGTCACATACTCCGTCGTCTCTCACGGAGCCGCGGGGGTCACAGTCACAGGGGGTGCAACCTTCCGGCGAGAAAATGAAATGATCTGGGCGACATTCATCGCATCTTCTTCCCCTCACTCCAGGTTTACACGGACACTGACCGTCTTCCCCGAGACACACGGACGAGTTGGACCCCCGCTCGTTACAATCGCAGGGAACGCAGCCGGAATCGGGGTCGGGGAGGAAGAGGGAAGGAGCGCATGCGTCGCAGGTGAGCTCGGCGAAACCCTCGGAGCAGTCGCACTGCCCGGTCGTGGTGTTGCAGATTGAGCTGCGAGATCCGAACACACTGCAGTCACACGCTGTGTGTGGGACGTCGAGAGGAGAGGGGGGGGAGGAGAGGGGGGGGAGGAGTATATACAAAGCAGCCGGATATAAAGATGTGTAGTTATTATTGATGGGAGTGCTCAGTAAATGACACATTGTAAAAAGAGCAGGTATAGCTATTAAGGAGTAAGTACCACCTTAAATGTATCAAGTATATAGAATGTCATGTGAATCGCAGAAAGACGGCGGAATTTTAAAATGAAGTGCTGAAGTGTTGTTTTCTCTCCACTTGCCTTGAGACCCTGTACCCTCGTGATTAGCAAATGCTTCGGTCATCATTTTGGGTGTATATACTCCACACTAATTCTGTGTAAACGAATGTGTGATGCTCCACTGCGTCACTTGATAGCATGCCTGCTCATGCACAAACATATGCCGCAGAGGGATTAACGTTTCACTAGTTCGTACGTCAGCTCAGAATTTTGTCTCACCTGCCAGCAGACGGCTAGTACTGTCTGAAAGATTAGTGAGTCGAGTGACGTCTGCCATTGCCCGCAGGCAATTGTGTTTGTGCGTGTCACAAGCAGATGGTCACATAAGTGTCCAATTCTCCTCTCAGACAGACATTTAATTAGTAGCTACGGGGTTAAACAGTGAGAGAGCTATTCGGTTAGAATTAGATACATGGCATCGTGTCACACACATCAGAGAGAGAGAGAGGGGGGGGGGAGCAAGAAAGCGTTGAGTTAGTCAATTTGGCGCACATTAGTCAAAACAGATGAAAGATTTTCAAAAAACTTATGTAACAGTCGCTCATGAGTGAACTCCCAAGAGACAGAGTCACTTAGACTGTTTTTACAAACCAGAGATTAATAATTTATCAAGAGCACAAGATGTAGGTATAACTTTTTCTTGCCACCGCACATTGACTGAATGATTGGGTATGCCTCATGTGACTAACATGCAAGGCATGGAGAGTTAATCAATCATATAAATTTGTCCCAATTGTTAGTCAATGACCCTATTGTTTGAAAATTAAATTAAGTCGTGAGAATTGAGTTTGCGGTCTTGACTTACGAATGCACAAATCTGGATCGCTCAGTTCCGCAGAGATGTTCCTATAAAAGGCCCACCGCACACTGGTGGCACATCCTCCCCGTGGTGCCCCCCGTGCAGTCGTCACACACGCCCCCACTGCCCCCCGTCTCCACGGCAACCTGGGGGTCGAAATGACAGCTCGTGGCCCGTCCATAACACTGGCACTCTGCAGATACAGAGAAATTAATGTGAGAGTGCATTGGCAAAATTTGGGAGCAAAATAATTGCGGCAGATGTAAAATGTCTTTGATGTGATACAGAAAAGAGTGTTGTCATTACCCTGACAGTGTCTGGAGGAGTCCAGAGTCTCTCCAGGTCCGTTGGCTGGGAGCCAGGGTCTGTCGTTGAACAGAGGAAGACAGCGATCGCAGTGTGGTCCATCCGTGTTCCCAGTACACTGGCATTCTGAGTGAACCTAGTGTCAGGGAGAGTAGACGATGACTGACGACTCGTGTGGAGAGGTTTACGGACATTATGAACGAAATTCATAGCTATGTACAGTGAAACCTCTGAATAAGGGACACCGTGGGGACATCGAAAGTGTCCCATTTTCAGAGGTGTCAGCAAATAGTATACAAAATTTCTTGAGCGCTCGAAAAATGTGATAGTGTTTATTGGCAGAAAACAGATTATGTGTTAAAATTGAAATGCTTTCTCTTTCTCTCGAGTTTACCATTTCCGGTTCAGACTGAGTGATGTTTTGATGACGTGTGCATGTGAGAGAGTGTCCGTTGCAGAAACAAGAGCCTTTCACCGCTATGCTGTATATTGCATACTGGTAGCTGAGGGGGGAGAGAGGGGGAGGAGAGAGAGAGAGAGAGGGAGGGAGGGGGGAGATGAAAAAGCTGGAAGAGGTGATCAATAAATATTCAGACTCTTTATCTACGGACCATTACCACCACAGCATACAATTGTCCATGCATCATTACCTCAACCATTAGACAAATAGTCCCACAACCTCGTAATTGCATAGGGGAAGAATATAATTTGTCCATTCACAAACCTTAGAGCTGTGATGGGGTCGGAGAGGTCGTCTCCGGGGAGCACGTTGAGCCTTAGAAACCGTATCCTGAGATTAGTGAGGGTCGTTTGGTTGATAACGACAGGAGAGTTGTAATCTGTATCCCCTAGCGATGGTGGAACAGCTCTGTATGTTATCTAATGAAAAAAACAAATGAATTCCTAATTGTGCATCAACAACAAGGCCCTCTGTAACAAAAATGTGAGTGGCTGTAAAAAAAAACCTGAGGAAGCCAACACAAATGACTTTATTGCTCTGCAATTGAATGTAATTTGTCAGCTATATAATATAGAAAGGATACTTCTCAAGTGGCAATTAGAGGGGCTATACTCGAATGGGAGACTTAAATTGTCCAGAGGACTGCCCATCTGCCAGAGAGCTACAGATGCAGAGAGGGTGTGTGGGTCAACAGGAGAAGCCTAGTGGGTTAAGATGGCGGTGAGCTAACAGTCCTCAGCTATGTGGAGGGTCCAGGTGAGGTGAGGTGTGGAGGTGTCAGAACAGATGGTCCTTGGCAGAGGCTCAGATGCCAAGCCTGGGTATCCTCTACCGGGCCTCTACTGGGGATTCTGCTTACTACAAACGTCCACCACCAAATGTCTCTCTCAAAGAGCCATAGCTATAATCACACACTCTGGTTTGTATAATCCACAGTAGTCTATAACTCTAGCGAGATAGGCAAGGCTTTGTATATTATACTCCCGTTACATTTTATACCAATGAGCGCTGCAACCAAATAAATTGAGTGTTTGTTCATGCATGTTGTAAGTGGTTAGTAAGTTATTACCTCTCCATTTGTAAGGGGCTCAATACCGGAGTACTGGGAGGTGCAGATTACTTCGTCAGCACTAGTCACAACACCGGACCGGTCCGGCATCCCAAAGTCTCCCTCGCAATCGTTCGAGTAGAACCGGTACGGTTCGTACGTGGCTCCGAAATCCCTCGATCGCTCCACCACAAGAGACGCTGGTCTCGGTGACCGGAACGTGACGATGACCTCGGAGAACGAGAACAGAGCCTCGAGCTGCAGTTCGAGAGTCACGTCCTCGATTCCAGTCTCAGACTGCCACCAGGTACCAGCCGTCGGTGAATCACTTAGAAACCTCGCCGGATGAGAGATTTCAGGGTCAGAGCTGTCGCAGGTAAAACACTCCACACTGCCATTGGTGTCTAGTGCTGTAGTGTTGGTGTGTTCAAGAGAACAGAACGTCTGGGGCCCAGTCAGTCCACATGTAGAAGAGGCTGTAAACGTTCTGCCTCTTGCTAAGTCCCCAATGACCAGTACACCTGGAAAGTGATAGCTAAAAGTGCACACAGGCAAATGATAAGTGCACACAGGCTAATAGATAACTGCAATCGAAACGACAGTTATAATCTACGCTGTAGTAAAGCTAGCTCGTTGCATCTGTGAAAATGTGACGGCGATTGTCACATGCACAGCTAGAATGCAGCATGCACGTACACAAACACAAAATAAACGGAGGTAAAAACTATAACGTGTTCGTATTATTGGTGCGAACCGTTCTGAGCTGAGCCGGTGCCAAGTGCGGTCAACAGCAGCAGAGCCGCGGCCAGGAGGGACGGCACCCGCCGCAGTTCGCCCACCACTAGTGGCGGCATTCTCCGTTACAGGGAACTGAAGACACGGTGATGAGGTGACGGTCGCTCACAGAGATTGCATATAGACGGTATCTCGATATCTTTACTGCTTAGCCTAAATTTGTGTGACGATTATCAGACACGATGCACGACGTACGTGGCCGATCGCCGTCTCGATCTCAAGTTGAATACTAATTACGCATGCGCACAACTACGCGCGTTCCTGCTCGCGCGGTGACATGGGTGTTAGCTGGTAAGTAAGGTCATGAGCTCAATATTCTCCTAACAGGCCAACTACCCCACGCAGTATCGTGATCTGGGAGCCGCCAGAAGGGCTCAGTATTGGCCAGGCTCTGGAGAACTTTCTGCAAAAGAGACTGGAGATATTGGGTGGGCGTGGTAAGGAGGGCGTGGTCTGTGGACTGTGAGACCATACAGAGTGTGCCCAACCTCGTAGCTGGTGAGTGTCACTTCCAGTTCTTGCATACCGTTCATCCCCTGAAATATGGACACTCGCCTTAGAGGGTTTTTGAGAGATCGGCCACTTACCTTCTAATTCACATCCAAGTTTACTAATAATAGGGGCTCCCCCCCATACAGTTGCTACGGCTACCCCGGGAGCTCCGAGGATGGCCAACGTGATCCACAGCAGTGAGTACCCTCGCTCCACCTTCCTCATCCTCGACAACCTCCAGTGTCTCGTGGCCGAAAACTCCCTCGATACGATCCTGTCTCATCTCAAACAGTTCTACCCGCCGCGCAAGCAGCCCCGGATCGAGGTGAAGGGGAAGATTTACCTGGCGAAGCAGTATGCCATCAAGTTTGGGGCCATTTCAATGGGCTCTGTCAATAAAGGAATTGTTGTCGAGGTAAATTTAAGTATGCCTATTCTCTTCGGGCTATGGTCTTATGTTGTTACATTTGTTTTTAATTGCGTGAGTCATGGAAGAGGAAAAGAAGAAGATGATGAACAAAATGTGGCCCCATACATCTAGGAGCTATATGTCATGTCCATCGCTGTTCTAAGTAATACCGTACTTAGTGATTGTACCAGTGTCTCTCAGCTATATAGCCTAGTGGTTAGAGCAGCGTGATAATGCGCCAGTACAAAGTCCAATGCACATGTGAATATCTTGCTGCCATATATATATATATAGCTAAAAAAATGCTCTACACTCAATTTCAGGTTGAAGACAAGGACCAGAGCAGGGTGTCTCAGTGTTGGAGTGAGCTCACTGCCTTCACCAAAGGTCTGCTGGACTCTTCTCAACCAATGGATGTTCCCATGTTTGCCAGGCAGTCGGACCGGCCATACCTCCCCTCTGACAGCATGAGTCACTACGCCTTCATCTTTGAGCAACTGAGAAAGACTCCCTCTGTGACTGGTGCCATCAAATAGCTGTCTCTGCGTTCAGGAAATGTAATTGTTATTTCTCTCACAACTCTACATTAGAGTATTGTTTATACTTTCACTCTGGATTCATCAACTCTCCATAAAATCTCATTTCAGCCCTTTTATCAGTGGACTGTGTGCTGTAATTGGACTATATTATAAAAACTAGAGCAGTGTTTACACTTCAATAATTATGAAGGTTAGATAATGTCGGTCACATCAAGTGAAGAGGATTAAAATTAATATGCATTGATCGTTTTATAACACCGTAGCATGGATTATAGCTAACAACTTGATCTGAGGAGCAACACTGCATACATACAGACTATGCAGAACAGAGTTGCAGCAACTACGCAGAATTGCAACTACTAGTGTCTGAAGGTATAGGTGGCTTATGACTGGTGGACCAGTTTGATTCTCTTTGGCGGTGGTTCGTTGGCTGTGGTCTTGTAGTGGCTGATGTGTGGTTCCGCCGCGGTCCACACCCTCCCCTCCCTCAGTAGTTTGGTGGCTGCCTCGATGTCTGGGCTCATGAACCTGTCCTTGTCCCACGGTCTGGAATGGAAATTGGGTGGATGGGGAATGAAAACATGGGTTGATGGGGAATGAAAACATGGGTGGATGGGGGAATGAAAACATGGGTTGATGGGGAATGAAATGTGGTGGGATTAAAGGTGTGTGAGAAATAAAGAGTGTATTATATTGGTGTGAAGTGTGTGGGAATGAGAGAATGGATGTATGGGAGTATGGGAATAGGTTACGTGTGTAGGAGTGAGAACGGATGTATGGGTGTATGGGAATAGGTTAAGTGTGTAGGAGTGAGAACGGATGTATGGGTGTATGGGAATGGGTTAAGTGTGTATGAGTGAGAATGGATGTATGGGTGTATGGGAATGGGTTAAGTGTGTAGGAGTGAGAACGGATGTATGGGTGTATGAGAATGGGTTGGTGGGGGTATATATAATTATACCAACAATGGTCAAGTAGAGTGGCTCACCTGACCACGGTCCGGACCAGTTTGTGGACTTCCTCCAGAGGGGGAGTGGTGGTTCGTGGTCTGTGGAACTCCAGAGCCTGACATGCTGCCAGCAGCTCTATGGCCAACACTTGTTCCACGTGGGACACCACACTGTAGGCAATAGGCAGTATAGCACACTACAGTGGAACCCCACACCAATGAAAGTGTCCACATTAGTGAGGTTTATGGGGGCACACCACACTGTAGGCAATTGATAATTGACAGTAGCTATAATATAGTACACCCCTGTCCACCATTGGGGAACCTCTCTCTTATCCAGACACCAATGAAAGTGTCCACATTAGTGAGGTTTATGGGGGCACACCACACTGTACGCAATTGACAATTGACAGTAGCTATAATATAGTACACCCCTGTCCACCATTGGGGAACCTCTCTCTTATCCAGACACCAATGGAACTGTGTCCACATTAGTGAGGTTTATGGGGGCACACCACACTGTAGGCAATTGACAATTGACAGTAGCTATAATAGAGTACACCCCTGTCCACCATTGGGGAACCTCTCTCTTATCCAGACACCAATGAAACTGTGTCCACATTAGTGAGGTTTATGGGGGCACACCACACTGTACGCAATTGATAATGACAGTAGCTATAATATAGTACACCCTGTCCACCATTGTGGAACCTCTCTCTTATCCAGACACCAATGGAACTGTGTCCACATTAGTGAGGTTTATGGGGGCACACCACACTGTACGCAATTGATAATTGACAGTAGCTATAATATAGTACACCCCTGTCCACCATTGGGGAACCTCTCTCTTATCCAGACACCAATGGAACTGTGTCCACATTAGTGAGGTTTATGGGGGCACACCACACTGTACGCAATTGATAATTGACAGTAGCTATAATATAGTACACCCCTGTCCACCATTGGGGAACCTCTCTCTTATCCAGACACCAATGGAACTGTGTCCACATTAGTGAAGTGTCCTGGTTTCAGGAGTTAAATTTCATGCAAGAAAGTTGCTGGAGATGTCTTATTAGAGAGGGGTTCATCTTTTTGGGGTGACCTTAGAGAGGAGTTCTACGGTATCAAAGTATGCTCCTAGTATGTTGTTCTTCTAACAGATGCAGCAAACCTAATGGCTTTCCTAGCAGCAAAGCCTCCCATGGAGACGTGGTCTTCCTGAGCGGCCGACGTAGAGATTGAGTCGACAGAGGACGGATGAGTCAACACCTTGTTCTCTGAAACTATCACACACAGAGAGAGAGTAGGGTTCACATCATAGCCCACACATCCAAACATACAGCATTGAAAGAGACATACTATGCAGGACAGCTCTATATGCAAGAAGAACAGGGATTTATAGCATTTAAAGGAGAGTGGGATGGCGGACCACTTGCAATAGCAAAAATACACGATGATACCTTAAATTTGCTACACATCTGTATTATGTGGGGGTTGGAATGTGGCAGTATAGTAGGAGTTCTTAGGACCCAGTGAAAGAAGTTTAGCCTAAATTTATGTAACCCTTCAACACTGCCACATTCTGTTTAAGAAGAGAACCCTGGCTTCCTTGCTTTAGCTAAGCTACTGATATGAACTTGATGTGTTAGCTCACCAAGAGCTGCCGAGGTGCAGTGTGCTATCATGAACCCAGAATTGATCCCTCCGTCGGATGCCAGGAATGCCGGGAGCTTCACTTCTCCTTCCCCAGCTCCAGACCCAGCACTGATAGCTGCACACACACACACACACACACACGAGACAGAAAAGAGGAGGGAGGGAGAAAAAGCGGTACAACATTTTATCTTCCAATTGAAGTGGATACCGTAGAGAATAATTTTTGAGGTAGACACTTGCAGTTTTAGAGATTTTATGGACATATGCGGTTATAAATCACATCAGGCAATCTAGGTGAAACATTGCTACTATAACCACTAGACGTACAAGGGTTCATCAGTCTCTCCTGTCTCCTCTCACTAATGTTGGCCAACTCGTGAACTGCGATGGCCAGATAGTCCATCACCTTCCGAGAGAGAGTGTTTGGGTTGGGAGAGAGATGGGAAGGGAGAGGATGACGAGGAGAAGAGGATAGAGAGAGAGAAGGGAGGGGAGGAGTGGCAGAACCGAGGGAGTGAGGGAAGAATATTTATACAGAGTTGTACAATGGAATCCCTCTAATCCTGACAAGAATCGGACCGAATAAAGTGTCCATATTAGCAAGGTGTTCAGGGTAAAAAAATGCATGCAAGCAACTGTTCTTTGGGAATATATGTAAGCTGTGGTTATTAACCCCTGGTGCGCATGCACACGAGTGTTACAGTACTTGGTTTGTTAGAGAGGTGTCCGTATCATTAGAGAGTGGTCCCCACCTATAGATGCAGCTGCGCTCGCTCACCTTTGCAGGGTACTCTCCGTGGAAATTGCCTCCAGAAACTAACTCATTCTATCAGCAAACACCATCTGCCAACAAAAGCAGCACACCTCTTACACACAGTCTTACAACAATATTCACTGGTTGCCTTCATGCACCGTGCCACAGAGATAGAATGCAAGTATACGTGACATGCCACACGCATTGCTTGTGAACCTAGCATTATATAGCCATACCGGGTTGTCGAGGGCAGAGTTCATCTCCGTGGTGAGGATTCCCCTGACAAACGTGAGGGTGTCGTTGACGACGCCGTGGACCTGAGGGATGCAACGGAGGGTGTACGGATCCTGGACCCTGTGGCAGTTCTTGTGACTTGCTGGACGAGGTGAGGGGGGGGATTAAATTTTTACGTAAAATGAACCCCAGATTATTCGTAGACAAATGTAACCGACTCGGAGCACACTCCTGAATACCCGGATACTTACCTCTGATTTCAGAATGGTGGATACTGGAGTCAAGCAGAGCACGAAGTCTTCCTGCAACCATCTGCTGCCCGTAGTGCGGCCTGTTGGCATGCACGTCTGAAACAAAAAGACAATCGACAAGTAAAGGCTTCCCGCGTCTCTCACTCTAAATGCACTATCAATGAGCTAGTTCCCTGCTACACAAAAAAAAAGAAGAAAAGTTGGAGAATCCGGGTATCGATCCCGGTACCTCTCGCATGCTAAGCGAGCGCTCTACCATTTGAGCTAATTCCCCTTTCACACTCGCTTGCACGATTCATTACATAGTATTCTCAAATGTACCGTGTTATGTTTGCATTTACCGTAGTCGAAGGCTCGAGGTGTCCCTTGCAGTACATCGAGAGTCAGAGCAGCAACGACATCGGCCTGTTTCGCGATGAGCTCGGCCCGGGACAGTGCCTCCACACCCAATCCAGTGATGAGCTGCGTCCCGTTTATCAATGAGATTCCCTGAAAAAGGAGCACACGTCACAAATCACACTACATCTGGTAAGTAAGTGTGTCCTGACTTATCAAACCTCCTTGGTGCAGACTGCTCAAACAGTGCATTTCAATGACACGCGAAACATTGAAATGCTCGCACCGCATAATGCGTGCAAACCACAGGCGACATTTTAACTGCTCGGCGCTCACTCGCCAAGCAATGCGCTAGTAATATACCTCTTTGGCTTGTAGGGATAAGGGAGAGAGGCCGTGGGCTTCCAGAACCTGTGAATTATAACGCATACATCAACACGATAAGACTTCCCCAAATACTGGTTCCCAGTAAGATAGCCGGTAAAACGATCTGTTAAAGTTGTGCTCACAACATACGAAGCCTGGGGCCGATAGTTTCTTCAGTACATATATATATCAATTCCTGGGGAATCGATATTTCAAGGAATCAATTCACTTTAAGTGTCCTCTATTGCTGTAAGGTGATAGGCTTTCACCGTGCTAAAGAAAGCAATGGGATTCTATTGCCCCACACACGCAGAGTTGGGGTTTGCCGTTGCCCTGTAGCTGGTGGTAATGACAAACTCACGTCGGCTGCATTTGCCCAGCCACTGGAGGGACTCCACATGAGACCTTCTCCCATGAGACCCAGGGCCAGGTGAGAGAGGGGAGCCAGATCTCCACTGGCACCCACCGTCCCTTGCTCCGGGACCAGCGGGAGACAAGACGCTGGGGGGATTGAGTTAAGTGTTGCTCAACACACACACTTTGGACCACTCGGCAGCCACAGAGAGAACAGGAGAAACGTACCGTTCAGAGCTGCTTCCAGTTTTTGCACTGTCTCTAGTCTCGCTCCACTGTTTAAGAGAAAGGAATAGAGATCAAAACAACACTGTCCTTATCCCCTCACATCTCCTCTCTCTCACACTCCCCGCCTCTCTACATCTCTTTTCTTCTCCCTCCACCCCCACTTACACATCTCTGTCTACTCACCTGTAACCTTTGACCAACACATTGAGTCTGAGAGCCAGCAGTCGTCTGGTCTGCTCGGGTGAAAGAGGAGGCCCCACACCCGCTGCATGAGAACGTATCAGGTTCTCCTGCAGCTCTCTGCACAAGAGACATTGAAAATCTCACAAACGTATGGGCATAATGCTGGACACCCTTGCATCTACCGTACTTAGTGATACAGGAAAAACACACTTACCCTGAATAAGGGGGACATTAAAAGTGTCCCCCTTATTCAATGTATATACTGTAAACGTGAGGCAGAACTAAGTGCCCTTTAAAGAGAGGTGTCCTTAATTCAGAGGTTTCATTGTAACGGTACAATTCCTTACATTGTCTTTTCTTTGGGGATAACAACACTTGCAAACTTTCCAAAGCCCGTTGTGACCCCATACGTGACTGCAAAGGTAAGATGGAAGAGTCCTTCCTGTGATATTCAAACCCAGCGGTGTGCATTTTACCTTCGTCAGAGGCAACCAAATCGTCCACCACTTTTCTTGATCTCTTGACCCTGTTCACGGCTGACTCGGAGATCTGTGAGTCAAAGCCCTAAGTCTTTTGGCTGAGTGTTAATGAGAGGGTCATACCTTTACTTTGAGCTCTCCTCGTCCAATTCTCATGAGGTTTTCCACAGACAAACTGAGGCCATCCAACTCAATAGCCTAAGTAGACATACTTACACATAAACACACACCCCATACACACCCCCACTTGCACATTAGCTGATACAGCATTAAATTCTATAGTAGGACATAGACCATACAAGCTCTACCTGTGTAGCTATTAGAATACCTCTTTGTTTTCTATGCCTGTTAGTGCCTGAAAAATGTCGCTGTATGATACAGAGGCTAAGGAAAATTTCCATAAACACAGTGTTTTTAGTTACTGGTTCCCTATGACTATGAGGTGTGAGGATACAGTCCGTAGGTAGGGAGCTTGGCCATACAGCCCGCGTCTCTTTCCACCGGCGGAGCGCCCACGGGACCTGCAGAAGGAAGGTTTCTCGTAGCTAAATGCGCTGCCTGTGCCGCGGGTGCAGCCAACCGAGCTGCTAGTGGCTCACAGAGGTCCAGAAATTCGCCGTCTCGCAGAACGTCCTGAATCGTGTCTTTGTCGGACAAGAGGGCGCCGGTACCCGACAGCGTTAGCTTGAAAACCTTCGGCGTCTCTTTTCGAGTTATCGCCGCGGTTTTCCGACCAGCGGTCCAAAGCCAGGGATTTCAGCGAGCCCACACGGGCAGTGGGCTCGTTACAGGGGAGAGCGTAGGCTTGCGGCTCGCCTCCGCCGCTACAGCAGACCTTCACAAATACCCTCATGGTCTAATTCCCTCCACTGCACTCAACTTTGATGATTCCTCGACGTTTTATTCCAATGTTTACGCATGCGCATGCTGCTGTGTGATGTGTTGTTGTAAGTCCTGTATAGCTGGTAATTGTAACTAATTTACGGGAGAATACGGAGATGCACATGATTTGCGCATGCGCTCTGGATCCATCGGACTCTCAACAAACCGAGCAACAAACACACTGGCTGGTGGCTGCAGGCCGAGATGTCGTCTCTCTCGCTGGCTGATCTGTGCAGTGGCCTTCCACTAGATCCTCTTCCTCCCGCCCAGACTACCAGGGACCCCAGCGTCTCTCACGCTCCGCCCAAAATGCCTTCACTCGATGAAAAAGAAACGAAGGTGTGCCTACTCAGCAACTATTCGTATTCTCTAGCTGTCTAACAACTGCTGTGGCCCGTAGCTAGCTCTGAAGAATGCTCTGAGGTATTTCCCCGCCCCACTCCACTCTACGCTGGGCCCTGAGTTTGCCCGGGAATTGAAGCAATATGGACACATCTACATGTATCGCTTCAGGCCTCACTTTGACATGAGGTAATATCTATTTTTCTAATAAGCACTGCTTCATTGTTCAGAGGGGTTAAGGGAATGCTCTATTATTATCGGCCCTTACTAAATAATGCCGTGGATGTCACAGTAATTTAGGGTAGACCCATACATGTAGTAGATTTGGCAACGGCTGAATACAAGGCGAATATCAAGCAATGGCAACGAGGTATATAGCTGGTAGAATTCATGCCTCAGACTATTGTGCAAGTGCTTGCAACAGCTTAAACCCAGACTGTGTAGCTGTTATTAAATATTCCTCATTGATTACAGGGCCTACCCCATTCAGGACTACCCGTGCCGCATCCCCCAGGCAGCTGCAATGATGATAATGATCATGAACAATCTGGACCCCAACGTCGCCCAGGTTTAAATTTCCCCCGTTCTATAGCGCCGTTTTGAGGGTGTATTATCAAATCATGCCTTGAAACTGCTAACCCTAAAATGTTATCCTCCCCTCAAAATGTTGAGAGTGTAAATTTATCTTGTATAGACCTTTGTTTTGTCTTTAATATATAAATTTAGATATGTATATACTGACCATTCCCTTTACTGATGAACTATCTCACCTCTTCCCCCACTCCCCAGTTTCCCCACGAGCTGGTGACCTACGGTGGAAACGGACAGGTCCTCTCCAACTGGGCTCAGTTTTGGCTCCTCATGAACTACCTCTCTCGTCTCGATGACGACCAGACACTCGTCATGGTCTCCGGCCATCCACAGGGTCTCTTCCCCTCTCATAAGTGGGCCCCTCGCTGCGTCATCTCCAACGGAATGGTAAGCTCATCTTCAACACAAAAATTTTTACAGTGCACATCTTTTTACTCTCGATCCAAAATTTTTTACTCTCGACCCAATAGAATTCTTTTGCAGTGCTCGGTATTTTTACTCTCAACCTTTTACACATATATTAACGGCTGAGGAGGTGCATCCCATCCTGAAGTTAAACTTTTGCAGTTTTTTTTTCTGAGAGCCCCTCTTATAATAATTTGCTAACGTGCATAATTTGCGGCTGGCAATTTTTAGGGTCGATGAAAAGTTATATCTGCTGCAGGTGGTCCCAAATTATTCGAGCAAAGAAGAGTATGAAAAGATGTTTGCCAAAGGAGTTTCAATGTAAACTACCGTACATTATCTCGACCATAAAAAAATTGTTTTTCTGGTCTGACAGGTACGGCCAGATGACAGCGGGCAGCTATTGCTACATCGGACCCCAAGGGATTGTCCATGGCACAACTGTGAGTGGCTTGACCCTTAATTGCACATCACGTGTACATGAAGGTATTAGACCATGTGATGTATGTGGAGTTGCACATCTTGTACACAATGATTATCCAAGAATTTCAAAACCCACTGATCAGCGAAAGTTTGGTACAGAAAATGCTGCTCTCTGGTGTTTTAAAGTGAATGTGGCAGTATTTGAAGGACTAAATTTAGAAACTTACTGAAAAAGGAAACTTATTGCATTATTTCACTGGGCCCTATTGTGAGTATATACTGTCACAATACTGTCCATCTTGATGGTAGGTATTCACATAGCTGTTTCTTGTCACTAACCAGTTGACGCTCATGAATGCTGGTCGAGAGTACCTGAAACTGGGTGACCTGTCGGGGAAGGTTTTCCTGACGTCGGGACTTGGAGGTATGAGTGGTGCCCAGGCCAAAGCCTCAGCGGTCGCCGGCTGTGTTGGCGTCATTGCCGAGGTAAGAGATATGCACCTAAAATTGAGTGTTACTAAAACTTGATTGCATTCTTGCACTGAGCCCTATTGTTTAGCTCTACTACATATCTTTAGTAAAATTGCCAGTGTATGCCGGGAAACTTTCATGTTTGATTTGTCAAAGCTCTTATGTACTGCCCCTTTAATCTTTATCCAGCCCCTCCCACTCGGGCATGACATTTCACGAATCGCACTAATAATTTACGGAAACTAATCTCGTGGCTGTGTGTGTTCTGCAGGTGAGCAAGGAGGCACTGCTGAAGAGGCACAAACAAGGGTGAGAGGAAATATAACTTTTGATGGAGAACCATTTGGTATTGGTAGATAATATTTGTAAAAGTTGATCCCTTCCTCACTAAATATGAAGATTTCTTGTGCGTGTCAAGAGTGTTGTGTGTCGTGGCGTGGATTCTAATCCCACTTAGGGCAGGTCTTTCAAAACAGTGTTTTCCTGGGAGTCGTCGTGTTGTTTGGTTGGCCTTTGACTTGAGACGTTGCTTGCAGGTGGCTAATGGAATGGACCGACAACCTGGACGACTGCATTGCCAGAATCAAGTGACGGAGAAAAAAAAACAGCTCACTCTACTGATACCCTGTCATCTCTTTTCTCTTGTTCTCTCTCCTCACAGACGAGCCAAGCAGGAGAAAAAGGCTGTCAGTCTCGGTTACCTTGGAAATGTGGTGGACCTCTGGTACAGGCCAAGTTGACTTATTATTCCTCCCCCCAGTTTATACAGTGCACACACACTTTTACGTTTTGCAGGGAGAGGGTTGTGGTGGACTACGAGGCGACTGGTGAGCTACTGGTGGAACTCGGCTCCGACCAGACCAGCCTGCATAACCCGTTTGGGGGCGGTTACTATCCGGTTCAGCTGGGTTTCGACGAGGCTCTGCAGGTCATGAAGGACGAACCTCCACGCTTCAAACATCTAGTCCAAGAGAGGTATGTGCCAGATAGTGGGAAAATTTGGCCAAACCTAGAAAATTTCACTCTTTCAAGAGCTAACTTTTCTCCACACAATTTTGTGTGTTAGTTAGGAACCATTTTACGGTAGAAAAAGCGATCAGGTTTGTGACAGAACGCATAATAATAATAATATTGTGAACAAAACCATCGTGGTAAGTCACATTGCTGATGATAGTTTGAAAAGACACGTGGATGCCATTAACAAGCTGGCCGAGGCAGGAATGCACTTCTGGGACTACGGAAATGCCTTTCTTCTCGAAGCAAGCCGAGCAGGTGAGTTAGTCCAGCCTCTCTCTCTCTCTCTCTCTCTACTTGTGACTGTGTGTCGATGTATTCCCAGGAGCTGATGTGAGGGCAGGAGCATCAGCGACGGTGTTTCGTTACCCGTCATACGTCCAGGACATTATGGGGTCCGTCACTGCCTTCCTCGCTAGTGTTACCAGCACAAGAAACTATCTTCATTCTTCTCTCTTATTCTTTTGCAGTGATCTCTTCTCCCTGGGATTTGGACCATTCAGGTATATAGTAAACACTATATATGGAAAGGTTTAAGGGTGTGTTTAAAGGAAATGTGGCGGTATACAAGAGCTAAATTTAGAATCTGTCACCAACCTTTCACTGGGCCCCATTGATGTTTCTAAGTTTAGCCCGCCGCATTCCCTGTAACTAGTTTTGTGTCACCAGGTGGGTGTGTGCATCTGGTCTTCCCGAGGATCTGAGCACCACAGACAACATCGCCTTGGAGACCATGGAGGAACTGTCGAAAAACGGCAAGAAAACAGCCCCCCCCCTTCTCTGACTTTCCGCCATCAGTGTATTATATTCACTGTTCTTTTCCTCTTCCATTTTTAACTCCTTGTTTCACTTTTCCTTGTTTCACTGTATATACAATTATGGTCTCTGTATAATTAGTATAATAATAAATACAAACCAAAGGCTCTGAATTTGAAACTCTGAAACTGAGAGGTTCATTCCCCTAAAAGCTTCCCTTTATACCATAATTATATATTCTGTGGAGGTTCCTCTTTCTATTACATATATACGTGCTATGTATACATCTTCTACTATTATACAGCGTCTGAGAGTTCTAAACGGCATTATGTGGACAACTGTCGCTGGATTCGAGAGGCTGGTAAACACCAACTGGTGGTCGGTTCCCAGGCACGCATTCTCTACGCCAACGAACAGGGGCGCAAGGCAATTGCCCTTGCTTTCAACAAGGCCATTGCAGAAGGAAGACTGAAGGTAGAAGAATTTTTAGAGACGTCAATATTTTTCATGTTTGTTGGGAAAATTTTAGGGTCCTGTGGTTTTGAGTAGGGACCATCACGATGTGAGTGGAACAGACAGTCCGTTCAGAGAGACCTCAAATATTGAGGACGGCTCACAATTTTGTGCCGGTCCGTCCGTTTGTGTGATGAAAAATTTGTGTGGGTGATTACACGCGTCCCTTTGCATGCAGATATGGCGATACAGAATGTAATTGGGGACTCGTTCAGAGGAGCTACATGGGTGGCCATACACAACGGTGGGGGAGTTGGATGGTGAGTATAATATGTATTACCCACCATATTATATATATAGGCTATTGTTATACAAAATGACCCGTACTAAGTGTGTATTCACAAGTTTAACCCTCAGCTTGTGTTATAATGTTGATCTGCATGCCAGGGGTGAAGTCATTAATGGTGGTTTTGGACTTCTACTGGACGGATCTGAGGTACGGTATTATACAAGTCCCTTTAGGAGACCAAGATCCTCACATTTCAAAATCTGTAGGATGCAGCTGAAAGGGCAAAGATGATGCTGTCGTGGGATGTACTGAATGGAGTAAGAGAACAAGAAATTATTCCTTGCTTCTTTATTCCCTCCCCATCCTTTCCCACCCCACCCCTCTCCTCCTCTCTTCCCAGATTGCCAGGAGAAGCTGGTCAGGTCACCCACTGGCCCAAGAGACAGCTTCTGCTGCCATGGCTGCCCAACCAAAGCTGATCATCACTGTACCTCATCAGCCACCCTCTGATCAGCTCCTTGACTCTTGCTTCCGTGACTCCTAGTATAATTATTTGTGCTTCAGGATTGCTAAAATTTAGCAGTAATATAGAACCTTCGACAAAGGGTATATGCTCTCAACAATAGGGAAAAAACCTCAATAAAGGACACACTCCCAAATGGTCACTTTTCTAGTACATTTGAAGAAAGGAAAACCTCCATTTAAAAGACAGTTAAGTCTGGCCCCAACGTGTCCTTTATCCAGAGGTTCAACATTGTAATAATGGTGCAGCACCAGATTCAATGAGATGCAATCTACAATTAAATTTATTATTCTTGGCAACAGGCCTTCTACATGGCATGATGATCAAAATTAAGCCAAGGTTCCTCTTATAAACATGTAGGTTTTTGCTGTTGCTAGAGAAGATGTGGTACGGTCGAGATGAATATCAGTGAATCCGCACAGCTTTGATGGCATCAATTGCCATTGCTGACGTCACGGGAAAATCATTGAACGTGTGATCGCCTACTGTACTGTTTTCCACGCCGTATAGAAACAGGCTTCCACGGGGGTTTCACAAGTCTAGTCATGCGAGAAACTAAGGAGCAATACTCATCGTAACTCTTTGCAATGGTTTCGACTACATAAGTTGACACCACCACATCGTAGAGCTTGTTATATGCAGCTTCAATAGGGGGATCTTTTGTTTAGGTCGCACTCTACAACAGCCTTGACAATTTTTCGAACTTCCTGCTGCCTCTTCGCCACTTCATCATCCCCCTGCATCCCCTCCAATTCTCTCACCACGTAGCTGAAATATGGATCCCAATCAAACGCATCGCACTTGTTTTCCAACCAATCGCTGAGTGCTCGCCGGTTAGCAACGGAGTAATCTGATAGTGTAATTTCTGAGGCCTTGACAGCAGCTGATACTATTCCTCTTAACGACGGCCCAGAACCGTAGTCTAGAACAGTGATATTACTAGGCAAATTTTGAAACGCACCGTGGAAGCAGCGAAGCATATGCTGGCTGTTGCGGAGGGATGCATACTGACGAAGAAAAGTATACGGGTCGAATTTATCTTGTAGTCTTTACCACTGCAGAACTCTGAATGTTCCATCGGTCCTTCTATCCTTGTTGGGCGGCCTATACTTTTCCGCGCATGCGTCGCCGCGCGCACTTACATAGTCTCCGTAATTTAAATTACTTATGAACGCTACTGCTCATTTAACATAGATCACACACTCTCTGAAACTCTGTTTCATACGTAGGGAAAACCTAGTGTGAAGATTAGAGGACCGAACAGTTCCACCAAGTGGGACGCAAGGGGTAGGCATGAAGTCGGGATTGCTGTTGATGTGGATGACGTGGGGCTGGTGATGAAGCGGGTTGGATCCACAGAAGCTGTTTATCATTTGGCATAGAAGTGTATTTGGAACATTCGCAACAAAGAAAATGCTCGTCATTGTGACTCTTAAAGTCAGTAAAATGCTTTTCTGCCGCTTCAGAACAAACGCAAAAGAAAGCAGACGAAATTTTTATGCAGTCCGTATCCAATTGCATGACTTCAAGCACTTTCTCAGCTGCACAGAAAACCTTTCTGCGGACCAGGCTGCAGATGTCAGGAGGCAAATTGCGAATGCTCAGCTTAGTGTCAATATAAACTTCAAGATATTGCTTACAGTCAACGAGAACAACATTTGTGAGAAGGTCTGGGTCATGGAGGGAGGCAATATTTTGGGCAAGACATTTTGGGGTGGCACCTTTTCTGATGACTTCCCAGCCGTATTTTGAGAGAAGACAGGAGATGGTGGCACTAAAGCAGCCGAGAGGGACACAGCCACTACTGAACTTTACAACTAGTGGAACGAAATCAGACGATTTGGGGATGTACTGGTGGAGTTCGTGATCAGGTATAGCAGGCTTCAAACACATCATTAGGTACTCTTTCTTCTTAAGGTTAACTGCTGAAGCTGTTTGCCCCCTTGTTTCAGGTTGCAGTGGGGCTAAAATAAAGGTGTGGCAGAAGAGCTCAATTGCATTACTAACTTCATACACACCTATTTTAAAGTGAGGTGAGATATCACTAAGAAACTCTTTGGTAATAATACCATCCTTGAGCAATTCTGTTGAGCTGGAAAGACTTTGGTACCTCAAACGAATGATTTTATTGACAATGTCAAGCGGCACTTGGGGATTGATAAAAACGTGATTTGGTAGGATATGTCGAAAGTAGAGGAAGGTATTTTGGCGATGAAAGAAGACCAAGGCAGCTTCAACCATTTCGTCGCTCATTTTAAGACGTGCTCCCACATCCTTACATTCATTAAGACTCAGAATATCACGTTTCACCTCCTTTTGAGCACAATGAACGAGATCTTGCTCAAAAACAAAGAATGATGCTGGTGTGTTGAAAGTATTCACAAAGTCTGAACTTCCGATCTCTTCACGAATCAGATCAAGTGTTTCTCTGTCATAATAATTCGGATTCTTCAAATTAAGAACAAAAGCAATTTCTCTACGGCCTCGATAGCAAATAAGCTCATTTTCAAATGCGGGGAGCAGGAGTTGATTTAGTTCCTTATTGAGGGTAGCCACCTTCTCACTTCCCACACAGTCACGATGTGTGGCCACAATGAGAATACGAAAAGCTTCTTTAATGGCTTTCTTGGCATGAAAGGTGGACACAAGCTTCAAGATGATGTCCCTGCCAGTGTAGTGAGACGGAACCTCACGTTTGAAAAGCACACCCTCCTCGTGATAAGAAACAGGTGGTTGCTCGTTTAGACCATATCGTAGATCCACCAGTACCATTGCAAGGTTGGCGTTGTGTATGAGGGATGGCATAACTTCCATCAACTCAGGCTGACCACCTGTGTCTATCATGTGGACCAGCTCCATTACTATATCCTCTGAATAACTTGTTTCCGTTATAGATTGAACTATTGGGGTCATAAGTGAGACCGTGGCGGAATAGGCGCCGAATAGAAAAGTCTGCGGCAAAGTCCGCAGATCACTGGAGTTCATTAGGTCAGCAGCAAGAGAATCAACACTGGTTTCATTCATTCCAGCTCGAATAAGAGGCGCAAGGAACTCACGGATGTCTGCATAAGTGATGGGTCCCCATCTAGGCCTATTTGGAGATGCACACACAAAACGGTTGAGAAAGCTTCGAAAAGACTGCTCAGCAACACCAGTGCTGGTATAAGAGCGAGGCGGTGTCATGCCAAAAAGATGGTGCAACATAGTGGTCTTTCCTGATTCCATAAGACCTGTAATAACTCCAACTACATTTCTCTGCTTCAGGACACCTGACTCCACCGCTTTGTCTATGAGCTGTTGAGCCTGTTCCTCCGTCAAGACGGTGGGGACGTTGCAGTACTTCTCTTCCAATTTTTCGGCCAAAGCGTTTTTCTTTATAGCCTTGAGCGCCTGAACCACCTTTTCCCAGGAGGCCTTGGAGTCAGACTCCAGCCACTTGTTCATGGCGCTAAGGAGTTTCAGGGTTGGACTCGGGTCTTCGTCCGTCTTTCGTAGCTCGGCGAAGTCCATTCCGAGTTGGACGGCCATTTGCATCACCTCAGACCATGTAAGTTGGTCTAACTCCGTAGCTAGATCTCTCAGCCTGGGCTTTCGATCCGACATCTTCACGTTAGCTGCTAGCTAGAAAGTGGGGCACCGTTAGTTGAGAGTGTGGTTCTTGTGGTCTCGTGACAACCCTCCCCCCGCCCCGGCCGGCCCGCGTGAGTCGAGTATAGAGCTAGAGGCTGTTGACTATATATAATACCGGATCGACGAGGGCGTAGCCAGCGGTGTTGTGTTAATTAAGGCATGACCCCAATTCTTAGCGTAATAAATCCGCACACGTGAAGATTACGGAGGGGGTGCATTCTAATTGACGCGCGGTAGCGCATTCTTGGTAGGGACGTTTGAACTTTGACCTTCCATCTCTTTGCGTATATATACGGAGCCGCGACCCAGGGGAGGCTGGGAACAGCAGTCGTAGCCCGACTCTGGCGCTGTTTTTGAGGTAAAACTACAGAATGACGTGTGATATAGCCATATCTTGCAGGGGAAGCGGATTGTACATATGCCAATCGATTTGTGGTGCGTAATGAGTCGTCAAGAGCAGTCACAAGTAACCCGTTTTTTTGTCATAAGTTACTAACCGTCTGCGCTGTATCTTTCCCCAGCGGGATTCTGCAAGTTCTACCTATATTGATAGGTTCTGGTTCCCGTCTTGCATCACTGCTATGCAGGAAGTGCTGCTCCTAAGCTAGCCAAAATATTCACTTGTAACTCCCGGCAACTTAGTCACGTGACCTGAACTTTCGCTTTCAATGTTTTTTGTCGGTGTTATTTACCGAAGAGTTTAATGTGCACCATACTTAAATGCTATTTACCAATTATACCTGTCAATATCGGTGAGGTGTTTTAATACCATTGAGGAGGATTTCCTGTACGCGCCGAGACGCCTGACGTTAACTGATTTGTATATAGTCCAACTAGCCAATCACAATGCTGAATTTCTGCTGCGCCATCCTGCACTAATGGACTGTTGTGTAAACTTTGGAAGCCAGACAATTTGCACTACGCCTAGCGCTAGATGTTGTGATAAGGACTTCCTGTCCAATACCAGTGCAGCCCGCAGCCCACGCGTATAATATTCCTAGCACCGGGTTGTTTGAAGTTGGACTACAAATACAAGAAGCTAAGCTAATGTTCCGTGAAGCTAATGTTTCATATTTTGTTGCAGAGAGCATTTATGGTGACTATATATAATCATAGTGTTGGGTGTATTTAGTTTATAATTTCCATGGAGACTCAAAATGAGTACTCGTATACCCAAGTATAGGTGGTTACGACAGTATCAGCTAATTTGGGGGAGGACCCTCCCTGATTGACTGATTCAGAGGGACCCGGAGGTGGCCAGTCATTTGGACACCCACTATTAGCATTGATAGTCTCCCCACACCTCCAGATGAGCTCAAACGACTTTGTAAAGAGAAGAGGATCGTTTTCAAAGAACTTGTAGGCCGACATGGCATTCGCCGGGCTACTTGAGATGTAGGTGAGCCCCGAGTTATCAAGGTGGTAGATGCCGCGGTTGAAGTAGTAAGCGGAGAGAAAGAAATCTTCGGTGCCGGAGGAAAGCCAGGTGATATTGGCAGCATCGTCGATCCTCGCTCTGAAACAAGCCTCGAGATAGTTAAAGTCGCTGCTGTTCGCTGCTAGCGTGACCTGGAATAGCATCCCCGCCGTGTCACTGACGTTTGCCAGAGTGATGAACTCCAGTGGAGAAAGCTTCACGTCTTCGTTCTTGAACAGACGAAGACGAGTGTTTGCAGGCAAGACGAGATCGCCCACCACCACGGGCATGTTCTCAACACCACGGATTATGTAAAAGAAGTACCCGCCGACCGGGTGAGTTGCAGTGACGTGGAAAGACTTCGAGAAGGGTATGCTGTATGTGTTGTAGATGCCACCGTCTGCAGTGTGCGCCAGTCGCCTGGTGCCCCAGGGAGTGTACTGCTTCTCCAGAGTCTCTGTGAACCCGATCCCGTGAGCCAGCAACAGCATGAAGTCCAGGCTGGCCTCCGCTTCGCCGTCGATGTAGATCCTGATCCTCATTCTCTCGTCCATTACGTTGATTCCTGCAAGGTTGCAGCAAAGTATGCTCACATACATAGGGCCATGCAAGGTTAGTCTTCATCTATGGTTCAGCGCCAAGCAAGTTGCAAAAGTGACAATACGTACATAAAGCCAGCAAGTTTAGTCTCTAAGTTACAGTCAAAGGACTAGTTTAGTTTTGAGGTGGAACGCCGTATTTCACCTGTAAACCACTGCTCGGTGATCACTCCAGGCTGCCCGGTGCTGTGTTCGTACAGGACTTTCTCCGTGTTCGGACCGATTTTTCCGTCCTTGATAGCAGACGAGAAGCTCCGCATGTCTTGACCCACGTCGACTCCACGGACCCCGCAGCCCAGGAGAGTGAGAGTAGCTAGGATTTGGAGCAGCGCGGACTGCATTTTTCAGCTTGATTTTCAGTTTATCCCCTGAGCTGAGCAGTGCAAAACGACACGTGTGTTTATTCCCGCGCAATGCCCGCGCCGCGCGAAAACAAAGAAAAGGTGGGTGGATCTAATCACGTGGTCTGCACAAGCTCTCTCCGTTGCTCGGCAACGATACTCGTGCAGACGAGCAAAATGGCGGCAGACATGGACGAGAGATATGCCTTCATAACGGAGTGGTACGACCCGAACGCGTCGCTCACCCGTCGCTACCAGCTCCTGTTCTATGTGGCCGACAACACCGTAGAGATGTTCGACCTCAAAAACCGCCGACTGTTTCTCAAACGCTCAAAGTGTCCGACCGTCCGATTCTCGGACCTGTTCCTTGGCGCCGTGGTGAACGTCCACTCCCGCCAGCTCACCATCGTCGACTTTGGAGACGAGTTTACGACCAAAAAACTCCGCTCCAAAAAGGAGAAGACGTTCGGGCTCATCAAACCCGACTGCCTGGACAAAACGGGCGAGATTTTGCAGCGGGTAAACCGAGAGGGCTTCATCCTTACCCAACTCCAGATGGTCCAGCTCACGGAGAAGGAAGCGGCAGAGTTTTACTGGGAACACGAGGGAAAGCCGTTCTTTTCAAAGCTGGTGGACTTCATGACCCAAGGGACCTGTAGTAGCGTTTGAAATCATGGGTGCAGATGCAGTAGGAAAGTGGAGAGAATTGCTAGGACCAACAGACTCCTCAGAGGCGAGACAAGAAGCCCCAGGCTCCATCCGGGCACAGTTTGGCACAGACAAGACCCGCAATGCCTGCCACGGTGCCGACTCCGTCGAATCGGCAAAACGAGAAGCAGACTTCTTTTTCGGGAAGAAACGACGCCAGAACACGGCCAGGTTTCGTGACTCGACCCTAGGCATCGTGAAGCCCCATGCCGTTATTGGAGGGCTGACAGGCCAGATCATGAGAGAGATCTCTGCGGCTGGTCTGAAAATAACGGCCGTCCAACTACACAACGTGGAGAAAGCAAACGCCCAGGAATTCTACGAAGTCTACAAGGGAGTGGTGGCAGAGTACAATCAGATGGTGGACGAGCTAAGCTCAGGACCTTGCATTGCTCTGGAGGTGAGCGGAGAAAATTCCCACGGGGCTTTCAGAGAGCTGGTCGGGCCGAGCGATCCTGAAATTGCGCGGCACCTGCGTCCGCACAGCATCCGGGCAAAGTTTGGCGAAGACAAGATCAAAAATGCCCTCCACTGTTCCGACTTGCCTGACGACAGCGCGCTAGAGGTTGAGTACTTTTTCAAGATCTTAGACTCGTAATCTCTCGTGTGTTATGAAAGCCTATGCAAACAGATTATTGCATCATGCATCCGTACACTGTCATTACATGTTATGTTAACATACATTGCATCATGTTTCTATCTTCATCCCAAACTTTCTCAAACAACATTGCTTCACATAAAAAAAATAATATCACTGTCTAAAATGCAAACGGAGCTCAATATATTACACGTGTGATCGTGAATTGAAGCACACACCACACACACAATAGATTAAAGAAAAGGACAGCATCAACGGAACAGAAATTGCGGAATGTCGAACATAGAAAGAATCGAAAAAGGGGTGATGTCGATTGTCTAGTGATAGCATGTGATATATTATAACGTGTGATATTATTGGTAGCCGACCTGCATGAAGTAAAGGATCCCTACAATACAGAGTAGGACCGTGACTACGGCATTGTAGTATATCAGAGTTCTGAACTTTGGCTCCAGTTCACCACGCCGATACCAATATGCCTGCAGTCAACAAGGAAAAAGAGAGCCCACATTGAGTAATATCCTGAAATATCAACAACAAAAGACGCCACACATTTACTTCATAGGTGTTTCAGAATCTCAACATGCGGTCGACAAAAACTAAGCGAGAGAGAGAGAGAGAGATCTCACCACAATTATTTGAGGGACGAGGAGGAGGATAATGATTCCGCAGAAGACAATGTCGAGAGGGTACACGCAGTACTTCTTGCTATTGCCCACGTTACCGATCCTCCTGCACTTGTCCTTGATGAACAAACTGGACAGGAGAGCCAGGACCAGCGTGATCTGTGTGAGTGAGTGTGAGTGTGTGTTGAAAGCTGCAGCTCAAATAACTAACTTTCAGTATGTGTAATTACACCTGTTCAATATACATCTGAGACGGAAGTTTAAAAATACCTGAAAACATGTTGGTTCTTACACAGTAAGCCAACTAGGCATACTATAATATAGTCAAATAGTGTACAGTGGAACCCCTCTCTAAGGACATCCCTTCCACAAGAAAAGTTCCTGCCAACTCCTGAAACAAGAACACCCTGCTATTTTTCTGTCAAATTGGTGTCTGGATTAGAGGGTAGACAAAATCAGCCAGCATGCCGCTTGTATGCCTACAGCTGAGACAACATTCATGTCGGCAAATTCCTTCCCTTGATCCTTGGTCATAATATTATTATGTGAGTGTGTGTCTATGAGCGAGGACACTTACACCAATGAAGACAGCCGTAACTGCTGCTAGCACTATGTTGATGATCTTGACCTGTAGATGCATAATGAAGGGAGAGATAAGAAAGAATTATTTCCCCCACACATACTACGCAACGCCTTACACTATGGAGTGAAGTATAATAAGCAGTTCATCCTAACGCAGTGAACCATACAATTCTTTTCTAGACACAACTGTACGTCTATATCAGATTATGAGAATTAGAGCATACGCTGAAGGGTAAAAATGCTAAAGTCTCGCCCCACGGCGATGTACAAGTACAGTTGTACATATTAGACAAGACTTGGGACGCGCCTAGACTTTAGGGCCGAAGTACTGGCCACAGTTAGTCACTAATACTATGCTCTAGAGCTAGTTGGCTGGCTAGCTAACCAACTTACTCTCCTCCGAGTTTCTCCGAATAGCGGTTGGTCCATGGCGGCTGATGACCTGTCACCACTTGCGCCGCTCCCGCTGTTTCCTATGCGATCGTACGTATACATCAATATTTACAGTGACAGCGTGTAGGGCGAACAGAACGGCAAAGAGCCAGAATCAAAGAAGGACATGTTTACGTGATGGAGAAAGGGGGCGTGGTGAATATCACATGATCATCGTACGGCGCGCGCATATGCAACCGGCCGAGAGTATAGTGGGTGTGGCATACACGTGTGTACTCCGTACTTTTGCGATCAGTAGTGAATTGAGGCGGCGGCATGGCGTCGCTTTCTGTGAATTGTTGCAGGGCGATGCAGGCCGGAAAGAGACTTCTACCGGCTCACAAGGTCCGTGTACTCTATCTTTATAGCCACATACTCATTGTACCCGTCTACCTCCAACACCTTCAATGGACCTGGCCGATAATTTTTGTGTAGCTGGTGCCAGCGGTAAGCGGAGCGGTCCCGGTCCGCCGACTGAACCTCCACGAGTACCAGAGCAAGACGCTGATGGAGCAGTACGGTTGCAACACGCAGAGGTTCAAGATTGCCACCAGCACACAACAGGCTCAAACTGCTACCTCTGAACTAGGTATGGGAGCCCGTTTGAAATAATCAGGGGAGCCCCGGGGTAATTGGGTGTTGATTAGGTGTGGAGGAGGTGGTAGTGAAGGCCCAGATACTTGCCGGGGGGCGTGGAAAGGGGGTGTTCTCCAGTGGACTTCAGGGAGGGGTCAAAGTCACAAAGGAGTGAGTCACACGACTTTCATTGAACAACTATCTACCATTCACTGTATGATAATCTATCATTCACTGTATGATGTATACTCTGTGTGTGTGTGTTGCAGTTTAGCGTCAGTGCCGGAGCTAGTGTCTCAGATGATTGGCTACAACTTGAAGACCAAACAGACGACTGGAGATGGAGTGACCGTCAGAAAAGTATATACCTACACTACCTATTATGTATAAGGGGGACTTTTGCACAGATATATACTCCCATTTTTCTCCAGGATAATAAGTGAACAGGAAAGCAGTGTATAAAGGTTTTCTCTATTAGTCCTCTGCCATACAATGGAGTGTGGACCCCCTGCTTTTTGTAGGAACATGGTTATAAGGAAGTGAACTTTCAGCAGTCCCTTACTGCAATGAGAGTATGTAAATATGATATCACTGGTTGTCTATGTATCGTATAATGCAGGTGATGGTGGCAGAGAGTCTGGACATTTCCAGAGAGACCTACTTTGCCATAGTCCTGGATCGCTCCATGCAAGGTCCTGTCCTGGTGGGCAGTCCAGAGGGAGGGGTCGACATCGAGGAGGTCGCCGCTTCTCGTCCCGAGAGGATTTTCAAGGTGGGTCTTATGGAGTTGGATCAAAGTGACCGGAGTAGTTGTGGTTTTGCCTCCTCCGCGTAGACCCCAGTAGATATAACTGTGGGGGTGACAGACAAACAGGCCTCAGAGATGGCAAAGAACTTGGAGTTCACAGGCCCGGCTCTGGAAGAGGTAACTGTTGCGCTTTTTACTCACTGGTCATTTCATTACTACACTTCTGATATTATATATACCCACTTCTCTTCTTCCATAATTGATGACCCCCGCCAGAAGGCAGTGTTGTGTTGTCCCTGCAGGCTGCACGGCAGATAAAGAGCCTGTACCGACTGTTCTGTGGAGTGGACGCCACTCAAGTAGAGATCAACCCTCTCGGAGAGACATCTGAGGGGGAAGGTAGGACACACACACACACACACACACACACACACACCTCAAACTCTTCCTATCGTGTTGGGTAGCAATACAAAGGTGACAAAAATTCGTGTATATACTACCACTTTTCGCAGAAATTTTTTTGGGGCTATAATATAATATTTGGGTGGCCCCAAGCACATTGTGCTAGTCATTGCACTATACCTAGTTAACCATCTTGCATTGCAGAGTGGGACACTCACACTAAGATTTTCTTTTCTTTCTCCCGGATCAGTGGTGTGTTTCGATGCCAAGATAAACTTTGACGACAGTGCAAAGTTCAGACAGAGGGAGATATTTGCGATGGAGGACACGGCAGAGAGCGACCCTCGGGAAGTGGAGGCAGCTCGCTACGACCTCAACTACATCGGAATGACTGGGGACATTGGCTGCCTCGGTATATACACTTTCCAAGTAGTTAAACAGGTCACACAGCATCCTCTCTCTCTCTCTCTCTCTCTGCCTCCAGTGAATGGAGCAGGTCTGGCGATGGCAACAATGGACATCATCAAACTCCACAACGGACAACCGGCAAACTTTCTCGATGTTGGTGGAGGGGTTAACGAAAAACAGGTTCTCAATGCCTTCAGGATCATCACCAATGATCCTCAGGTAAAATGACATTAGTTTTTTTGGAGTTGGGTAGAGCAGAGTATATATATATATAGTGGGGTCCTTGACTAAGAAAAAACAAGACGACAATCTTGTGTCTCCTACATTATGTAGTTGGGTGATTTTCATAGAAAAAGACTTTTATTATAAAGCGTTAAGCTATCTATAAGGGTGTTGAACTGTAATAAGGTGTTGAAATTCTCTTTGCCAAGCTCTTCTATGATCCTCAAATGCTATATATGCACATGATTTTTTCCTTTTCTTTCGTTCTCTGTGTTTTTGTACTACATTACAGGTGAAGGCCATTCTGGTGAATATATTTGGTGGCATAGTCGACTGCACCACTATTGCCAATGGCATAGTAGGAGCATGTAGAGAGATTCAGCTGAGGATGCCCCTGGTCGTTAGACTGGAAGGTAAGTTATAACAATTCTTCAGGTGCTGTTTTGATAAAATATACATCTCTCATTATACTTGCTGTGTCTGCAGGTACTAACAGTGTCAAGGCAAGGCAGATCCTGGACGAGAGTGGGCTCCCCATACAAGCAGCTAGTGATCTAGCAGACGCTGCCAACAAAGTTGTAGCATCTCTACACTCGTAGCCTCGATTTTTCTTTGAGAGTGGATTATTATTGTTATGATTTGTGCTAATAATTATCCGCTTCACCTTCCATTGACTTGCGCTTCCCAGACCCCACGTCAGGAGAAAAAAATTGTGTATATTATAGTGACTACTGAGCCCGTGTTCCACAAACTACCTCTTGCGCATGCGCTCAATGCTGAAACCGATTTTGAGGGCGGGGTCAAGGCATCGTCATGGCGTCTTCTAGCCAGCGGCCAGAACTACGGGATCTGGTCTCAGATCTATCGGATGTTTCATGGGACAGTCTGAAACAGGTATTGCTGTCTCTGCGCGTCCCGAATAACAAACTGGACGACATAGAAATTACACACCCGACGAGTATCGGTAGTCGGAGGATCGGCGCCCTGGACTGCTGGCTGCAAATGGATGTCAGCGCGTCGTGGCAGAAAGTCGTGGATGCCCTAATACTCTTTCGTTTGGTGACTGAGGCCGAGAGAATAGCGGGCAAGTACGATTGCCGCCTAGTGTTGGATTGCCAAGTAGACACGTCTCATGTCTCTACCGACTTACACCCAATTTCCATTTCTACAGGTTAGCCGACGGTGCCATCATATCTATGGTGCTACTAGCCCCTTTATATCCCATATACCCACTGCAGAGTCTATATATGACAAACCCACTCTGGCCCAACTGAGGAAACTAAAGATGCCTTTCTATGAAGAAATACGAATATTAGACCAAGTTGCAACAAAATGGGACGACATTGCCATTGCAATGGACTTTGATCCGGACGGACACACACAGACAGCGATCAACAAAGATTTTGGATCTGTTCAGGAGAAGTGTAGAGAAACTTTCAAGAAGTGGCTGCAGGGCCAAGGCAGCAGACAGCCAGCCACGTGGGAGATACTGGTGGAGATACTGAGGGACTGTGACTTTGAAAATCTGGCTACTAGCATAGAGACTGCTCTCAAATAGTTGTGCCCTCTCGTTCTGTCGTGTCATTATACGCATGCGCATAACATACGCGGCCGTGAAAAAAGTGGGTGTGTCAATCTGACATCTTCCCCCCCCCATCCTGCCGCCGTTTGTCACCCAGCCCCTGGATATAATTGTTTTTCCGGCGATGCAATATGTTTTCCTCTGCCTTCTCTACTCTGTTGGCATGCACTCCTGAGCGGCCAAATCTGGGCGACTTGGTGACGACTGTGAAAGAGGTTTCGTGGGATGATTTGAAGCCCATCTTGCTGAAACTGGACGTCCCGCTAAACAAGATAGACGACGTGGAAAGGAGGCATCCAACGAGCGAAAGTGAGAGAAAAACGAGGGCCCTGGATATCTGGCTGAAAATGGACGTCGGTGCTACGTGGGAGAAGTTCATCAGCTCTGCTCTGGATGTCGACCCGTTCTGCGGAAATCACATCGCTAGTCGGCGCCCGTACCGGCCTATGCAGCCTGCACAGCAACTCCGTCCCATTCCATATGCAGGAGCGTCTGGATATTTTTCTGGCAGTGGGGCCTCGGGTTCAGCAGTAGATCCTTTCTCTGGTGGCATGCCCGAGGGTATGCCTGACTTCGCCGAGGATGCACATCGACCTGCAACAAAGCCTAAGCTAAGAGACAAACCAACACTGGCCCAACTGAGGAAACTAACAGTACATGGAGCCCAGCTCTGCATAATTAGAGAGGTTGCGGGAAAATGGGACGAAATTGCCATTTCAATGGATTTCGACCCTAATGGACACACACAGACAGCGATAAACAAAGACTTTAGCACTGTACAGGAAAAGTGTACAGAGACGTTCAAGAAGTGGCTGCAAGGCATGGGTAGCAGGCAGCCAGCCACGTGGAAGAAACTGGTAGAAATACTGAGAGACTGTGAATTTGCACCAGCTGGCTAGTAGAATAAAAGCTGCACTTCGCTGAACCACTTATTGAAACTGTACATGTGTAGCTATAATAATTATAGCTATATGTCAACCTTTTTGGAAAAGTGCATCCGGCACCTTATAACTACTGTAGCTCAAAATTGTCGATTGAGTGGCTGCAAACAGACAGCGATAAACGAAGGCTTTAGCACTGCAGATACAGGATAAGTGTAGAGAGATAGTGGGAAAATCTTAGAAATGGTGACTTGGATGCCACCACAATTAACTTCAATTATGGGCTCGAAATCCACGCCAGGGGGAGTCCGTGATGTAAAGCCACACAGACTATATAATATAATCCACCGCGGAAGCAAACACCCCTACTGCTACGTGGTTGTCAGCGGGCTTCTCCCCCAAGAGCCAGACGCCTGCCCGACCACTGCAGCTACGTAGCTTTTAGCTAGCTAGCTATAATGGCAGTATCCACGCGTCCAGAACTACTGGATCTGTTCACAGGTCTCTCGGGGCTCTCTTGGGAGAAGCAAAAGACAGTAATGCTCCGTCTGGGTGTCCCGCAGCACAGCATCGACGACATCGAAGCGAAGCACCCGACGAGCGACGACACACGTAGGATGGACGCCCTGGAGTGTTGGCTCAAAACGGACGCCAGTGCTACGTGGCAGAAGCTCATGACGGCGCTCCGAGACTGCGGTCTGGTCATCTTATCCCAGATAATCGAGGGGCAATACGCGGGAGTGAAGTGGAAAAGTTTTACTGGAGGCGCCACAACAAAACCAATTCCGGTTTCTCCTTCAGCGCCACGTGAGTAAAACTCTATTTTACTCAACATAATATGATTCAGCTATATACCTCTCTCTCCGTTTTCACTGCAGTGCCTAACCTAACTGACAAACCTACACTGGCCCAACTATGGAACTAAAGATACCTGGAGACAAAGATATGTGCATAATCAAAGAACTTGCTGGAAAATGGGATGATGTCGCCATTTCGATGGATTTCGACTCTGACGGACACACACAGACAGCGATCAACAAAGATTTTGGATCTGTTCAGGAGAAGTGTAGAGAAACTTTCAAGAAGTGGCTGCAGGGCCAAGGCAGCAGACAGCCAGCCACGTGGGAGATACTGGTGGAGATACTGAGGGACTGTGACTTTGAAAATCTGGCTACTAGCATAGAGACTGCTATTAGTAAATGAAAAATGGACTATAGCTATTCAAAAGGAACATGTTTCAAACATCACCGATGAACCTGTACAAGTCATGGAAAACTTCATATCTTTTTACAGCCTACACTCTTTTTAGCTAGAACCAATATCCTGTCCTCGAGGACGATGCGAAGCGGAGGGAAGAGAGAGGGAGACCAATCCAGTCGGGTAAACCCCTCTGATCTGCCGACCAAATCATGTGACTCCTGATAGTAGTGATGGTCTTCCACCGAAATCAGGAGAAAGTCAAACTCCTGCATTTCTGCTGAGCCCGGGACCAGATCTTCCCTCTTTGAATAGCTACAAAAGTAAAAGTATTGGCAATGATGCTGCAAAACCAGTGTCATTCCTATACACAAAGTGTGCACTGTGATTGAGGCAGTGATGTTTTGATAAACTTTGTCACGAAACAAGATTTTTTAGACTAAATTATACAAAAGATCAACCCATTTGTGTTCTAAACTAGCTCTACAGTTTAAGACATGACTTAGCTAGTATTGTGTTTGTAACCACTAACCACCACTATACAGTAAAAGAGCTTACTTCCAAGACTGTCTTTCCTCCCCAAACCTGGACACACCTGTCATGGCAGCCTCGACACCAACATGTACACTCACCCTCCCACCTGATCAATACACAAAAGTCACGTGATCATCACGTGACAGTCAGGTGACCCACCCACCAAGCTTCATCTCGGTGTCTCTGTCCACCAGTCCATGCAGCAGGGACATGGCGTGGCCTCCAGGGTAGTTGTGACGCGAGACAGACATGAAGCAGAGAGCCAGACCAAAGCTGACGAGCAGGCTACAAACAGCTCCGAGTGGTACAAAGACTGGTAGTTTGCGACGATTCTTCCATCTGAGAGTTAGAGCGGTATTTTGTCAGCAAGTATATACAGTGTAGCTAGATGTTTTCTTACATATTAGAGTAGGCAAGAGCGGCGACCATGTTGAAGAGAGGGATGGTGTAGATGATAAATCTCATCTCCTTGTGAGGCAGCAGCGAGTAGAGGAACACGTAGAGCAGGGCGCAGAAGAGGGGCAGGCGAGATCGGGGCTCCGTCACGACCGCCACGGGGATGGAGAGGAGGGGGAGGAGGAGGGAGCGAGGGAGTGCCGAGGCAAAGTACCACCAGATTGGTTTGGTCTGGAGAGAGGACAGGTAGAAGTACTCCATTACTCGAGACCCATTTTAGAACATTATAGGACCCCACAGTTTCAGCATATCTAGCTTGCCAGTTAACACACGTTTTTGAAACTGAATGCCCATTGCAAATGTGTTTATTTGTGTCTTGTGCTTACCCCCCAGAGATGGCTCTTGTCAGAACAGTGTTGAACCAGAGGACCTCTCCCTCTGGCCACACCCACCTCCCCCAGAACACACTGTCCACACCCACTGTCAGTCCTGCAACAACACACATATTTACTAATCTGAAAACTAAACTGTTTTGAAAATTGGTGGATTTAGGATCTATTTGAACCTGTATACCTATGGTGTGCCACAGCAGACAGGTAATTATCCTCACTTCCTACCAATTTCTATCTCTCCTCACAAACACGACCAACCAACCCAGCCAGAGAAGTCCAGCTGGAACCGAGTGTTTGAAAAGAGTCACCACTCCGCATCTCCCTCTAACGACCTCCACCATCATCATGATCCCCAGTAGACCAGCCAGCTCTGCTCGGAACAGAACAATGGCGGCTGCCGAGGACCAGATAAAGGGGGCGTGTCGACCGAGGAGCCAGGAACGGAAGGCAAAGAGGGCCGGGACGAGGGCGAAGGTGTTGGGGAGAGGTCGGCTGACGTAGAAGAGAAAGTGGAACTGAGAGCAAGTGATGAGGACAAGAAGAGAGGCCGTGGTCTTCCCGAGGGTCGTCTGGACCGCCCGACGAAAAGAGATGAATGCTAGACACACCAGCAGCCCCAAAACACCTCTCACTGCAGGCAGGAAATCATGAAATCATTTCAAAGTACAGTCATTTTCGCTCCCTCTTGTCGTAAGGTCTCACCAATCCATTGTGAGAGAGGTTTTGCTGCTCCAAGGCTGCTTGCAAAGCTGACAAGCGGTTTGGATATGAAGGACACGACCAGAGGGCCGACAAACGTCCTCGGAACGACGCCGGGAAACTCGAAGTGGTCATACTAGCACGGAGTAAAAAACGAAGTCCGTAAAATTCCAAATATTGCACACCCATGATGGTTTCCCAACCTTGCTGAGGTTTCCCACGTGGTAGAGGAGGTCGTGCGCGGCCTGAAAGTTGAAGCTCTCCTCGACTTTCGTGTAGGGACAGAGCGCCAGGTACAGGAGACACAGCGAGACCAGCAGGAGGTCGACAATGGATCCAGATTCCATTGAGAGCGCGCCCAGTCAGCTGGCGTAGCTGCGCACTAATTGGAACGCATGTCCCTTCGAGGAAAGGTAAGTCTTGTCCACTGTGCCTGGTTCTACAGGAGACCTAAGCGTGTGTATGCACGTTTGCAGGTTCTCGGATCTTACAGACTGCTCCTCAGAGCCTGCCAAAACCTCTGCCGGGATGACCTCGTCGCACTGAACCGTCAGTAGTGTAGCTAGGGATAGTGCTAGCTGTGTAAGGATACATTCCGTAGGTGCTAGGGCAGCGATCAAGGAGGAATACAATAAGCACGGTACTGTTGAAAACGAGCAAGAAATTGAAGAGGTAAAAGCAATCACCTACTGTATTCTCCATTCCAAACCAACCCGCAAACACTTTTCGCCCTGGTTGAAACTAATATGTTGGTGGGTATCACATCGGTTTTCTGTGATGAGAATACACTGTATTGTTGTGTTTCAGTGGGTAGGCAGAGCTGTGGATGCAGAGAAGTATGTTGAGACATCATGTGGTACAGGCCGTTCCTGTCAATGACAATTTATACAGTGAGCTGATAGAGATGCATGCATTGTGGCTGTTTGTTTCGTCGGGAAAATTTCATTCTCAGAGTCACGTTGTGCATCTGGATGCATGTATATACACACACTAGAACTAACTGTGCATTGGAGTGGATTTGATGAACGAGATGCAACATACAGTGGAGGGTCAAGGATGATCTGTCTCTTTGCAGGACTGAGGATTACAGAGGAGACGGTACTGTCAGACAACCCAATTCCACCTGCCAACCCACCACCTTAGCCCCCTACACACACTCTCTCCTCACAACTCGCACCGCAACAACCATCTTACTTGACAGTTTCCTCCGTCTCAACACATTCTGTGTGTAACGACTTAAAAAAACACTTTCTCCAAAAACAGTGGCTGCCACATAATATCCAACAGTGAAAATGAATCATTTGCGCTGGAAAAATATCTTCATGGTGTTCAGAAACTGCATATAAAACTTCTAGGACAATAATACATGAGCATTTACACCTAAACACGAACAGTGAACGGTTGGTATAAATAAAGGTGTGTACAATAATAAATGCAAATTAAGGGGAAGAAATAATTATGACATGATTAGATGGGGTCTTGTAGCTGAGTGGCTGAATGGGGGTGGTAAGGGATGATGGTGGAGGGAAGGCAGGATGTTCTACTTCATGACCTATTGACTTCTGTGTGGGGATTTCCCTGCATAAACGAGGACAAATTAAATAGTTGAAGCAATGTGTGAGTATATATACACCACTTACTGTGGTAATGATAGAGTCAACGAAAAAGTCGACAATCATGCTGATCCATTTCGCCTGGTTTGACTCCACAGGGTAGTTCTTGTCTGTGAATGCCTGGGGAAAGACAAATGATATACACAATACATGGGGCTTAATATGTACACGGGCTTTGGTGCCGTAAAAACATCTCACATTGCATGCGCGCAGGTAAAACTACTACTGACACATGTAAGTAATACAGGTCTGTGTAAGTGAAACGTAGTGGCGTTCTCTTCTTTACTGTGCAGCTCATCATTTGTCTATGTATAATTATACTATAACACTTTTCTCGACATGCAACATGCACGTATAATACAACTGTCTTGACATGCAACTAGCTAGAATACAACTGTCTCGACAGCAACTAGCTAGAATACAACTGTTTCTCGACATGCAACTATGCTAGATATACATACACTGTCTCGACATGCAACTAGCTAGAATACGACACTAGAATCAACTGTCTCAACATACAACTAGCTAGAATACAATACTGTCTCAACATGCAACTAGCTAGAATACAACTGTCTCGACATGCAACTAGCTAGAATACAACTGTCTCAACATGCAACTAGCTAGAATACAACTTCTCAACATGCAACTAGCTAGAATACAACTTTCTCAACATGCAACTAGCTATAATACAACTTTCTCGACGTGAAACTAGCTAGAATACAACTGTCTCAACATGCAACTAGCTAGAATACAACTTTCTCAACATGCAACTAGCTAGAATACAACTTTCTCAACATGCAACTAGCTATAATACAACTTTCTCGACGTGAAACTAGCTATAATACACTTTCTCGACGTGAAACTAGCTAGAATACAACTTTCTCAACGTGAAACTAGCTAGAATACAACTTTCTCAACATGCAACTAGCTATAATACAACTTTCTCGACGTGCAACTAGCTAGAATACAACTTTCTCGACGTGAAACTAGCTAGAATACAACTTTCTCGACGTGAAAACTAGCTAGAATACAACTGTCTCGACGTGAAACTAGAATGAGTTCAACTCACCAAAACAAAGGTCTTGCGTGAGTAGGCCCAGTTGCGGAGCACCTGGTAATCCCAGTGGTCCACCACCTCCTTCGTCTTGGGATCCACCCTCATGATCCCGTGAGGCCCCACCCCCAGGATGATCGGCTTCAACTTTGTACTCTGCAGCACCTTCTTCCTTGGCTCCTGTCATGTGACGATCATGTGGTTCAGCACATTGTTACCATTATGTATCATGTGATCTACTGTAGTTGAGCTCTGATAGAATATTTCATGGTTGGGGTACTTAATGTTAGATACATGCATGAATTTTGTGTTTAATGGCATACACATACTGACGATGTGAAAGGTTAAGATCTAGAAACAGTGGGGAAAGGGTTAATTGACAAATAAACAGTGGACAAAGGGTTAATTAATAAAGAATCAGGACACCACACATGTGTGTCTTAAACACTCACCCGGACCGGGAAGAACACGGTATTATAGGTCAGAAGGCCCATCATCATGCTGACGTATGCCCTGTGGACCTCCTTATGTGTCTTCATTGACTTGAGTCTCTCCTGCTCCTTGTACATCTTCTGCTCCAGACCTCGGACCGCACTGAACTCGGTCGGGAGAAACTCATTGGGTCTGTGAGTAAAATACATTCATGGAGAGAAAAGGAGGGAGGGAAAGAGAGGGTTATATAATGGGTCTGTAAGGTATATACATTCATAGAACGAAATCTAGGGCCCAGTGCAAGAATGTAATTAAGTTTCTATTTTAGTAACAATTTCTAAATTTAGCCTTTATACATATTATACTGCCACACATCCGCTAACTACTGCAGTACTTAGTGCTACATTATAGGTATATATATAGTAGTGTATAAATACCTGCAGAATCCTACGACGGAGTGTACTGCAGTTCTGTCGAGGAAGTAGGCCTGGTACTGAATGGCTGCCAGTTTCACTGCCTGCTCCGTGGTACAAGGAATATTGCCCTGGACTATGCTGATCCAGTGCTGTGAGAGGGGGTTGAGGAAGGTGGGCGGGAGGAGAAGAATGAGAGTTTATGTACAATGCCACTCACGTCCAAAAAAGGGCATTTACTATTGAATTTCCAAATGCAACCACTGCTACATGTGTATACATAATTAGTATCTGATACTGAGCTCATCAGCAAACACACCAACACAGCACATAATGGCTTGTGTTCCTATACAACATCATCATAACATCATCATAACTTCGCTGGCTATGGATTAGCATTCTAGGCTTGTTGTCACACACTCAATTATTCTTGATGTCATTTCCAGCGTGGCCTTATACAAGACTGCTGCTTTGCACACACTTGCCCTGCTTCATGCTTGCGCCTCGGCACTTACGAAACAACATTCTTAGCCATAAACAATAGAAGAGTATATACCTTGTGGAAGTCTTCAGCCTCATCTCCAGGAGGGAGACTGGCAGGGTAAGTAGTACCCGCCTCCAGAACCACATCGTCACACCTGCGGATGTAGTACATAGGTGTTTGGATCACATTGTCAGCATGATATTGAGCATGATATTGAGCATGATATAGAGCATGATATTGGGAGCGTTATGTTTTGCAAAGAGCCTTAGGTGGTACATTACAACGGGGTCATAATAGGTCGCAGTGATCAACTCACAAAAGTAATAACTCTAGTTTTAATGTGTAATATGTAGGTCATCGCGAGCCACTTACAAAAGTCTAGTCTAAACTCTAGTTTTAATGTGTAATGTGTAGGTCATCTTACATGAGAGCCAGGACCCGGGAAGTGGTGATTCCCTGCATGTGAAACGAGAGGGACGGTTTCAGGAGTGTCGGCTCTGACCCGAGGTCAGGCAACCACTGGTGGTCCATGATGTGTGTGAGCGAGTTGGACCGCCCGATCCCGCCCGGGGCGGAGCCTTCCCCCACCTCCCCCTCCTTCAGGGATGTGAGACACGCCCCCTCCACGTACAGCTGGTAGTGATCCACATTGTCTGGGTAAAAGCAAGCAATAGACGAGGTGGACATATTACATGCATGCTCCGTATATAGCATTGGATCAGAACCACAGCATTATTGCTCCCTTTCATCAACTTTAGCATACAATTATAGCTTACGCTACTATTGTAGACGGATTTGAACTTGTTGCAAAGGACACATTAAACTAATGATCAAACCGTTGCAATAGAACCAATAAGCACCGATTGACAGCCAGTATAATAAGATCTCACTCAGCTGTATATATTCACATGTAGTATATATGATGCATCTGATGATGGTATAATAGCAGGGGCAACTCACCAATTCCCAGCAGGTCACACAGCTTCTCTCTCAGCTCTGCCACTGGGCGGTTGATGTTACACTGCAGTACACACGTCAACGTAAAATGTACATACATACATACTGACAGACACGGCACGAAGAGGGAATTTCGGCAACAGAACAAAAGCAGCAAGTTCATTCCACACTTTAACCAGTCTACATCACGTTCACATACACACACTTTGCAAGAGTGCATTATAGAACCAATTGCACTGTGCAAAGCGGGCGACATTGTTCGGTATTAATGAAAATCAGACAACTAGAGGGTAGACTCGCTTTCCTTGTCGCTCACTCTTCACTCGCCAAATATCAAGGGAAAGGTCATGCGAACCATTGCAGGTCCAGAACTACGAGAGTGCAGAGTGTGGGCGGAGTGTTGCGTACCTCTTCAGAGTGCATCCGGCCATTTGGCATCTTGACGTAGAACAGGCGAAACTCTCTCATCACGAACGAAAAGTCCTGTATGCATGTAGTACATACGTACACACATGTTATTGTACAGTACATGTATGTACGGATTACGTAAGTTTGTACATGTACAAAAGTTGTTGTTTTTGTACAAGTTACATAATCTCTTGTACATAATATGTCTACATGTACATGCTATACATGATACACACAATAAGAGACAACATGGCACCACGATGGTGTGGTTTTGTGAAAACTTACAAAGACTGTATACATAGGCGTAGGGGTGGCCATTAAGTAGAATATACAACAGCGTTTGTTGAAAGTGAGAGCCAATATCGACACAACAGACACCGGCTCTGTATGTACATATCGCCCCCCTCAAACACCACAGCAAAGCAAGCCGTCTCATTGCCACGGAAGCAGAAGACCTAAACAGTCAACTAGTTGAGTATAGGTACAGTATGTATACCCAGCCGCAATTTAAAAACTCTGCATATTACACATCTCCCTGCGAATGTTCCTGACACCCACCTTCATCATGTCGGCAGCTCGGAGAGGCTTCTGTTTCCTGGTGACTGCCTCCGTGTCGTCCAGGCAGCTGACGGTCTGACTCCGTCTCTGCAGCTCCCTCTTCCCCAGCCGCGGGCTCACAGACGCCGACCTCTCCTGTGGGGCCTCAAGCGTCTGCAGCCGTCGCACCGCCGGGTTTGTCAGCCCCGCCAGGCTCGATTTCCCTCCTCCAGTAACACCCCCACCTCCGATTGTCGGTCCCATGGTGGCCGACCCGCTCCCTACACCACCACCGCCACCCGCAGCGGCGGCATTCTGTTTCATCTTCCTCACGACCGGAGGAGGTTGGATGAGACCGGCGATGCTCGTTGTCATGGTCTCTGTGGCCCTCGGAGTCAGCGCGACTTCCTCGTACATGTGCTGGCGTCGCGGGGCCTTAGGAAGCTCTGACGCCTTGTGCTCCGGGATTATCATGGGGACTGTGTCTCCCTCCACTCCGTTTTCCTCGTCTGCCTCCGGGAACGTGTGAGTGATAACGGGGACGCTCGCGTTTGTCACGCTGCCGTGCCTCGGGCTCGTTTCCGACTCCTCGAATATGGTGCTCGGGAGTTTCTTCATCTTTTTCGCGTCACTGTCGGGGACGCTCGCCGAGTACAGCTTTATTCCTTGATCCTGCGACGACATGCTCTCGGAGATTTTCATTCCCTTGATGAGGTCGTAGAGAGGGTTTAACTCCTGCGACCAGCGAAGGCGTGCGATGGCCTGCGGCGTTCCAAGGAGGTCTTCGAACGGATCGAAGTCGGTCCGCTGCGGGCTCTTTTTCTGTCGGCGCACCACTCCACTATGGTCCAGGGACGTGCTGATAGAAAACAATAGGGGAGTCTGATATGATATAAGTGAATGTATATACAGCATGGCTAGCTATAAAGGAAGAAGGAAAGAGGGGAGCCTGATAAACTGGCTGTATGTGAAAACTACGAGGTAGAAAGGCAAAGACACAACAAACAAATCAACTACACCCAGGACAGCTCTAAAAAAGAAGAGCTGCCCTGGGTGGGGATATACATACGTACATACTATAATAGCTTCTCAACAACAAACGCAAATTTCGGGAATCGCAAAAGTATTGGCTTTAGTGCAAGCAAAAAGTCGCTCTGCAAGGTTGCGAAGTTAGTTATATAGACACAACTGCCAGTTTGCTAGTAAAACACAACATCATGCACAATGCAATGTACATTACCCGAGTGTACGAAGCAGCCTTTTGCAAGGAAGAAAAACTCTGAGAATAGACCGGCTCCGAAGACTACATGTACTGCTAGGGGATCTTGGGTAAATTTGATTGTGTGGCTAATGAATGTAAATATGTAGGTCCATGTGCACACATGGGTAGACACAGCTAGGGTGTATTTGGAGTCCGTGGTTATCTGCGTGAAAAGACGTCCACCAAGACAGATGCTGCTGGAGGCGAGTGGCCCCGTGTCAAAAGGAGCTGGCAGCTGTAGTGCTGTCTCGGTCTGCCAACACCGGCCACACTTATATATATCCGAGTGCAAATATATGTCGTCTATAACAAAAGAGTCTGTTCCTTTTTGGCTCTCCAGCTATGCATACTGTGATAGTACACATAAGTAGTGGCTAGGGAGGGAGGAGAGAAATTCTCAGGCAGGATAGTATCATGGGCCCAAACTTTTATACTTTCACATAATTAGATTGCTGCACCTAACTCTCTCTCCTTCTCTTCCCTACTCCCTATTCTGCCTTAGTACCCACATGAGGTGCATGTACACGTCTAAATACACTACAAAAACCAGCAACACACGATGCAAAGTTGCAGAACGACCAAGAACCACGCTGCGTTTGTCACACATCTCGCGATGTATTGTGAACCAGGCTCTAGTCTATATTATACATACGTACCCAGTGTCTTCTTCGCTTTCCTCCTCTTCTTCCTCTGCAATTGAATTGGGACCGGGGCTGGTGGAGCTCCGGGTGGCCCCTCCCTTTCCTCCGCCCTCACTCCGCCCACTAATCATGACAGGCTGGGAAACGTTCCGCCTCATTGCACTACTATCAATGGGGGCAAAAAGACTCCACATGTTCTCCTCCTCTTGAGGGGAAGCTGCGGGGAGACGGTCGTAGAGCGGGGAGAGGGGAGGGGTGGAGAGGGGGAGGTGGAAGTCGTCCATGCTGTTTGAAGTGTCCTCTCTCTTCAGCGAGTGAATCTGGATCCCGATTCCCAGTTCCACCCGGTCTGAACTCATTCCGGAATCAGAACGAGACAGGGTGTCGTACGGAGGCGAGACTAAGCGGGGAAAGTTGTCGTCTGGAGTGGGCGGAGCCTGGTACCATTGTCCACCCTCGGTTGCCACACCCTCTCGGGTGGTGGGCATTGATTGGAGATCCTTGTCAGGGGAAATCCCCATGGGATTGGATGACATCGAGTTGCTGCGTTTCCCGCCCAACACACGAGTAGGGAGACTGCTCTCCTGTTTCCCAGACGTAACGACAGGGGTTGACCCTCGTCTTGGTGCAGCCGTTTCCCCCGTTCTCTCGACACCCACCGACATCGACGACACCGCCGTTTGTCCCCACGGCATCGTAACAGTCTTAACGAGGTTAATTGGCCGGGCGTTTCCCCTCTGAACCGTAGTCTCGCTCACGGAGCGCTGTCGCAAGAGGAAATAGTCGTTTGGGTCTTCCAGGGAACCTGCAGACCCTTTCCGTAGAACTGGTGGTGGTGGTGGGATAAGGCCAGACTCTGGAGGTTGAGACGAGAGGGTCGTCTCTGAATTCTGCTGTAGTTTCAGAGAAAGGTTCTGCGGAGGAGAGGGCGGAGGAAGTGGAGGAGGAGGAGAGGGGGGTTGATTTGCAGTGGTCTGAGCGGGCGGCTGCGTTGCTTGGTTCTCTGTCGATTCTCCCCTCGTGCTCCGCGGCCCCGGCGGAATTCCGTTAGCCTTGCCCCTGTCATTAGTGAGGGGTGCAATTGGTTCCGGACTGAGTTTCTTGCAGTATGCGTCCCGGAGACGACTGTCGACATCGACGTTGTGAGCAATCTTGCTGGTTGGGTCGGTGGTCTTTTTCGACCGACGGTTCATCGTGTAGAATCTGACCTGCTCACTGGCAGACGGCTGCGAGGAATCTGTTCATGTATGAGAGATAGGAGAAGGAAGAAGAAAAGAGGGGGAGAAGAGAGAGAGAGCGAGGGGGAGAGAGAGGGAGAGAGAGAGAGAGGGGGAAGAGAAGAAAGAGATGGAAAAGGAGAAAGGAAGAGTGAAAATAATCACAGAGGGAGAAAGGGAGGGATGAAAAATGAGGGTGTGTAACAAAACGACGACACTCGCAGCCTATTACACAGTGAAAAATGAACGGAACTGATTAATACGTACTTTATTATACCAAGGTTTCAATAACTGATTTATGACTGTACATCTCGGAGACGAAGCGAGAGTGATGAGACTATGTATGTATATTCTCACCTCCAAACTTCCTGCGAAGTGTGCGGACTCCACTCTCGGGGATCCTGGAGTTCGGAGGATTGTCTCTCGCTCTCTTCTGCAGGACAAACCAAACACACATCACACCACATTTCACACACATCACATCACACACCACACTTCCCTCATGCCAGACATAACATCTGCAGTACCAGGGTTTTAACCAGGGAACAATGAAGGGGGGTTGGTTGACTGACCACATTCACTTCCAAAAGACTATACTATGCATCTATTACACACATTTGTCTCAGTATATACACTTCTGTAAAGCAGGGAGAGACTCTGCATCATTGTATGGCAAGTGAACATTTGTTACAAGAAGCACATGATGTCAATTTCTACGCACTAGGAAGACCATGAGTCAAAAAAATGTCAACAACTCCGCGAGCCAACCTAATTGCAACAATGAGTTATTTTCCTCTATGGTAAAGTTGGAACTGCTATATACAGACACACGTGTTCTACCGACTTACTCTCAGAAACATGTCCAGCTGTCCCCGAGTAAGACCAACCAACACTCACTACATACACACCCGAATTTGCAGACACACGAAATAACAGTATAATTATACAGCAGACGATGGGAAAATGTCACTCGGGTGCCTTGCACAGCCAGGCACAGATGATTGCATTGGTAGAGTAAGTGGCTCTATAGCAGTGTGGTGACAATGGCCACTACCAGGAGAGCTCTGAGACACAGACAAACAAACAGACATCCACACAGCAGCACCAATGGCTGGCAATAGAATTTCAACACTTCACTAGAGCACCACAACAACTATACTATAGTAGAGCTGGGGTTCCAAACTGTGTCCAAACTTTGTCAGAACTGTTCATGAAGTGAACTTCACACAGCTATAGTTCAACACTTCATCTCCAAAAACTAACTCTTGGACGGTTTCGAAGGTACAGCTATTGGCTCAGCACACGTCTACGGTGCTATATATAATCCGGTGTTGTCCCAGGTTGGCCGGTCCCACTGGCTCAGCTCAACACAAACTCACGCCAGGAGAGGGCCAGAACTGAGGCCTGGCAAGCAGTCCAGGGGCTAATATATCACTGAGAATGACTCGTGAATGCCTGCCAAATTGGCCACAATGGTCAACATGTCTTTCAACTATACCACCATATGTACCAACAATGCTAACCCACGCACCCACACACACCATACATACAGTATTGTATGTGCATAATTATGCTTTTATAGCGAAAAAAGAGTTGGCTTGCTGGTCGGATGAAAGCCCAGCTGCCTTTGGCTACTGAACACTCCCCCAGGCACAAGTCTACAACACTAGATAATAGGTAAGCTGCCACTACCAGACAATGTACACAGTATTACATTTCATGTAGAGATACTCAGAGATGTAACAAGATTAACTATCCTAGTATTGAGCTCCAGTCCCCAACCACAACTACATGATTTACAAACTTTGATCAAAGGGTAATTACAGCCTCTGCATGATTGTATGGACACACACACACACATGCTTTACAGTTATTGCTGTAAAACGTGTCAGACTTGTTGCACGAGCATGTCGGACTGTACATGAAAACACATGTAAACATGTCCAATTAATGCACAGCAGTACAAGTGGTCGAGAAAGACGGCTCACGTCTCTACAATAGATGCTGTGTCTCACCAAGGCCTGCTCGGGATGTTTCTGAAAGTCGTCGATATAGGAGCAGATTGCTTCCCCATCGTCAGTTCGTACAGAGTAGTTCCTATTGGACCCGTGGAATTGCTGAGTGGAGAGAAAAGACACGAGGTGGGCATTAATTGGAGTCAATCAACAATTCTCTTGGCATCACATGGTATTTTCTACATGTCAGATACAAATGACTACAAGTGGTAGACACAGCAGGTCCTTATCTACACAGCTAGAGAAGCTATGATAACAGAGAAGGCTTACAAAACAGCCCAGCCCTAGGCATTGTGTGTGGAGGCAGATAAACAGCAGTGTTGGGTCTGGTGGCAGCACAATGACAGTAGGACAGACTGTGCAGTCACCCATGGCCATTTACTGCCTCACAACCACCTGCCATACTATTGTAATGCCACATGGAGCCTTGGGTACCATTACCTGCAAGCCCCCTCTGCTGAGTTCAAATGCAATAGCGTAAAGATGGCCCTGGGTACAAAGCTACTAGAGAGGGGGGAGGGGCGACAAGGCTAGCTATAAACACCATACAACAGTACCAGGGTTTTAGCCAGGGAGCAATTAAAGCTAAAACACGGAGTACAGCTCACCAGAGTAAAGGAGTAGCCAGAAAAACTCCAGTCTTTTAAGTCGGAGAAAGTCCACTGGTCCAATATCTGGGAGAAACACACCAGACACAGTATACACTAAGCTGCCCTACTCTGCAAAGCTTGCACACACCAACAACTGGATGACTGCTACTCTGTACACAGACTACATATACACCAGGAACCGACTGGAAATGAGAAACTGGTCTGACAAGCTATATATTACATGTCTACCCACCAACCACAGACAATACGATGCATATCACGCAACTGAAATTGAAACCGTCACTACGGCCAACACACTACTATGGAGCTGATGTTTTGAGCAGTGCATAAGCTAGTCCATAGAATGCACCTTCTAATGCATGCATTCGGTATGATATACAATGTTAACTATTTTGAATACTGGTCAACCATCCACAAACGGGTCGTCCATTTGCCCGACCTTGTTCTCCATTCCGTCCACCTTGAAGACGCCGTCCCGTCCGATTCCGATTCTGACAAGAACCTGTTCCGTACCGGGCTTACGTATGAAGCTCTGTCTCATTCCCATTCCAGTCCTCAGTTCCTGCAAGAGAATAACAAAATGAACAACTCACATTCCGCAAAGTGATGATGAATCCACTATATGTACGACTACCGTCAATAGAATACTGTATAGCGGAAAAGTTTGCCAGGAAGTTTAAACGTCACCAGAAACCAAATATTTGCAGATTGCTGTCCAACTAAAAAATTCTCCTTCCCACAAAATATCACCGAGAAAGCTTTGAAAACTGATCATACTTTGCACGAAAGGTTTTCACTCAGTATATTATATTACAGAAGGTGGGGGTGGAGGAGGAGGAAGCGGGGGAGGATGTGATGATGCAATTTCCACATTCTTAACATTCTTCCCCACTGACATCAAAAGACACAATGCATGGAACACTTGCAAGGGAATCACAACATGTACTATGGAATACCTTTGCGTGCATAAAAACATGTTTACATTGCTCATTATCTTGTAAATGGGACTATGTGTTGACTACATGTTCTATACATTACCGAAGGCTTACAATATTAACAACAGCTGTCGAGTCTTATGTCACATCACCAGCGAGTGCATGCTACAAAAACCACACCGTGATTCACGAGGCAACATTCTAGCTGCAGGGTAGTGAGCCCTTACAAGCAAAAAAACCTTGATGAATCACAAACTTTGAAAAATATACACTACCATATGTACAATCACAAACTTCGAAAAACATACACTACCATATGTACAATGCTAAATAGACACATGAGAAAGCTTGGAACAGTTTAGCGAGGTTTATACCTTGCCAAGGAAGAAGATGACATCGGGAAGAAAGTCCTGGTCCTCTGGAGCTGGGGATCCCTCGGTGGAGAGGAGAGGCTCTGTGTCCGCCATGACTGATGGAGGGGAGAGGGAGGAGATGGATGGAGGGAGGGAGAGGGAGGGAGGGAGAGGAGGGAGAAAGAAGAGAGAGAAAAGGGAGAGGGGGATAAAGGAGAGAGGGAGAGCAAAAGAGAGGAAAGGGCAATAAAAGATTGCATATACCTAACACTACTAACAAGAGAGAAAAGGGAGAAGAAAGTGAAAAAAGAGAAGGAGGGAGAGAGTGACGAAAATGAAACACAATGATAGGATGGAGGGGGGTGGTGAGAAAACACCTTGATAAACGAAATACTACTAACAGAGAGAAGTCAGCGGCTATCCCCAGTGTAGCAGACAAGATCGGTTGGTTTGTGACTCAATCTCATTTCTAACACAATCACCCCACTCTACGTCACAACCAAAATAGGCCACACCAATAATGTGTCCAGTAGGCATTCATGAGCACCTTGTGGAGGTTGCGTATTATTACATCACAGGCATCTTATGTACGGTACATGGTTACCATGACTAGCTGGCACGGACGTGGAGACAGATTGGGTGTGGGCGATATATTGGACATATCTATTAGTCGTGGAAACGATCCGTTTCGGATATACTACAGCGCTACCTTCATACAGTGACTTGGCACTCGGACAGGTAGTGGAAGTATGGGTCCTATGGAGGCTGGCATGGGGAAGGGTAAAACTGTCAGAAAGACAAAATTGTAGTTGTGTGTACATATGTACATACACAACATATGGCTCTCTTGGGTGGGAACTGATAGCATTGCTGGCCAGATGGATGGGCCAGAAAAGAAATTAGAGGTGTCGGGCTTTGAAATGTTCATAATTGGCAATGAGAGATAGAGAGAGTGCAGCATTAGATTAAGATGAGAAGAAGGGGGAGGGGGAGGTAGAAATGACAGAAAAGGAGAGAGAGAGGAACAAGATACGAAGTGAGGGAGTGAGGGAGGGAGGGAGAGAAACTGTTGAAAGAGGGTAGAAAGAGAAACAAACAGGAGAGGGGGGGCACCACATAAAACAGAAAAAGCCAACAGTTAGGTGTGGGAGAGAGGGAGGAAGAGTGGGAGGCAAACCCACACTCTAGAGGAAGTATAGATCACCATAGATACAAACATAGAGCAGAGTATAGTCAGCTAGTCATGGCCATAATTAGCTGTACATACAGAGCTGGTATTTACTGGGGGATTTCTGGCCCGGGAGCTTACAGGAGCTTTCCCTAGCTAAGTGGTCAAATCACAACCCTGCCCAAAGCACTACAGAATTGGATACGTTGTTAGCAGCTAGCTATATAATTATACATAACGTACGAGCTCCATTAGCTACAGCTAGCTAGCAAGATCTGTACGCAATACACAGAACGAAAACAAACGACAGTCGAGAACGTAACACTATACAGTTCGCCCATTCGTTTTCATGTGTATGTGTGTGTAAATCGTCTCGACCGCGCCGTATCAGCGTCGTGTTCGTCAGCTAGTAAACAGTCCGGGATGTCACGTCACACTACACGCAGGCTTCAAATGCTCTTCCGCTCACCTTTAGCGTACCTCTCACGACGCCTTCCTTCCCTCTGCAGCTTATCTGACCTCTGTTTTCTCTCTCTCAAACCCACTCTCAGCGTCTCTCTTCTCTCCGGCGGAAAATTGTGGCCTGATCTTCTTTTCTCTCCCGTAGAGTTGACGAAAATTCAGCTGATGATTGTACTCCGGACACCGCCGAAGTCCGAGTCCGGAGTTCATCCGCTCGCGCAAAAGTCCTTCCGCTCGCGCGCGACGCGAGACTGAACCCGCGCATGCGTAGAGCAGAATTATATTGTGCCATGAACAGCTAAAATTGTTCGTGTTCCATAACACACTAGTATAGAATGTCTAGAGACGAGGGCCGGGACTAGGTGTCCACTTGTACGTCTGGCTGTACATAAAGCCCAGCTTCGCGGCAAACTCATCGGCCTCCTTTGGTCCTCGACTGAAGGAAAAGAAGAACGGAGAAGATGGAGAGACAGTAGAACCCCCTCTAACACACCCTGAGGCCACCTCTGTAATAATGACACCTCTTGTTTCCCCAAAACAGTTCTTGCATGCAATTTAACTCCTGAAATGCCCCATTGGTGATGCATCTGTAAAGAAATAATTCTCACGTTCCATAGGTGTATTTGATTGGCTCAACATTCTCGCCTTCAATACGATGGAGCAGAGGAGTAAATATACGCCAGGCCTCAGCCAATTCATCACTGTAAAATAAAGATCAAAAGCGTATAATACATTTGGGCAACTGCTGTTACATATCTGTATATAAGTCTTTTGAAACTACATTAGCCTTGCTCTTATAGCTTGACAGTCTAGCATGGGCTTTCCATTAATGTGTTATATGACATGTATATATACTAACAATAGTACTATGATCCTTCCTATACAAGACTGACCTGCGTACAAAGTGGGCCTGAGTTCCACTGAGCGTGTCCAGAATGAGCCGCTCATATGCATCGGGAAGAGTGATGTCCTATTTTACAGAGATCAAGATGTCAATAAACACAGGATATCAAAAATTTAACCCAGCCCGTAGTAAATAGTATCTGACACTCTATCTGTCTTGTGACTTATGAACCCTCATTTTCAAGGGGGATACCCTCATTAACACATAGACGCAAGGGGCTCACCCCATAACGAGCCGTGTACGTAAGGTCCAGCTCGCTTTCCACGGGTTCAAAGGACATCCCCGGCTGTTTCATCATCAGCTTCATGTACATGGCCTCGTTGGGTTGGAGCCTGATAACGAGCTCGTTACGACGGGCACTCTTCTCGCCAAATATGTTGCCGGGCGTGTCCTTGAACTGTATGCGGACTTCAGCCTTTCGCTCATTGAGAGCTGCAGGGGGGAGGGAGGGGAGGGGGAGGGAGGAGATGAGACAAAGGAGGGAGAGAGGGAGAGAGGAAGAAAGAGGAGGAAGAGAAGAGAGAAGAGAAAGAAGGGGAAGGTTATTTGAATTTTGAATTTTGAACAGTGGGCATAAGCATTATGTTCCTTTTCTGCCACCACATAATTGCTTCCATCTAAGTGTGAGCCTTGGAGACATAATTATTATGTACAAAATTAGTGAACTAGGTCACCTTTCCCACACTTGAGTATGAAGGGGACTCCGTCCCACCTCTCGTTGCGAATGTAGAGAGCAGCCAGGGCATAGGTCGGAGTTCGCGACCCCTTGGGCACGGTCTCGTCGTCAAGGTAACCGAGTTTGGCGTCTCCCTGCCCGAGGGGGTTTCCAGCATACTGGCCCAGCACCACGTCCTCCAGCTGAATCGGCCGAATGCTCTTCAACACTTTAACCTGCCACAGAGACGTAATAATAACAGTTTTAATTTAGTATTCTTCATGAGTGAAATAATCTATTTTACAGCTGGCAGAATTGGTCGAAATGCATACAACTCAATGAGAGAGAGAAACGAGAGCTGCAGTTAAAATATAGCTAACGACCCGTCAAAACTTTCACCTACGTTTATGAGTGGAGTTAATATATTGATAACCACAAGAATAAGTGGATGTTTAAAGTGTGTCCTTTAGTAAAAGGTTTTTCGATTGTGTCCCTTATTTGGAGTGTCGGAGGAACTAAAGTCTGTTCACGTTCACCTTGCCGCCGGAAGTGCACTAGTCAAAACTGTCATAATTGAAATATCTCGAATATTTGTGGGCGGTGGATGTACGCTATGGTGAATACGTTCCACGTGTGGTTCCGTGAGTTTTTCTAGTAAAGACGGTTTATTCAAACAACAAACCTCTCATTCTTGCCTTTTACTTGGCCTGGGCTCCCGCAGTAGCGGTGGGGAGACATACAGCTAAGTACGTAAGTGGGCGTTGGACGTGCTCGCAAAGCAGATAAATAGAACCTACGGTCAACTACAACCACGCTGCGCTTTGAAATTTCGAAATCGGTCGCTGTAAAGCTACATCACGGCAGATTTCCTACCGGCAAGGTGAACGCGAATAGACTTTAGTGTATACCTTTTCGTTGCGGATGTCCTCTGAACTGTTGGTGGCTGGTTTCTCCATTGCAGCCAGACACATGACTTGCAGGAGGTGGTTCTGCATTATGTCTCTGATGATCCCAAACTCGTCAAAGTACCCGCCGCGTCCCATCGTACCGAACGGCTCTTTGAACGTCACGACGACGTTGGCGATATTGTTTCTGTTCCATATCGGTTGGAGGACAGTGTTGGCAAACCTTGTTAGGGATGGAGGAAGGGAGGGAGGGAGGAGAGGGAGGGAGGGAGGAGCGAGGCGAGGAGTATGTGTGAGTGCAAAAAGTTGCCACAAACAAATTTAGTGAATTTCGAAGTTCTTTTCACAAATACTCATGCCAGCTGGCCCTGTTTGGAGACCTACCAGTTTGCAAAACTTCTTTTTGGGAAAGGTTGCTTTTAAGCAATTTGTGCGGTGAAATGCATATAGCTATATGCACACCTCATAACCATGAGATTCTGGACCATCTCCTTCCCGAGGTAGTGGTCAATTCGGTAGATCTCTTCCTCCTGAAAGAGGCCGGAGAGATGCTCGCTCAGCTCCGCAGAACTAGCTGAGTCCTTTCCCAAACGGCTTCTCCACTATCACCCGACTCCACCCACTGAGGATACAGTGTTAATCTCATCTCACTATTATTATTATACTACTCTTTGTAAATATACATACATCAATTTCTGCTTATTAAAAGAGATACCCGTGGCGTCCAAAGGGTTAATAAAATTTTGGGGGAACTGACCAAGGGCTCATGCAGCAGAGTTTGATGTTTGACGTGACGGGAGCAAACACGGAGGGCGGGAGGGCCAGGTAAAACAGTCGGTTGGCCTTCTTAAATCCCGTCTCCTGCTTCTTGATCTCCGCACTGAGAGCATCAAACGCTTGCTGCAGTTTAGAGAGCGTGCGTAAAACTGTTAGCAGTGGTGGTAGATTTTTTTCCTGGGGTCCGCAGAATTATTACCGTCATGGAGATTAGAAGGGGCTGCTAACTTGATTTGTTGAACAAGACCGTACAACGATTTACTCGTATTTTACAGTGCTATTCTTGCAAGAAAGTGGCCTTTAAAACACAATAATAATAGTGAGTGGGTGAATCTCATCATACAAAGTCGTCTGCACCAAGTCTGCAAGACTTGTTAATATAAAAATGTTGGTTTGGGGCTGCAAGTACAGTGGAGATAGGGACACTTAGGGAAAACAGCTTTTGTCCCTTGTAGAGAGGTCGGCCCCATCTCGGAGGTTTGTGTTATGTATTAGCTCTACGGTAATTTCAATCCGTTTTTAGCCTTTTGTCCGCTTCTCGGAGGGTCCGTCATGAGAGGTTCCACTGTATGTTAGTCCGGAGATGTGGTAAGTAATTAGGAGGACTAGAGACCTTTTCAGTGTAGGAGCCTCGGACGTAGGTATTTCGTGCCCAGAAATCTTTCAGCTTGTCGGCCTCTTCATCAGTAGCCTAAAGGAGAGGAGGGGGAGGAGAGAGAGAAGAGAATAATACACGATACACTATTTATGACACTGTGCATGTATAGTGAATAATTATATATGAGGAGAGAATATTGAGCCATGTGTACGACAGTTTGTCCATAAAATATGTTTGCCCAAAAAATTGTGTGTCGATAAAAATTATGTGAGCGTATTATAGAAATAATTATACAGCGCAACAATAAATCGTGTATCTAAATGGTACGATGTACCTTTAGGAAAGGTGCACACTTCTCCTTTAGTTTCTCGATGGTGAGGTCTGAGCGAGCGTAGCCAACGATCTTGGTGTTTTTGGGGAAAAGGCCTCCTTTAGCTACCCTCCTGTAGGGGAGAGAGACGGAGGGAGGGAGAGGAGAGAGGAGGGAGGGGGAGAGAGAGGGAGGGAGGAGAGAGAGAGGGAGGAGAGAGAGGGAGGGGGAGAAGAAGGGTGTCTGGTATACAAGGCTGGCAGTGGATCGATTTTTGCAACTGTATATATACCAGAGTGTGGGGTAGATCTTCTTCTTTGCCAAATCTCCCTGTGCGGTATAATAGTAAATAAAGTGAAGTGTAATACTGAATATGCACACCAGTACACCCACAAACCCCTCAGGAAAGAGACGGCGGAAAGTGGATGGAGCCAGATTCGGCAAGCAAGCTATGTACATGATAACTGCATGATGGTAAGGATTGTGCTTTTCATGTGTGATGCGTCTCAACACGACTGCGTGTTCGCCCCAAAAAACGGGGAAGGCATGTATGCCTCTGATCTCAGCCAGGGCTGCTCATAGCTGGTCTGATCCTCGTTCCGCCCCTGCCTGGAGTGCAGCGGACGTAACAGACTCACCGAAGCACCCATGATCACTATGACGGTGGACGGGGCAGGCTCGCTGGAGGACTGCTCCGCCATGACCGGTTTCAGGACGGGTTGTAGAGGCTTGATTGTCTGTTTCGGGCGACTCACTCTATCTCCCATCTGACGTTCACCAACGAACAAGGGTCGTGTGACGTCACAAACTTCCTTTTCCTGGTTTTGCGGAAACAAAAAATTGCAGCTAGCCGAGCTGTTAAGACGATCGACGCAGCTATAGTGGAACACACACCGCTAGCTGGTAGGAACTGATTCGCGTCTAGGGCCACAAGTAACGATAAGTTATAATATGCGGTGATTCATTTCCGTGACAAAAAGGCTTCTCTCGTTGAGCATCATCATAATAAAATTCATTATAGATTATTGCAACGTGTGAACATTGTCCACTGATAGCTTGGTGACACTATTGTTTCACGATACAGAATCAACACACGGCACTGATTAACAAGACACAGAAAGCCATAGTATTCTTAGTCTATTGAACAAGACATTGAAAGCCATTCAATGGCTTTATGTATGTATGTAGATCTGTCTACTGTCAAGACAGACGGATGGGTCCTAGTGAGAACTAACTGCTGCCCAATTATCTCCAACTGTTACGCGGACCTCCAGTGGAACCTGCGACACAAAAAAGCAGGATGACAAAAAACCACTAATGAAAAATTGTACCTTCAATTTGCACGAGGGAATCAAGTCAGGCGATTCAAGCACTTCCTTCACCTTTTCTTCTCAGACAAAAATGAGGGACAGGGAAGAAAATATAGTCAGCCTACAATCATTACTATGCAGTATGTACCTGAGACTAGTGATACATGTTGATTGGGGACCTCCAACAGGAGCTCGTCATGGATTTGAAGCAGAAGTCTGAACGTGGGGAAACGTAACTGCATGAGGACTAGACACCAATCTCTAGCTACCTCGTCTGTGGGCTCTCTCGAGCCAACATCCGCAGCGTTTGAACCATTCCACATTTGCACAAGTCGGCTGCAGAACCTGCATGCATTAAAATGCTTCATTTGACTGGGACAAAAGGGCACTTATAGCTGTGAAAGGGCATGCCTTGTATGGGGAAGTTGATGGCCTGCCTCTCAGAGTAAGATCGCAGGTGAGGGTTGCCAGAGTCAATATGAGGAAACCAGCGTTTCCGACGGCATATTGTCTCCACATAGCCTGCCAAAACACACTTCTATACAATCTGTCGTAAACTGCATGGTGCACCTTTTCTCCTCGCTTCATTGATCATTCTCTGCATGTAACTCTTGACCTGAGAGAATCTACCTGTCAGGTAACATGCATGAATAGTATAAACATGGTCAAACTTCGCAATTTTTCCTGGCTTCAAACTCACTCAGAAAACTGGTCATTAGTTCCTTTGCTGCGTTTGGGCTCACGCCGAGTATTTCAGCCAGCTTGTCCTTACCTGCAGACACCGTACATAGGCCACACATGCACCACGTGAAATCTCAGTGGGATCTAGGGATTGTCTGGTTGACATCATCCCTATCTTGAAAAACAAAGAATTTTAGGTGTCCTGTAGTTGTGTCTTTTCTGTATAAAAATCCCTTGTTTTTTTGGTGCTACGAGACATCTGCTATAATTATATACACCCCATTAAAATGAATTTTCAGAGTTTCATGCATGTCGTGTGCTGATTAATTCCCCTCACCAACTCCATAGACTATTGCATAGACAACTCTCTTTGCTCTCTCCCTGTCTCCACCCGTCACATTCTCTATACTCTTATCCAGCCTGCGATGGAAACAGTTGTGCGCTTGCCAACAATTTCACAGGCAGAGAACTGATTAGGTAATTATAGTGCATGTGTAAGTGTGTTTTGGGGAGAGCAAATGTGTCCTTTTTGGTGAGAACTGACCTCACTTTATCAGCCATTTGCCTTGTTTGCAAGGCATCTGCTTTTCATATCACCCTGCTATAGAACCCCTCTTATGTGGAAGATCGTGCCAGGGTTAGCTACTATTAAAGAGAGGGTGGTGTTCCTTTTTGAGAGGAGTGACCTCACTTTTGCACTGTACTCTGTTCGGGGCAGCCAGAATTAATGTAAAGCTGTGTAGCACCACCCTCGTTTTTAAATTTACCTTCATCCTATTCGTGGTGCTTGGAGCCAGTATCAACATTGTAGAGCACTCTATTTCGTATCTCTCTAGCTATATTATCATCATCCTGTTTTGGACTGTCTGTAATATCTTAATCCTCTTTACTCTCGTATATACTGTAATGGCCAGTTTGATGAACAGCTCACTAAGCTGTCATGGCAACAACACGATCTCGGCGCTCAGCAAACCCAAACACACTCGATATAAACTGAATTTTGCCGAGAGATCTGATATCACTCTCTCCCCATTCCCTTGGCTACCATTGAGCTGCCAGATGGGCAAACACGTCGCAGCTGGAGGTGTGTTGGGGCTGAGTGGTGAGAGCGGAAATGAGAACAGGGTCTCCCGACAGGTGTGCCAGCAGCCGCAGCTCGATGCTCCGGAAATCTGAAAACAACAATCATCGTGTTTGGACTTTCCCTGCAAAACTCGGTAGCACACAACAAACACTTATAATCACAAATTAGGCGTGGAAGTGACGAGTACTATATACAGTGCAGCCAATTAAATTGGTCATGGCTGTTTTCATGCACAGACTTTATGGGAAGTCGTAGCCCTATAGCTTGTGATGTGCTCCAAGTTGCAAGCACCTTACACTGACATATATATACATAGGCCGTGTGCATGATTGAAGTTGTTTTTGCCAACAGTATAATTATAGCTATCACGGTGGACGCCGTTACCTGTGGACACAAACATGTATCCGTCTCGGCTAACAACAGCTCCACGCACTTCAACACTCTGCTTCTCCCCCTCCTTTCCTTCATTCCACGGAGGATTAAGGACACGTTAAACTTATTATATTTTCTCTGCTTACCGACAACATGTGTTTTCACTGTTCCTAAAAGGATTGGCTGCTTTGGGAAGGCCTGGATGTTCTGTAACATCGCAGAATCATTACCAGGCATTAGATGGTGTAATGCAGTTTGAGGAATGTCAAAATGAAGTTATATAATAAGCAGCCTCATGATATCATTGCAGTTTTAATAGCACGAGTTGACCCAAACATAACATTCAACAAAGGTTAAATTACTAGATGACATGTATAGCCTAATAGCATCACTGGATTTTTAATGACGCAAGCTGACATAATTGAAAAATAACAAGATTTACGAGGTTACGTAAATCACAAGCTGGCTTGTATGTATGAAAACCAACTGATGTTCTGTGGGGGTCATGCACGGTACAAGTCTTATTCATTTGACAGTGCGTGACCACCACCACACGGCTAAGTCCAAAGTATTAAGCGATATGTAACGAACTTACTGGGCTGCAGGACACCAGACGCCCTGTTGCTGCTCCAGTGTGCTGCCTGTTTATTAGGAAATGGGATGTCACGCTAAACACACAGTTCATTCACCAATACTGACATTGCAGCTAGATAGTTAATACATGGCTTACCAGCATGGGTGAAGCACTCCCTTCGCATGGAGTCATATGCACGTGGAGATAGATGGAAAGTGGTTTATAGCTATTAATAGATAAAGAGCTTACCTCAGATATGAAGGGAAGGAGGCCTGTAATGTAGGTAGCTTTCATCTTACAAAGCTGCATGTGCATTTACAGATGGCTAAATTGCCCATTAATGGTGAGTACAATTCACTGCTTTCTGATAGTGGCAATTTGACCACAATGTGGTTCCACGAGGTCATATAAAGCCAGGAGCTGGCATAGTGTGGTTGTAGGGTTAAAGCTTTATGCCATTACCCATGCACCCAGAAGACCAGAACGTGTGCTGGGATAGTGTCTTACTGCAGCTTTTGTTCCAATATGCCTTCACATGGTCTGATACCAGCCAATGCAGCAGCTGGCATACCATACCATTGCAGAAAGATTTGACCTGGTTTATTCCATTACTCAACTCGATACGGGGGACGGCGACACAATAGCTTTACACCAGTGCGGTTTGGAAAGAAAGCCAGAAAGTTGTCTATATACCTAGTGTAACCACCACCTCCTAGCATGTCACGCAGGCTCCAAATTTGCAGCGGTGACCCATGCAAAACTTTTACGGCAGTCTCACCAGTGAGCGTCACAAAACAGTCGCGCTACACGTAACAAACTGGATTTACGTGCGTTTGAAAGGTATCATTAGCCACTATACCTGTCTGTACTCGAGAACTAGACGGGGAAGGGGGTGTAGGTCTTGAAGCTGATGCAACTAAAAAAAGGAAGAAATTCTCTTACTCTTACTGTTGTGACGCGTATTGAGACTCTTGTGAGCTGCGTTGGATCTCACCACAGACTCTGACGTGGACTTGTGTTTGAGGATGTTGGTTTTGGAGAGTTTCTTAGCACACTGTTTGTCCAGTTGCAGGTCGTCAAATAGTACCTGTTTCACCAGACATGAGTTACCTTGTAGTACATAATAGTAAGAGTTATTCTGATCTGACCTTCCGCAGTTGCTGAGTGCTGTTGATGGAAAACACTCTCTTTGCAGCCTGTGTTTTAATGCACAAAATGATGCTGTGTAGCTATCTAGCTGGGTGGTGCTTACAAACGAATGTTGCACCACTTCCACTTACTAAATCCATTGCATATTATACCTTGTGAGCAGTGGATTCTACATGAGCTATCCTGAGCTGAAGAGAAGAGATTCTGTTCAATAGTTTGCTAGAAGTTTTAGATGGGTATAATATTATAACCTTCAGGAGTTCATCAAAGTGCAAGAGTTTCTCAGTGTCCACCTGAACACCAGTAGCCTCCATGGCTACAAATTAACAGGGAACATAAATAATTATCTAAAACTAGTATTGAGAGCGCTTGTGGGTGAACACTGTAGCTAACAAGGTTTGGCCAACTTACCGCCTAGAATAGGAACGAGTTTTGTCTCCACTTCTGTAAAGAGATCCCATAGGTTGGTTTCCTACAAAGAAATGCGTGTGATTTTCAAATCCTGTGTTAGCCAGGCCAGTGCTAATTCCAACACCTAATACAGCCTCCAAGGCCAATGCTTAGATTAAAAGAGTGTGATGTCACACAAGGCAACAAGGCACACCGATACAGCCAATCACAGCCCCAGTTTCAGGAAAAGCTCTTGTGGCACACTTAGTAATTGGCAAAAGAATCTGTGATGCATGTGTGTGTGCAGCTATGCATGTGTGTGTGTGTGTGTGTGCGTGTGTTATAGCTCACTACAAGTCGGTGGTAGAGAGCAACCATTAGGGGTCCGAGCAGGGACATGTCTTGGCAAACAAGCGCATCAAAACACACCTAAACACGGAAGGAGTTTCGTATTCTGGGCCTGTTGCGATAACATACACATTAAGAGGCTTAACACTAATTTTGTAACAGTGTGTGCAGCAACTAGCTTCAATTAGTTTGGGTAGCATGCCAAAAAAGAGGCACTTACTCCATGTTGCTAGGCAGCGACACGAGGACGAATGGAGGGGAACGGCTGTGAACAAAAACAATTCCGTTTTTGCTTCCTGGAAAACGCATTAATTACAACGCCCCAAGTTTTCAAACTGATGTAACATTATAAAATCTTCTCCTTGAGGATGTAAGCCTTGGTAACAGGCAGTATAATTATACATCAGAGTGTAGAAGATTCCATAACGTTTCAAAACTTGGGCATTAGAACTCCATGTGCAAAAAAATTTTTTATTGAGCACATTTCATATGAATTTCCCAGTTAATTTTTTGCTTGAACATAGCTGCAACGGAGTTGACGCATAATTATGTGAATACAAAGTGTAAACCTGGTCTTGAGCGTGGCTGGTAGAAGAAGACGGCTGTCGTATGTTGAACCTGGAGAGAGTCTGGTGAAAGTTGTCTGGAGCATCATCAGGGTCGAGGAGCCACGCCCCAACTTTCACGTCCAGCGGCCGCCACTTTAGCCACACCTCTGTGGATTGGTGGTGCAGAGTAACTTACGGCGGGAAACACATTATTAATTTAAAGGTGAAGAACTAGGGGGAAAAAGCACACATATTGTAACAGGCTGCAGAAACACTAAATTTCTGCATTGAAAAGCTGTACCTACAACACAGATACAGTCTCCACTCAGTGAAGCCCCTAAACATTTGGACAGAGCTCTTGCCAGGAGTAAATACGAGGTTTCTCACCTCACAGCAAATCGTTCCTTTAGATCGTGCACCGTGCAAAACAGTTTTTTTTTCAGGGTTCAAGGTGGGAGTCATGACATACTGCGTGTGTAGTCTGGTCCCATCAATGGGACAACATATGGCCAGGATATCAAGCAAGATATTTCAACACCTCTTGCCTCAAGAGATAAACTCAAAAAGAGGGTTAGATAATAAAAGAGGTGAAATTGATTGGTTAATTAAACTTGCCAGGAGAAGAGTGCAGTCTGGTAGTGGTTGATAAGAGTAGTGAGGATCTCCTGGGCATTGTAGCAGATGACTCTGGTATGGAGCAACAGATGCAGCAGCTGTTTTCTAGGTGGGGTAGCAGAAGGACAACCTCATTAGCTACTCCCTTTCTCTTACACAGCATAAACTGACAGTCAAAGATTACACACAGGCCAAAGGAATGTCTCTGTTTTGGGGCTACTATGCCATCCCATACAACGCCACCACACTCGGAACTAAACCCCCCCCACAACTGCCTGAGTCATTATGCAATGCATACTTATTGCTTTGTGTAGGTACGTAATAATAGAGGAGGAAGTGGGGGTTTTTCATACTTGCACCACTCATCCAGTGACTGATTTTTCGGATCGAGGGGGAGAAAAAAGAAATCGAGACTCGAGCTTTCTTCCCCAGCAACAGCCACGCAGACACCATCAATCTGTGTAACAGTTGGCAAACAGAGACACCACGTGTCAGTCAATGCAGGCACGGTTCTAATTCATGGCATCATGTAACCAGCGTAAAATGCTATCGGAACTCATTTAGCCTCGAACGCACCTCGGTAACTTGCTTTGTCGGTTTTGCCTGTAGATGAGAGTATGAACATAAGACTCGATGGGTCAGTGACTCCGGGATGGTAATTTCATCACGCAGCGCCCACCTTTTGTTCTCGGAGCTGACTTGATTGGTCGGCGAAAATCAGAACCATTGCACACTCGGCAGCCGTCCCCAGCTGAGGTTCAGCGGCACTCAGATCACTGCCATCCATACACCTAACATCGCTCCAGATTTGATTGCGGGCACCAGTGGCGTCTGTTGTTTTCAGCTCCCCGTCCAAACGGCGCTGGGGAGCATTTTTCTCTGCGGCCACTCCGCGTACCTTGGACAGCTGAAGAGTCGGATATTTGTATTTTTAACAATTTAAAAAATTTTCTCATCTTCAAAGGACTGGAATCAAAGTTGGCAGTGAGCTAATTTATCTCTGATTGAGTGGTCGATAGCACACCTCTATGTATATACAAAGTTCAGTGGGTGAGGGTTATATAACACAAACCAGAAGTGAGCCGTCTTGTTTAGCCATGAGCCTTGTCTGAACCATTTCAACTCCATTTCCTTGCCGTCCTGTGTATAACGTTAGCGGTAATTTCTTTTACAGAGTTCGCCTGAAAACGCAAAATTGTGTTACTGACCTAGAGTCACACGGTCAACTTAGCAGCTTTGCAACAGTGCCGAAAGCTTTGTGGAACATTAGCGTGACAGGTAATTGTATTGGATGTGGGCACGAGTTTCAGACGGGAATGTATGTATCATTTTACGAACCACTCTCTGTAGGGCCTGCGGAAGATCTCCGGTACCATCTGCCACTTGTGTCTGAAGTCAGAGGTTTATCCAATTCCTTTGCCGCATCAACAGGGCGTGAGTGACTTTGTTGGTGGCTGTAACAGCCAGGTGTGAGAGTCACCCCACCACTAGAGCTCTGCCTTTGTGTCCCCGTCAGACATTCTCCGAAGTAAACATCAGGAACCGTCTGTGGTGCATCAGTCTTCTCACTAGGAAGTGAGGGAAGCGATGAGGGTGGTAGGGATGGTGTCATCGTCCTATTCAACGGAGCTTGTCCCCCAGAGGTGCAGCTGGGACCTCCAACAATAGAGGAGCTCTTATCTAGATAGCCTGCACAGACAAATCAAACCTTATGTCATGTGTGAACACCTAAACCCTAAAAGCCAACACACACACACACACATACATACATGAAGGGACTAGACCATGTGACGCACACGACACTTTGCATTTATGCTTTGAGCAGCAGTTTCCATGGCAAAAATGGGATTGCTCGCCAGAAAATGCCATCATTATGACGCCAAAATGACTGTACGTTGTCGGGTGTTTCATTTTTCTCACACGCCCCTGGATCCTGGGGGCAACGGTGAGCATATTTATTGCTTCCAGCTTTCAATACTTAGTCAACAACTCCGCGGACCATGGAAATTGCGTTAGGAGGCTGTTTGGCAAAGGTTGGCCATTTCCTTTGAAATCCACTTGAAATACACATGCAGGTCCTCAATCATTGTCAGTTGAGGGCTATAAAAACGACGCGCTCGAACCCCTCTGCCACAAAAATCAAACTTGGAGATTCACCAACGAAAAGGAGAGAAATGGAGAAAAAAGCGACAATTGCGACAATTCTTGTTCTGAGCCAGGCGCTTTTTCTACACGCTTTTCCTTTCCTGCCACCGCCTACAGAGGCACCAGCACACAATGCAACAGAGGAGGGATCGGGAGGCTCGGGAGGAGAATCAAACGAAGAGAACGAAGACCGAAGTTCCTCCATTTTGCTCAACGATTACGTCATGAGGTTCTTTCAGCAGCAGAGACATCTAAAGGAGAGAAACTGCTCCACACAGTTTCTAGGTCAGAGTGTCTCGAGGCATTTGTGCAACAGCACCAACGTCAACTTTCGTTCCCCCGAAAGTAAGAAACCACGTCTCTTACTTCTGCATGTTCTTACATATATACAAGCAATTAACAATGTACTGTAAATTTAATTGCAACCCAATCTGTGCAGGGACTGAATACAACGCAGAAACGTATGAGCTGTGCTCAAGTGTATCGGCAGCTGGGAAGACGGTTGGGTTCGACGTCGTCCTCTACATGCGCCCATCTGTAACAACCAACTCCACTGCACAGAGATACTTGATGATCATCACCGAGATTGTACGTGAGAGCGAGGGGGATCCATGGCTGCAGATCCTCGCCCACAAAACCATCCTCGGAGATACGGCAAGAGGATGGAAGGTGTTTCATCTCGTCAAGAGACAAAGCACAAACACCACGTTCTGTTTCAATATAGACGTCCGGGACAGACAGAGGAGGCTCCTCAATCACAGCTCAATCAGCGAGATGTTTGTGACGGACAAGGATCGGCCACACGAACTCCACATGCAGCCGGTCATTGCGCAATACACCCATACACCGCAGCCTTCATTGGGGGTGTCCCCCTTCGTTCCATCTCTTGATCCCTTTCCCTTCTACTTCACTGACAGTACTGCACCACCGCCCACTGAGACTCCCACTGGGTCGCTACGCAAGAGGAGCAACGAGTGTAGAGTCGAGGAAAACCCTGTCAATTTGTCGGAATATTACCCCGATCATCAGGTAGTAGCTCCCAACACGGTCAATATAAGGAGGTGTTCTGGGGGAGCTACTCACAGAGTTGAAACAGGAGAAGTGAAACAACAGTCATTTGATGGTTTGTGCGGTCCGACTCAGTTTGAAGATTTGACTGTTCTCCGTTATTCCACACCACACAACATGCTCTTTACAGACACTATACCCAATGCCGTCGTTCAAAAATGTGGACACGTAGCCCCAACTGGAAAGATGTAATATAGTCATCGAACAGTATATCATTATTGTTCACTCTGTTTCACATGATCTTACTTTGTATATAATGCTGTGCAATAATAATAAAAATGTTAAAGGAGCTACTGCACAAGATGTTGCATGCATAATAAAGTCACAGATATTCCTTTTTTCTCGAACAGTTGGATGTTTCTAAATCTTAGAAACTCAAAGAATACTGGCAAGCTGTGAATACAGTGACACTTTAGTAGCAGATGAATGAGATGAAGGTAAATCCCACTCATGCATGAAAGGGGGAAATTGCCAGGTCTCCTTAAGTTCAATGTTTATATACAAACACACCAGGGTATATACACTCTTCAAAGGGTTCCTGGCACACGTGAGTTTGGTCTAACTTTGATTATCATGAGTGCCGAGGATGGCATGCTACTAAGGCCGGCACATCGCGCACCAGACATGTTATTTAGACTGGGAGACACCTTTTGATACGACAATTAGGGGAAGTGATGCAGCTGCACACACACACATCTCACCGGAAAGCAAGCCACAGAGACCTGCTATAAAAGGAGAGCATCCTCAGAGAGCAGCTCTGAAATTGAAAAAACAAAGATTTCAAAAAAGACTTGGCTAACATGTCTACCAGGACAACCGGGGCGTTTTTAATACTCTTGCTGGGCCTTTTCAGTGCCATCACTGCAAGTCCACTGGGGGACATGACCGAAGAAGATTCCTCGGCCGACGGAGCGATTGGCGAAGATCTCCCCAACAACGAAGAACAGGACCCTCTGTTTCAAAGACCGCGACCCACCTCACCTCCAGTTCTCTTCAACGAATACCTCCTGGAGGCGTACAAGGTGACCCAGCAAGTGAGGGAGACAACCTGCACCAGAGACGTGACGATCCTCAATCAGTCAGTGTCGGAGCACTTTTGCGAGAGCAACAAGACTGTGTACTCGTTCCTGAACGGTATGTACACAGACACCAGTATCAGGGGGCTATGGGCCACAGGTGGGGTGCCGGAATCATAATCAGGCCATCGGAACCAATTACCGTGCTTTTGAAATTTGTCTTTTCTTGCCCGCTTTGCTTTAACCGCATCACTAGGCAGAGCAGTCTCTCCCGGCCGTAGTATGTACACTGAATGACTGTTCCTAGATACTTCATTTTTATCACACTGCTAGGCAAGGCCCTTCTCTATGCCAATAATGCATGCTCTCCAAACACCACAGTTTCTGCGGCCAATACGTCGGAGAGGGTCACGCACCTCACGAATCTCCAGAACTACACCTACCAACTCTGCTCAAACGTGAATGTACGCTCAGGGGACACCGTGTTAGGACACGACTTTATTCTCTACCTCCGACCACCGACCGAACACGTAAAACTAGACGTCTTTTTCCTCCTGACGGTGAACGCCACGCCACCCTGGGAGGAACTGGTGGCAAACCGCTCCATCCCGATCAACGCCAGCGGATGGCAGGTCCTGAATCTCAAGTCAGAAGTAGATCCATTTGTGCAGAGTATTGCTTGCGTGGATATGTACGTCAGAGAAACAGACGCGAATGACCAGAGGACTCTACTTAATCAGACCCAAATAGCAGAGAGATTTGTTTTAAACGACTGCGCTCCAGATGAAACTGCCAACCTGCCATTTGTAGCAACGTACATGTTTGGAGGAATTTCGCTACCAATCTTTGGAAAACGTTCAGTTGGAGCCAGCCATCCCAACCAATGCAGCCGTGATACTAACTGCAGTTTGCAGTATCGCAGGGTGGACCTCAATGATTACTCGCCGCCTGATATAATTTATCCACACCAAGCAGACTTGGGACAATGTGGTGGCATTATTCAACACTTTCCTGCAAACTCCCACCACCAGCAATACTTGGCTATGGACAGGCAAGAGAAGCAAGAAGAAAAACAAGAGTCAGCAGTTGGCGAGGATTCAAGCCAGGAAAGCCTGTACCAGTGTATTCCCAACAATTACAGGGACCTCCTCGTTTTGAGGAGCGTTGCTTTTGAGCTCGTCCTAGAACTTATCCCAGACTTTGTAATCACAGGGTGTACCCTTCAGTCGTGCGGCAGTGAAATCTGACAGAAATATTCATTTATCGGAGCATAATTAACAGTATCACACATGCCACTTTCCATGATAATATTGTATTTTCCATTCAGACGTCCATTTAAAGTCAACGGTCACAGTGTGCATATTATGTTTCCATCAGAGGCTCACGGTTGAAGTATGTTTCTGTAAATCATTCAAAGTGTAATATTTGGCTCCATTATTGTAAATCAATGATAAACCTCCTTGTGCAACCACTCGTACACACTGTCTGTAAAACAGCAAACAAAGTAATGGTTGAGCACCCAGTAAGTACATAGCAGAGGGCCAGTAAACGGCTCCCTGATGTACTTAGACTCTCGGGCTAGACATGGGCCACGTATCAGAAGCAAGCAGCCAGACATCACACTCTAAGTTGGAAACACACAGCAACCACTGAGTAGATCTGCAATTACGGTGTTTATTCCTCCGAAATCGCACAAAAATCTTGTTGTGTTGGCTTGGGACATCGCCTGTGTTGGCCGTCAATAAAACACAATTTCTCGCAAAGTGGATCTGAGCGTTGTGATACGGATCACTCTAAATGGTGACAGTACACAGTTTGGCACTCGTTGAAATTTTAATGCGAGCCATTTTTGTATTGCGTAACAAAACAAAATTGTCACAGAAGATCCCCACTAGCCTTTAAAAAGGCAAAAGCTCAGTAATTCACTACACGGAAATCTGTCGCAAGTCACATTAATCGCCAAATGTCAGCACCCACATGGTAACTTTAGCAATTAATCACAGTCTGCATTATCCATTGATCTGTCAATCTGATGGTCCTGGGCGTAAAGTGTTGTTTTTGCTGCACATGTGGCGACTGGGTGCACTACTTGTTGGACATGTTACGTTTCACTTGTTGTTGTTACGGCACGAGGCACTTCCTGGCGATTTGCAGGCGTGTTGTGACTGAGCATGCCCAATCACCCAATCACCCAATCAGCAAGCGGAGGTGGTCATACATAACATTCGTACACAAAAAATAACACATTTTCGCCACACAAAATTATAACAAAGCTAGACTAAGATGAAGTGTCATCATGCTCATGCTTATACATACACTATAATGCACCTATGCATATACCAGAGACCAATGAGATTTTACCTGTCTAAATGTACTAACTGACTTCCATACTGGTTATTTGTGAGTGCAATTTTTAACTGTTTATGGATGGGGTTTGATTGTGATATGCACACCAAAAAACTGACCAAGTTGGCTGCAGTCACTTCTAGCTCCTGGTACCAACCTCCTCAGAATCTCAGAGAGCTCTGGGCTCCTGAGTTGGAGGCTGGAAGACTGAGGCGGGGGGGGTACTACAGGCGTGAGGGTCCAGCAACTTCCCTTCCACTCCCTGTGAGCCATGACTCCCTCCAATGAGCCACACAGACCCACAGAAGCATGTGCTTGCATGACAACGAGTTAGTTATGCGCATGCGTTTCATCTTCGCGGTTTTTCGGGCGCGCTGGGGGGTGGAAATTATTTGCGCATAGCCCGTACAAATTTTGGTGCCAACGAAAAAAAATTCACCGACCACAATGCTTTTAGCTTGACTGCGACCACCCAGCGCTTTAGAGCGACGGCTAGTATGGCGGCTATCGACAGTAAGAAGAACACCTTCTGGAAGAAGGGCGGCAGCGGGACCAAGATACCCGGCAGGTGAGCCTCCCCACGAAAAGGGGGTGTGGTGATTTTCCGTTCTAAATGGAGCCCACCCACTCAATCCCAGGCCTCAGCAGGTGTACGGAGCGTCAGGTGCCGCGGCAGACCACATGGCACACTCTAAACTATTTGGGTGAGCTCATGAAAATATCATCGTCTAATTACCTTCACCCACAAAACCAGGGAGTTCATCATGCCATTTCGTGTTTTACCTTTCAATCTCTGTTACTCAGTCCTCCAGTAGTCATGAGGAAAAGTGAGGCTGGCTCTTCGGAGGTTCAAGCCGAGGTGGGTGGAGCTGGGGGCGGAGCCACGGGGCCTCTGGTTGCCGGGCGTTCCCGAAGCAAGACATTTGAAGAGTACGAGAGAGATACGACAGACGCGTGGGACGATAGGGAGGAAAGAGAGGACATGTCGAGACTGTCTGTACCGGCAGAGCTGGAGAACGAACTGAAACAGCAGCAGCTGAAGGAGACTTGTTCTGACTCGGCACCTGCCCCTCCTCGCAGGAGAGAGGGGAGGGGGAAAGGTAGCATAACACTTCTTTCTATCCCACCTTCATCATTTTCTCATCCCCCTCCTCCTCCTCTGTTTGTCCAGGAGATATAAAGAGTTTCTTCACGGACGTGGTACTGCCGCGGACAGCGGGGTCCCCATCCCTCAGAACCAAGAGAACAGGGAGCACAGGTAGCGGGAAGGGAGGAGGGAGCAGGTCACGCTCTGGCTCTGAGAGGAATGTTCCCTCTCCTGAGCAGAGGGATTCAGGTGAGCCAATTAATGTGTGCCTGTTTCTATGTGTGTGTGTGTGTGTGTGCGTGTGCGTGTGTGTGTGTGTGCGTGTGTGTGTGTGTGTGTGTAGCACAAATCCTCAAGTATGGTATGTCAATATATGTACATGGCATCACATGGTCTAATTCTCTTCATGTACTGCACAGACCGAACCTCATAACATCACTACTCTATATATAATAGTGTACACTGTCTCATATTGCCCAGTCTACCCCTCTATTCCTCTCTCCAATCTCTATGTATGTGGTCTCCAGATCCGATGGATATATTTGATCCCCCCGACCGCGAAACTATGAGGCTACAGAAGTTTGGAAAGCTCCTTGCTGGACCCAACACAGACCTCGGTCAGACCAATTTTCATAACCTCTTTTGCGAGCCTTGTTCGTGTCCTCCATTAGTGATGTGTACATTTAGACATTTCTTCGATAGTCTACTCTTCCTTATTTCCAGGTCAGACGTGCAGAATTCTATTTTTTGTCTTGTGGTCTGCCCTGTAAAGTGAACAATTAAGTCTTTTTTCGCGGCTTCAGTTCGTGAAAACACTATTCTTTCGCTTAACCTTTTCCCACCGTACTCGGCTAGACTGGCAACTCTTCCATTGTCAAGTGTCTGATGCCATGAGTTTATCGTGCCTTTGAAACGTGTTGTGGTGTTTCTGTAGCATTGTGACGGGCACCGGGCCACTAAAAATGATTTATATACTTTTCGACACGACATCTTCTAATTGAATGTCTGCTGCCAGTTACTCTTGTTTTGTGTGCGAGTAAATTGCAGTTTTAATTGACTTGTCCAAAAACACAATTTTGTCTCCAACTGATGTTGTGAGAGTTTTCGCGTGTTTACGCGTAATAAAGCCCTCTTCAATGAGAGTGCATTTTATGATGGTGTACAAGACAGATTTTAGCAGTGGTGTTTGTTATTTCGTAGACGAGGTTCGTAAGCTGAGTTGGTCAGGTATCCCACCACCAGTGAGGGCCACCACCTGGCAACTGCTGTGTGTGAGTGGAACTCTTTCTCTCTCCTTCTCTCCCTTTCCCCCTCCCTCTGTCTTTCTATCTTTCCGCTCTCTCTCTCTGTCTCTCTGTCTCTCTCCCTGCGTATTTGTCTTTCTAAAGTGAATGTGGCAGTATATAAGGCCTAAATTTCGGAATGTTACTAAAGACGGAACTCAATTGCATTCTTTCACTGTATTGGTTTGTTCTGTCTATACCTAAATTTAGCCCATACTGCCAAATTCCATTTAATTTCCCTTCATCTTGTTCCAAGTTCTCTCACTCTCTCAGCGCTCCATACAGCCCTCTGCCTCCTCCTTTTCCTTTCATTCACTCTATCTTTTTCTTTAAACTACAATGGTGACCCAATTCATGAGTGTCCCCTCGCCCCCCCCCCTGCAGGGTTATCTACCAGCCAACATTGACAGAAGGGAAGACACACTTAAGAGAAAGCGCCTGGAGTACAAGAACTCCATAGACCAGTACTACCACATGCGATCTGACACTTTACACAGGGACACATTCAGACAAGTATGCCGCGTAAATAAAACCTTTCGCCTTTTTGCATTTCGGTAGCAAAAAGGAATTGCTCCCCCTCTCTCTCCCGCTTGGCATTTCAATGACCGGTGTGGGAATATCACTGGGTTTGCTCTTGTTTGTAGATCCACATCGATGTGCCCAGGATGAACCCCGATGTTCCTCTCTTTCAACAACAGATGGTTCAGGAGGTCAGTCCACACACACACACTCTCTGTACCACTAATATACGGTAGCCTAGACTGCATTCTCAGAGTATCCTAGACCTTGCTCTGTATTCTCAGAGTATCCTAGATCTTGCTCTGTATTCTCAAAGTATCCTAGATCTTGCTCTGTATTCTCATAGTATCCTAGATCTTGCTCCGTATTCTCAGATCTTGCTCTGTATTCTCAGAGTATCCTAGAGTTTGTTTGTGATACAGAGTTTCGAGAGGATTCTGTTCATCTGGTCCATGAGGCACCCGGCCAGCGGCTACGTTCAGGGAATCAACGACCTCGTGACCCCGTTCTTTGTCGTCTTCCTCTCCTACTACATCTGTGAGAATTTACAGATACACACACGATACACAACAAGGTTTATGTATTTCGTTTGGTTGAATTTCCTTCCAAGGAAGCAAAACTGATGTCCTCCCCATGGGCAAATGCACATGCAAATACACACCGTATAAATCATTTTGTTGTCGAAAAATATTTAAAATGCTACGTGGTATGAAATCCGAGGTATCCCTGTTTCAAGTGTAATAAGTTGCACAACCAAGTGCTGTGCCATTCAGGTCCGAGACGTCCCTATTAAAAAAATAATAACCAAGTGTTAAGTCAGTGGCATCCCTTATTCAAAACTAACCAACACTGTTGCGTCATTGAGAGGGTCCTCTTTATTGGTGAACTCTTCATTCCCCATTCCTCCTCCCTCCCTTCCAGCCGGAGACAAGAATCCAGAGAACTACAATTTCTCCCAGCTGTCTCCCCAGACTCTGCAGTGGATCGAGGCAGACAGCTTCTGGTGTCTCCAGCATCTTATGGAGGGAATACAGGACAACTACACCCTCGCCCAGCCCGGCGTGCAGGCCAAGATCATCGCCCTCAAGGACCTCATACAGAGAATCGACGGTATTATATTTTACATTTCGCACGACTAAACACTCACAAATCACTCAAAACCAGCTTTTTGCAGATTAATAGTTTCGTTAAGTTTTTGGTTGGGACATGTGTGGCGCATGATTTTCCACCTTATGTCTTTTCTCCTTATCTTGCTCCAACCTTTGTTTCTCTCCTTATCTTGCTCCAACCTTTGTTTCTCTCCCTATCTTGCTCCAACCTTTGTTTCTCTCCCTATCTTGCTCCAACCTTTGTTTCTCTCCCTATCTTGCTCCAACCTTTGTTTCTCTCCCTATCTCTTTCCTCTTTCCCTTTATCTCTCTCTCAACCTTTCTACTGCTGCTGGAAACACATCCTGTGTATATACTCTCCAGCTCCATTAGATGCCCACCTGGCTAGAAACGCTGTGGAGTACATTCAGTTCTCGTTTCGGTGGATGAATAACCTGCTAATGAGGGAGTTTCCCCTGCGGTGTGTCATCAGACTGTGGGACTCTTACCTGGTGAGGAGAGAGGGGAACTCCCTTTCCAAGTCTTATATATAATGTATATTTTGTATGTACTACTATTGTGTGTGCTCTTATTGGAGAGGAATCGAGCCCACCTATATATATCGAGTTTTGTTGATGGGACCATAATTTAATGTTACGTGTAATACTCGTAAAACGGCTGAATTTTTGCATTCCCGTTTGCTCGCCAAGCTTTGTCCTAACCGATAAAATATTTTATAGCAAAATCTAACCCTCCCTTCTCTCCTCTCTTTCCTCCCCTCCGGTTCCTTCCTTCCTCTCGTCACAGTCAGAAAACAATGGATTCGCTTCGTTCCACGTCTACGTGTGTGCGGCACTCTTGGCCAGATTCTCTAAGAGCATTCTCAAGAGAAAAGACTTCCAGGTATATAGCCCGTTTTAAGAAGTTTTAAGACAGAAATCATTCGGAGGAAAACATGTTTACCTGCTAAACTAATATGTCACAAACAGCAATAAAGTTCCAGCGAAGATGTGTGATTTTTTTCTGCAGGAGATCATGTTGTTTATCCAGAACCTCCCGACCACCAAGTGGAAGGACGGGGAGGTGGAGATACTGCTGGCCGAGGCGTACAAGCTAAAGTTCATGTTTGCCGATGCACCTGGTCACCTCACCACTGCTAGGAGAACTTAGTGTCTCTGTGTCCTTGTTGTGTGGATTGTGCTTCACTTGTTGGTGTGTGTTTTATACGTACGTGTGTGTATGTAGACGATTTTTTTTTCTAATTGTGCGAAAATGGGAGACGAGAGTAAAATTGAACGATCATAACCCACGTGGCCCCTCTGGCTCCGATCCCTGCGCCTAGCCTGGATTCTTAGAGATCGGAGAGAGAGAGACAAGCTGTTGTACCAGGTCCAGTATGTCCTACTGCAAGCGAGAAGGTTAGTTTACAATGCACATGATCCCAGGAAACATAGTGTAGTCGGTCCAAACGTACACACATCGCTCAGTTCTTACAACGGTACTAGCTAGGCAAGTGTATGCCGAGCTAAGCGGCCGGCGTCGTACGTACAACGTGCAGGTGAACACAGGTCGGTGTTTTTGACGGAGGAAGACCTGGCCAAGCCGGAGACGCTTGGTTCCCTGGTGGCAGAGGAGGAGGAGGACGAGGAGTTTGGAGTCATTCTTCCTAACGGGGAGATAAACTGGGAGTGTCCGTGTCTGGGAGGGATGCCCCAGGGACCGTGCGGGCAGGAGTTCAAGGACGCCTTCTCCTGCTTCCACTACAGGTGTGCAGGGAATAACGTGACGTGGGTTTATTGGGTCAGAGTAGTGTGGGAATGGGCACGGTATGTTGGGCTAACAAGTCAGAAAGAGATGTCCAGAGCTCAGGTGCTTCTTTTTCTCCAGCATAAATTGAGATTGGAGGAAGCAGTACAAGTGTGTGTGTCGTGATGTAACGCCGAAATGGGCGGGAAATCCTTTGTTTCTGCCTTCAAATTTTCATGTCCTCCTCAAAAGTTATTGAGAGTATATTTTGTAGTGACCCAACCATTTCTCAGTGTCCCAGTCATTTCTCCTCCTGTATAATTATATCTTCTATTTCTCCCCAGTACTGCGGAAGAGAAAGGGAGCGACTGTATTGACAAGTTCAGAGCGATGCAAGAGTGCTTCCAGAAGTACCCGGACCTGTACAAAGACTATGAGGAAGATAGCGAGGAGACGACAAAGACAGAGGAAGAAGGAAAGGGAGAGAAGATGGGTGCGGAGGGAGAGGAGAAGGGTTCAGAACAGTCTAGTGGTGGCGACGGTGGGAGTAGAGTGTTGACTAGTAGCTCAGTTCCTGGTTCGTGAGATTTGTTGCATTAGTCTATGTTTGTGCTTTCCAGAGATATTATATCATAGCAATATCACTTTGAAAGTTTTGTTTTTGGAAGCTGTGCTATTATAATGCATGGGGTTGGAAGCAGACAGTAAAGCCTGATGTGACTTTAACATTTTCCCTCACTCTCTCGAGAGATCTGAACACTTCCACAAGACGCGAATGGACTGCTTTGCCAAATTAATAAGCGAACTTGCATTAATTTCTGACGCAAAACTCTTATACTGCATTATACACAGTTTAGTTTTCAAGTGACAGTGATTGTGCTAATGGTGCTAGCAGCTGGTTGGCTGAAGGACCCTAGACTTGGTCAGTTGGAGGAGAGAGAGGGTTTGAGGAGTGAGGGGACTGTTTGCCGGCAGCTTTCTCTGAGCCATCGTCACACTCAGGAAATACCTGCAGCACACAGGTGGCGGTATTCTCAGCCGTTGTGCTATACATGTGGACTTATTGAGAAAAGCCTATTCAGAATTCAGCTCCATTGTAAACTATAAACTAGGGGAAAGATTAAAAGGCAAAGTGTAATGTACAAAAGGCTACGTGAACTGGTCTGAAGGCTGAATATATGAGTGAATAAGTGAGTGTCTTATAACCCACTGGTGGAGCCTCACACATTACAAAAAAACCAGCAGAATTGAAGATCACTCATCATTATTCTGGTACCTGACTATTCACATGACTGCAGGATCTTACGGAGCTACATACTTGAACTCCTCTGAGAAGTGTTTGCATAAGAGAACCAGGAGAGGTTGTGAGTGGGAGGTGAGGCAGTGGAGAAGGAAGGTCATGTGATAGAGGGAGACCTCCTGACAGGGCTCCAGGTGCTCTTGATGGAGGAGAGACGACTCGTGGCCTATCACTGCTCCACAGAACTCCCTCTGTGTTTATATATATGAGGTAGGTTTAGCTACCGTGAACCAGAACATTTGGTACTTTGGAGGATGTATATACAATAATAATTTATGTATTATGTTCTCAACGGAAAAGCTGTATATAGCTTCTAATGTATGGACTCCTGCTTTAAGCCAAGCAAAAAATGGATAATTATCAGTTTTACAAGAACTCACAATGTGAGGATGCTTGGCTAGAATGTCCAGAGTCCAGTCCAGAGAGACCACACCCCCTGGAGCACACGGCCACCTCATCTGTAGGGAGCATAGTACACCAACATAATTATAGAAAAGTCATCTTGTGCCTCATTTCCAGGCTCCACCTTGCTTTTTAGAGGAGCATGGGATCAAGGCAACTGTTTTGAGTGTGTTCCCTACCTGTTGAGCCAGCCTCATGACTTCTGATAGGACAGAACACGATATTTCCACCACCTCATCATCCATCGACTCCTAGTAAATAGCATGATTGGGTGTACAGTAACTGAGTCTAGTGGGGAATCTAGAGACAACTCCCCATGATCATAAGTGGTATGTAGATTGCCAATCATGGGGTTTTCTACCCACAAGTATAATATTCGTTTAGAAATTTTCTCTATATCTACTAGAATTCACTGGATGTCAGTAGAACTGTAGAGCTAGCCCCATAGTATGTACCATCTCAGAGAGGGTGGGGGTGAGAGAGACAGTGGCAGTGAGGAGTTTTCTCAGACGTCTGCCGCTGTTCCCAGTGAGAGCCAGGCACCTCCTCTGGAGTCCGTGTGTCTCTCTCATCATCTGGTACAGCAGCTCCAGCACATCCACTCTGCATCTACAGTATATACAGACACATTTCACTCTGTAGGCCAAGTGTGACTTTATTGTGGAATAATGCTGAAGTGAATCAACCAGGGCTAGTATAGCAATAGCCAGAAGTCATCTTTTGATAAGACTCCAACATACTTAGTATCACAAGCCAAGTGTGTTGCATTACAAAAAGAATGGTCTGCTAGACTACAACTCACTCACTTTAATTCTGTGGAAATGGAAATTTCCTTTGCTGAAGCTTTAGACGGCACAAAGTGGAGCATTTGGATCAGATGGTCAACCAGTTCTGTACTCTGTAGAGAAAATAATAATGAACATATCTCTATGCCGTATAGCTACCTCCCAAAAGAGCTGTTTCACGATGAAGTATCTCTGGCAGGCAGAGCAGAGCTCACGAGAGAGCTGAGCTGACTCTCTGCTGGTCTTTGCTGACAGCAACTCTTGTCTCAGAGTGTGGAAATGGTGAGAGAAATGGTCACTGCATTTGTGTGAACAGACAAAGTGAACTTGAAAAAGTTAGCTCATGCAGAAAGAGCCTCAGAACCCTAAATAGTGAAGGCCTGTGTTCTAAAGCCAAAAGGTTTGACCTTCACCATGGTTCAATGCTAGAGTTGTACCTACCTTGGTCTTTGTGATTTGGGTGGGTGCATGTGCCCACCAGACGCTAGAGTCACTGCCTGTGAACAAGACACCAGATTAGCAGAGGTTACAAAAGACTGCTACTGTACAGTCTGGACTGACTATCTTTTGATCCAGCCAGGCGGTGCACAGGTGTTGGTAGAAGTCAGTGTTGGGCGAGAGAAGGTACAGATGGAGCATACATCTCTCCTTCCTTGCCTCTTGTTTCTTAGTGCTGGTACCTTTCTCGGGGCTCTCCAGATCTCCACTGGAACTGGAATGGGGAGAGCTGTTTCTACTGGATGGTAGGGAGAGTGTTGGTGAAAAACTGGGAGCTTGTGAACCGAGAAGCAGAGTTGGGCTGGAGTGACTACTGGCCAGAGAATCGTCAGACAGACGGGTTGGTTTTCCAGGACTGAGCTGAATTTGTTTCATGTCACGCGAGAGGTTTAAAGTTGTGGCACGTGGTGGGGAAGGCTCGAGGGACCTCTCCAGAAGACAGTGTTTCCTGTTGTATTGTTTTAATGTGGAGGCAACTGGAGTTGAATTGCCGAGTGGAGACAGAGATTTTTGGGCCTCTCTTCTACTACTGGGCCTTGAGGAAGATGCTCCATGCAGAGAGAGGGGACTTTGTGCAGTGAGCCTTCCTTTACTGCTGGCTCTTGACTTTGCCGTGATTTGTGGACTGGTAAACTGGCCTTTCTGCTGTAGCTGGTCCAGATGTGTGAGTGAGTGACAAGAAGACATCTCCACGCTGTCTCTAGTTATCGTTAGTGGCTGAGATGGCAGGGACAACCCCTCAGTGGGGTTTCTGCTGCTACTGGCAGTAGTGTTGAGGAAACGTAGGTCCCCGAAGGAACTGAGCAGATTTTTCTCTGGTCTGACGTCTCTAGTGAAACAGATCTGTACGTGAACAGCCTCTTCTCTCTCTCTGCCCTGCAGGAACTCTGCCGGCTCGTCCAGCTACGGCGTATAAAACGCAGATAAACAAGGGGACCCCAACGGGTGGCAGAGGAGCTTGCAAAAGGCAGTGGGTGGGGCTCGGGTATATAGCTATCTTAGCTCGCTTACAATCAGTATAGACTCCACGTGTTTTAGTAGTAGTGTCGTTCTCAGGTTCTTGGGAGGAACGTCTGTCAAGTAGAGCTTACAGTGGCCCAGCACCGCATGTCTGTGAGCCGGCTTCCCCGCCGCGGCCCCGCGACCTCCACCGCGGTCGCTGCTCGCCACCACGGCCACGGTCGGCTGCCTCGCTAGAAGACGTTCGTATTCTTCAGGAGGTAAGGTTCTGTTCAGGAAGGACTCTAGCTTTACGTCTCGACGCTCGGAGCAACTTGCTGCCATGAAGCAAGAGCGCTGTTTTGTTGTCGGCCCATACTGCGCATGCGCATAGGGTGCCACCATGACCAAACGGGGGTTAAAAATTTTGAGAGACAAGCACATACAAAATTTCAAGATTGAACTATAAAAAGGTATCGTGGGTAGATGGCCTCTGGTCTATGCAACACTATTTCATCGTAGTTCAGGTCACCAATGGCCCCCAGAAACTTGCTCTTCCCAAAGACAGAATGATATTCGGGAGGAGGTGCAGTCAAGCCCGGGTTGTTAGTTCTCAACTCATACTTTCTCCCCGGAGCTACATCGCAGAGAAAGATTGCACTTGAACTGCTATTTCCGTGGCAGTAGTCTCCAGCCTTGAGGATTTCGAGGAGAGGTAAAACCCTGGACCGAATCTCTGCCACCGATTCCCGATCTTTCTAGTCTCAAACCCACTCTGAATGATGTCACACGCTCCACACTCGTCCATAGACTGTGAGAATTCACTGCAGATCACGAGATGCTCCAGAATATTGCAGGCTAGTGATGTCCCGTGGAAATACTGCTCCACCTTCCGATGTCGCCGCGGAAGGCTCTCGATGTAGGCCTGGAAACGTTCCTCGACCGAAGGATTAACGACCTGCAACACCGACTGGACTACAGGGGCACTCCCCTTTGCCCGTTTCTTTGCAAACAGTTTGCAAAGCTCCTTGAATTTGTCGTTTGGTCCATTTAACTCGAGCAGTGCTGACAAATCTGGAAGAAAATGTAGCAGTGCAAAACACCCGACTGTTACAATCACCACTGCAATATTCTGTAATACCGACTGTAATGCAACCAAATAAGAAGATGCAGATTTAGTAGAAGAACAACTGACAGTGTATCTTGACAAAGATGCCGTACTATACACTGTATATATATCCAGAACTACATTATAATTATCGCACACACACATGTGACTTACTTCTGAGTTTGGCCATCCTGAGGTGGAAAAGGTTGCAAAAGTGGTACTCTGATCCTTCCCCTCTTGACTTTGGCAGCGGGCACTCCCGAAACAAGCAGCATTCCATCGCTGACACGAAAATAATAGCTACGTAATTATGCGTTGCATGATCAGCAGTTGGTTTACTGCTAACCGCACTGTTTGGCGTGATCCCGGCTGCAAAATGCAGAGATATGTTTTCGTGATATGCACCGTCTGCTCCTGAAACATCCGGCAGTCGACAAGTCCACTCTGCAATGATCACATAATGCATAATTATTGACACCCAAAATGTCTTCTTTGGTAATGTATTGTCTCGAGCTATGTGAGTATCAGTATACAGTATTTACTGCTACATAAGTAGCGTACCTACGAACTGCACCAGTCCGCCCCACGGGCCTGGATTCTCGTTGATCTTGGCTCTCACGTCAAAGTTGCAGTGGGTGAGTGGAGGAAGACCGTCCGTTCGAGTCAGCGTGATCTCCAGCCTCCCCAGATCGTCTTTGGAAAGGGAAAATAGCTATACACACCGTTTGCGCACACGAGCATTAGACGAAACAACACCAATGCTTGCACTGTGCATGCTAGCTAGCTAGCTAAACGTACCGACTGGAGGTGCGTACGTGTAGTGAGCGGCTCCGACTGGCTTGAAGCGGACATCGTAACTAGTAACGTCGTCTCCGCGTTCCATGGGGGGCACCCACCGGAGAGTGACGGAGCCCGATACGGCGTCCTGGATGGCTGTCAGGCCCACGACTGCCCCCGGCTCCCGGACGATCAGCGGCACTAGTGCACGAGCCGAAGACTGAATGAGATTCGGATTTTTTTTCTTCGCTAACCTCCTCTTTTGCAGCAGTTTCCCATAGTATTAGTCCTGCTCTAGTGTTTACCAAACCTCACAGCTTGGTCGTGCTACAGTACTCGCTGGCTCAAAGCTAGATCAGCTCGCTGCCACGCCCACAACGTTATGCGCATGCGCGTAGTAGTGCGGTAACAACTAATGCTCTCCATAAACAAAGTGATACAGTCTCAAAGCATCATCAATGGATGATTCAATTGGTAGTGGATGAGGTGCAGCAGGCAACGCTGGAATAGCAATATCTTCGAACTCAAAATCTGATGAAAAACTGACCAAGTATAAAAAAAGAAGTCAAGGGCCAAAAAATCATAAATCTGTGGTCCATCAGAAAACATTTGTACGAGCAGTTACCAATGCGATTTGGAGGTATATATAGCTGCAGGTTCATGTGTGCTAATATGGGAAGGAAAAATCCCAAACATGCTTACAGTCTTTCTCTACAGACTCACTACAAAAAATGTGACGCAAGTGTTGGCAAAGGATACAAATCCATGACATTAGGTGCAGCGTTGTCCCTCCCTCTCCCACCACTGCAAGCGACGTGCTGTGCCTTCTTCCGTGAGCGAGTTGTGAGTTTTTGAAAACTCTCTTCCGACACATCCACAGCCACCAGGTCTGAGTATCGTGGGTTTCCAGCACCACCCTTTGGAGGTTTTTCATGTGGAACTCAATTGCATTCTTTCACTGTTTTGTTCTTTATTTAGTAACATTTCTAAATGTAGCCCTTACACACTGCCACATTCCCTTTACTGTCACAGGCATACATTCAAATTACGTATGCAAACAAGAGACTATATACCTTTTGAGATTCAGAGTCCATTGAGGACGCTACTGCAGGTGAAGAACACCGCAGAGGAGGTGGTGGTAGTGATTGCAACGGATCCTCCGCTTCCATCCCTCTCACACCGTCTCCCTCCACTGGACACACTATCTCTTTCTTCTTCGTCAAACCCCTCTCTCCACCTCCTCTACTGGTCCTCCCATTGACGTCCCGGTACTGCTGCAGCTTGTGGTAGAGTGGTGCAGTGGAGTGGAGTCCGGGAACACCCAGCTCAGCTGTACACACCCTGACCTCTGCCGTCTCAGACACTCCTATACAGGGCAGTCACACATGCATGTACAACGAAATGACCAATTTGCACTACAGTTGAATCCCTCTAATCCGGACACGAATGGGACAGAAGAAAGTCCCTTTACTTATTTGTGAAATGTCCTTATTTAATGGGTTGGATCACCCAACTTGTGTGTTCTGGGGGAAAAAGTGTCCGACAGTGATAAACGTGCACACATGTTAGTACGTTCAACCAAGAGCTGTTAAGCTTTCTCATGCCTGCCTCGTCTCCAGCCGGTGAGCGGCCGTTTTGGAGAAAGTCGTGTTGCTTCAGCTGGACAGGTCTGTTCTCGCTCCTTCTTCTAGTACCGCGTGCTGCTGGCGGCGGTTTCTCCGGGGTCAGGTCCAGTAGAGAGCTGCTAACTGGTTCCAGGGAAGAGAAGGGGTGAGGAGATGGTACGGGAACCTCTCTTTGGGGCTCTTCTTCTGCCATTCTGCACTTTTCCCGCGAAACGTGGGGTTCAGGGTGCGTTGCCGTGGTGAAGTTGGTGCGCTCCATTTGGAAAACACCACCAAAACATGGCTTCTTCCGGAGCAGCAGGAGGGAGAGGCGGAGGAAACTCGCAGCAAAAAGAAGTGGAAGACTACCTGTCGAGAATAAAACTGCGGGAAATATTTCAGGTTGTGTTTTTTCTAAGTCGATCAAGACAATGATCTGCATTGGGACCACCTGTAATGCAGGGGATGCTAACTCATGTAGTAGTACATCAACCCGAGGATCCCGTAGCCTACTTTCACGAAGAGCTCTCCAGGATCAAGAAGGAGGTCGAGGAGAACAACGTGAGGCTGTTTATACCTATCCTTAGGAGTCTTTCGTGCCTGATCTCAGGCTCTTTGGTCTATAATTATAGCTATACAGCTCTATATACTTCTAGCAATGCTTTTAGGCCTGTGTGTCTCAAACGGGGTGATGCGAAATAGGTTCGAGGCTCATGTTAGGTTTGGCCAATTGAGACAGGCGAAAACCAGCTCCGGGTCCAGGGTATTAGTAGTTTCGTTCCAAGACCCCTCCATTACCTTATAGTTAGATGCCAGGTACATGCATGTTCACGCCTGTTTGCATGTGTGTGGTGCTGGTGGTGGGTGGAGCACTTCTCTACCATCCGTCCTTCCCCCATTGTTTTTATTGTGACCTATGCATCATGATGCATGTGTGCATGAATGAGCATCAATTAAACAATAATTTATTGTGCAGGTGGACATTGCTTCTACAACATTTCTCACCTCTTCAAACTATGTACCTAAAGACAGAGGTGACCAACAATAAAACATCTTTTATAATTTTACACTCTTTGTAATTTTTTTACTGCGCTTATGTTCTCTCATTTCATCTTATAATCCGTCCTGCGGTTCAAACTACATACATGCATATAAAATCAACATATAGAGTGTCAAAGTCTAAAAGAGTTCAGTGAGGTTGTACGACGGAGAACAGCCTTTCACACTTGCCTGGCGAAGCTTCGCGTGACCTTTTGCTTGAACTTTCGTGTGTTGTCTTTGGCCTTCTGCCACTTGTCTCGCCGCACAACGAAATAGACGACAAGTCCGCCAAATGCGATACCGATCACCAGGAGGACAAATGCGGCGACGACCACCCCAGCAATCAGTCCGCTGTTTATCTGACTGTTTACAACGAAGACTCCTCCGGACGAAGTGTCGGCTTCCGCCATGTTTTCCTCGACTCGCGTGTCCAAGTCGACGTACTCCCATCTTGACGCAGCGTTGGCCCTCATGATGGTTACGTCACCCGACGCAACGCTCGTGTCGACGGGAATTACAATTTTCGCCATCCCTCCGTTCTGAGAGTCGAACTGAGTGGCCGGGCTCACCAGGATGTACGAGGACACGGTCTCGCCGCCGTTTGATACCGCACGAACGCCGGTCATTGCCTCGAGTTGGTCTTTGTCGGTGAACTCCTCTATGCTGTATTGTCCTGCGGTAGACAGGGCAGCTTGCGGGAACTCTAGGGTGTGCCTGCGAGTGTATATAGTGTGTAAGATGAGTCCCACAAACGTGTACACATACATACCTTATATAATACACACGCAGCTAAAATTTATGCGACTGCTTAAAGTTTTACATCAGCAAGGAAGACCGAGTTAGTCTTTCCAGTTTTACACAATTGGACACTTGCTATTCACAATGCCAAAAGACAAAAGAGGTTATCAAGGACTGGTATATACTGTAGCCGACTTCCTTTATGAGAAAGCGGTTAGTCAAACTTGCCACGGTATCAAATCACTAATCATTACTTGAAGTATCCAGGGAGCTCACCCATTCAGTTCAACAGTGCCTCCGCTCCAACCGATCCTCTTCTGCGACGTGGCAGTCTCGGTCACGATGATCACTCCCTTCTGACTGCGGTTGGAGAAATTGTTGTTCCGGGAGCACATGAAGTAGTAGGTCCCCGATCGAGTCACCTTGCGAGGACCAAGGTCATAGTACGTTCCCGCATCGTCCAGTTCCGACATCTCTCCTCCTAGTTGCACTGCATGGCGTGGGGAGAGGGAGGGGGGAGGGGAAAAAAGAAGTCTCTTCATATTCAGCTTGCACTTGGAAAACCCATCGTAGTAATTTTCGGTGTTCCAATTTCAAAGTGCACCACAATAGCTGTGATGTATTGATCGCTGAAAGCATTACCACAATAATCTGTGGGTATTACTAACAATTGTGCCACATATCCCATGTGCCACTCTGGGTGACAAGAATTTTATTCCATGGGCTAACTGCTTACTGATGCTTGTTTACTTTACAAAGTGTGTGTGTATGTGTGCGTGTGACTAGCATTAGGCATTTGCAAGCAGACACACAAGTGTTCATCCCCACTGGAAACGTCATGTACATACACCACTACTGGCTCACTATTGAGAAGGGTTGCCAGGTTCTGTCTGTCTTCACGGCTGAGTCCGAGCAACGACGTCGTGTTGTCGTCGAGATGGGCGGGGTAGGAGTTACCCCAGTGGCCAGAAGCCGTCCCTGCGGAGCCGTCCCCCTCGGGGTAGTTTGGGGGGCGGAGCATAACTACGTTGGATCGGTCGGTCCCATCACGCCCCTGTCCGTCGTTGTTGTTCGGGTTTGTGTTAGAGCCAGTCCACCTGATCGTAGGAACGGACTTTAATTTCATAAACATACGTTGTAACACTCTTTCTCCCACATCCCCAATGGTTTTCTCTCTCGTCGTCCCACCCTATCATTCTCCCTCTTCTCTCTTTTCCCCATCCTCTCACTCTTTAATTCCCTCCCTCTTCACTCAGTATACAATGGTATACATACCCTCTCACCCAACGCAGTACAATGCCAAACTCACTGAATGTGAATGTAGTCATCGACAGCCATCTCCACCCGATTGGGGACAAAGTCGTACTCCACTCCGGGGTACACCTGGACAATGTTACCCCGTTTACCCCGCACGTTCAGGTTGTGGATCTTGACGTCTTGGAGATCCTCCGGACGAGCACGAATGGCAAACGTATGCGACCTACACACAGACAGACAGACAGACAGACAGACACACAGATCAGCTTGTACACTCAGTCCACACATATTATACATTGCGTTTGTTTGTGAAGGATTTCATTGTAAGTGTTTGGCGACACACGTGTTGCTATTCTTCAGAGTGGAAACTTGGCTTCAAAAAGGTTTGACTATCGCTGCAGAGGCTCAGGGCAAACCATATTGTAAGTACACAAACAAGAGTACATATGTTCCTTCAAATCATATTCACAAGGCGGGCAACCGTCACACTTGGAATTGTTCATCTGCCAATTTCAAAGGAAAAATACGTAGCTCGTCACATCAGGACGACAGTGCAAAAGTTTCCGTCACCTCGTGAATGCAATTTAAGCAACGCTCCCGCCTGTGCACTTATATGGTTCTGCTGCCTACTGCCTATAATAGCCACAGATCTGGATCGAATTCATTTCGTCATGTGACTCATGGGTGGTGGCTTAGAGGAAGGTTAGAAGTGCAGCAAAGTTCATCAGTGTCACGAGATCACAGCTATCCAGTCCATTTAAGGCCCAACTAGAGCGATACAATAACATTCCTTCCTTCCTACAACAGAAGTCAACCGTATTCAGTGGCTGCAATGTGCCTACTGTAACCGAGTCAAAATGTATTCAGTGACCAGAGATAAGATATTCACAGTCACATGTTCCCAGCCTCCCACACCTCTACCGGAAATGCCACACCGTCCAAGACAGGCAAGTGACAATGGGAGCTGATTTTTATGGCCTGTCAACAGTTGAGACTGGCACTACCCACTTACAATGAAGTGCAAGTCACTTCTCAGGTGACCCTATGTGGCTGAAAACCTCCCAAAATGCCCTAATTTAGGTTGAAACCTGAGCAACTGGGGAGGTTGACAGACTTCTATAGATAAATGGGCTGACTTCACAAAGTTCCCAATGAATGTTTAAAGTAGCAGCGGGATGGGGGAAATTACATGAGGTTAACAAAAGAAGAAAAGGGGAGGAAGAGAGTGAGAGAGTAACAAGGGAGAGAGATCTGGGGAAATATGGTGGCTGGAAAGAAAAAGAAAGGAAGAAAGAGGGAAGGAAGGAAGAGGGAGAGAGAGAGACCTGTCTTGGAAGGTCCGTCCAAACTGGTTGGTGTTGATGGCAAGCTGGAGACCAAAGTTGTTTGAGTCTTCGTTCACGTCAGGGAAAACCTTCACCACTGGGTTCTGCCTGAACACATACCCTCTCTGGAACAGAAATGACACACTGATAGAAAACAAGAGCTATATAGCATGTCACACACATACAATACACAATGAGGCAGCATGTCATGCAGCTATAGTTTTGCCTTCTATTTGCCAAAGCTCTGAGCACATGTACATACGATGGACATCTAAAAAAAACCAGAAGGCATCGCCTACATGCTTAAAGCTAACTCATAACACCCCACAAGTATGCCCCGGCAAATATAACTTTGCCGTCCCTCAGCTCTCCTTCAAAAATAGGAGTTTAGCACATAACACACCTCTCTAGCTTCATCATAGGTGAAGCCAAACCTCTCGTAGACATCAGTGAGTTCGGAGAATAGCCTGCGTTCAAGTGGAGAGCCTTGCCCAGCAACCGTTGCTCCGTTAAGAACACTATCTACGGTTCTCCCGATGCTGGAGTTGACTGCACTGTCCCACCCGTCGTACTCTCCCGTGGAGATGTTGTACCTGGACACCAAGAAAAGAGAGAGGTTTTGGCACTGACACTGTATACAAATGATAGCTTGTTTGCTTCAATCACGCAGCCCCTTTTCAAGAAGTGATGGCTGACGCAGTAAAGCACAAGACTATAAATAGTCTTAAAGGAATGGTGCAGAAAGTAGCTCATGAGCTGACTGGGCTAACAATAGGTGGTGAAGAAGCAACAAGATTCGGAAAGAACGTGAGAAAAACGGAAAAATTTTTGCTTAGCTCTCACCTGATTCTCAGGACACAGTGCTCGTGGGTCAAGTCGGGGATGGTCCAGTTGTAACTGATGGGGAAGCCCCCGATCGTATTGCCAAGGTGATTATCTCGGCTCCACAGGGTCTCAATGCACTCGGGAGCAGAGAGGCGGGAATCGGGAGGGAACTCGGTCCAGGTTCCGTTTCCTTCTGCAGACACAACTTCCTGCGCACGAGGGAGAGGAGGGTGAGGAGGGAGAGGAGGGTGAGGAGGGTGAGGAGGGTGAGGAGGGAGAGGAGGGTGAGGAGGGAGAGGAGGGAGAGGAGGGTGAGGAGTTGCTCAATGCAAGAAAGCCAGCATCATCATACTATTACGCAATGCATTCAGTATACAACTTTATTAGTCATCCCCAGTAGGTCAACGTTGTTTGGTAACTTCTACTTGAGAAACAAGTCAGGGTAAGTAAAGTACCCATTGTATCTCTCTCGCTTCGCTTTTTGTGCGAACCCCAGTAACTAAGTGCATTGTAATCTACTTAGGAACAGGTCAGCTTAAGTGTGAGTTATACGGCAGTGTAACATTCACCCACCTCACACCCCTCCTGGGTGTTGGGAATGATAGGTTTGTTACTGCGGATGTTATCCGTGGTGAGGAAGCTAGGAGGCAGGACACAGGCAAAACGAGACTTGACGTTCTGGCTCTCTGACTGGTAGTACGGACAGCGAGACGCATCGTTGGTGAAGATTACGACATCCTGCAAGAGAAACAGAGGGAGAGAAGAGTGGAGTAAAGTGAAGGGATCATGTGAGAGCCACATGAGGATCACATGACTGGTGATGATGTCACACGTACCCTCCAGGGGGTTGGGTGCCAGTAGGGGTAGTAGTCTCTCTCCTCGGGACACTCGTAACCGCGGCGGTTCCCGTTCCCGTTCTGACGTGTGAACAGAGCAGTTTTGCCTCGCAGGTTCTAGTGACGTACAGAGTCATGTAATCATCAGTGAACACATTTTCTTTCTCCCTTCTTTCCTTTTAACCTCCCTACATCTTTAAAAAACCCTGGTAGTGGGTCAACTTAAACTGCAATACGTAAAATGTTGCCACCTTTTTGGTCGGTGTTTAACCTGGCCATTGCTCTCAACAGTTACCCCCCAGTATAATTGCCAACTAACCCTGTCAGCTATGAAGAGTCCGGCGTTGCGCTGACGCAGTCGGCAGTCGAGGTAATAGTCGTAGTTCTCGTGCATCCCATACTCTATATCATTGTTGCAGTCATAATCTACACAGTTGACCGGATTATCTGGAATCGTCCTGAAAGAAAAAGAAACACAGACAAAGAGTGAATTTCGATCCAGTAGCACAGCAATTGGAGAAAGTGGTGTCAATCGGTTAATGGGACAGTGTCCAACGTACTGAGTGGTTGCCCCGTCGCGAACCAGGTCGCCGCACGTGTACTGGACGATCTGCTCGCAGTGGTTGTTGGGGTCAGCACACGAGTGTTGGTTGGTCCACTCCAGAGAGAGAACTGAGCCCGTGTAGTAATACAGACTCCCCACGTTGTAGCCTCCACGGTTGTTGTTCTGAGAGTCAAACATCCTGCAGAGAGCAAAAGGAATGAACTTTGATTTATTTACGAAAGAGATGAAAAGTGGACAGTTGCTTGTCGTTGCAACAACATAATTTGGATCTCCGGATCCGCGTTGGCCGCAACCCGTGACCAACGTAGAAGTTACCTGTTGGCGTTGTTCCTTTCCCTCTTTGCCTCGTCTAAACGATTGTTACTTCCCCTGCAGAGACGCACAGGCGATGGCGAGTGAACAAAGTGACAGCTAGATCGGCAAGGTTTTTTCCAGCTCACCTTGGGTTGTGGAAGTACATGTCCGCGTGGACGCAGACGGCCAGAGCCAGAAAAATAACTGCGGCCTTCATTTTCGGGTCGTAGTCCACTCGACGTGAAGATCAGTATAACTGGACTCTGTCGGAGAGATGCAGCTATACCGAAATGTGACTCCTGGGGCGCCGCGGGCTATCTTTAGACCCGCGAAGGTCCGGCAGGGGGGCTTATTTGGTAAAGAATGTGCTAATTACCGCTGAAACGCCCACCTTTTCCTTATAGGGGTGCCAGCGGAAACTGGCAAGAGGTTTTATAGGAACGCTTATCTTTGTTCTTGTCGCATTTTCTCCGCCGCGCTCCTTCTTTTATCGTCAACAGAAAGCTGAAAAAAGAGGTGGCGTGTGGAAGAAGATGAGCCATTCTTCGGGTCTGCGGGTCTTCTGCCTCCTCTGCACCTTCTTCTCCGCGGCGCTGGGCGACACGTACATGCACAACCCTCGCGGCAGCAACAACAGACTCAACGAGCGATCGGCCAACAGAAACAACGCAAACAGACTGTTCAACTCTCAGGTACATACAATCTAATGGGCAAACCACCGGCCGGAGGGATGCAAACCCAGATCCTCCCGCAATAGCAGCTGTAGTAATTATGCACGTTTTTTTCCTCTTTCAGAATAACAACAGAGGTGGCTACAATGCAGGGGATAAAGACACAGGAGCGTTCGGATCTGAACAGGAAATCTACTACATGGTATATACATACTGTAGTATGCACTGAATCACAATCTAAATTTTCCTTTTAGCAAAATAAAATATGTGCCTTGAAGTTTTTGCTAGCAATGCCCCAAAATTTCATGTCTCACTGCCTTGAAATCTCCTATTTCTGCAGAAATACTGGCAGAGTGGGCAGGAGGAAGGTACCTATCTGACGGTAGAGTGGACCAATCAGCACGGCTGTGGTGGCAATGAGGACACCGACCCTCACAAACTCAACTGCAACATGGTCATCCAGTACATGGTCATGGACTATGACCCAGATGGTATATGTAGTAGCAAGTCTATATGGTAATAGTATAATACAGTGCACGCAGGATTTTTGCTATTGGTATATTTATACACACATAATGGATGTCATTCACGTAAGTGTGCAGACGCAGGTATGCGCATATCTCTTGGCGAGCTAGCAACACGGACTCCTAAGGAAAACTAAGCGGCTGTATGGGGGTGGCTTTGTTATTAGGTGTGAAAGAATGAGAATCATTGTGTGAATACCAGTGTTAGGTGCTAGACCAGCATTCTTTGTAGTGTGCGACTAAAAAGGGTAAGCTGTCAGCATTTTGGAGGGTAGGTATACTGCCCCAGTGTCTCTACCAGTTATGAAATTCCGTGTCAGTCACACCCATTTTTCCCTCTCTCTCTTTCTCTTTTACTTTCTACCCCAGAAACGGCAGAGGAGCTGGATACAAATAAGTTCACTAGGATCAGGGATGGAACTAGTACACAGAGACAGGATTTTACCCAGCCCTCTGAGAATACTGCAGAAGATAACTACCAAAACAGCAGAGAAGGCAATGTGAAAGTGGAAAGGGGGCTCCATGAGAGCTACGACTATTACGCAGACTGCACCATAAGACAGAGGAATCAATGTAAGTCTGAGTAATCGGAAGAGAGAGAGAGAGAGAGAGAGTCCCACTACTTTAATTGAGGGTGAATGTTGCGTTAACATAGTGGTGTTGTCTATTGCAAGTGGACACATTATTGAAGTCGCACGATATACTATTAATTTGTCTCTGAAGAAGAAAGAGAGGAAGAAAGTATATGTAGACAGAACACAGGAATGCCTGGTCCAGTCTAGGACATTACTATTGTCTTCTCCATCTTCTCCTGCAGATCTATTCGCGGCTGACCAGAATCTGCGTGGGAGCACGGCTAGGTTCACGAGACAGAACCCCAACGGGAACAGAAATGGCTACGAGTGTCCCGAGGAGAGAGACTACTACCCCTATTGGCACCCCACCCCCTGGAGGGTACGTGTGTTACATCATCACCAGTCATGTGATCCTCACATGACGCTGCCTTTGATTGAGAATTTTTTGTTTATGGTTAAAGCACATGACCTACCACTAATGCGGAAAATGTACTTCCGTGGTTCTTTCAACAGGATATTGCAGTCTTGACAGACAACACTACACTCTGCAATTTCTACAAGAACGAGAGTTTCAACGTCAAGCCACGAGGGATCTGTCGCGGCCAGAAATTTGGGGACGAAGCCGGCGGGAGGCCTTACTCCCCTCACAACAACCAGGAGGATTGTGAGGGGGATGAAGATGAAGGTGAGTACAGATACATACACCACTAACTCAAAGTATGCTCATGCAACTAGAATTGGTAGCACTAAATATTCTTTTTCACACAAACAACAGAGTGCTTTATGCACCACAATATTGTTTTGTTGTTGATAAATTAATGTGTTAGCATAGTGTTTACACGTGAAACTTTTCACTAATTCGTTGCTGTGATTGGAAACTGTACCAGACAAAACTACACCTAACGTTTTCTGTTGTTGTTGTTCAGAAAACCCAGGAGTGTGGTTCACGGAGTATGCCTACATCGACATCTCCTCGGCAGCGAACCAGAGAGCCTGCGAGGCAGAGATGGCCAGCACTGGTGATGGTCTGCGGCGGGTCTGGAGCCCACCCAGCTACGACGTGCCCGCGCAGTGCCTCGTCCTCCCGGGCCCTCCGGAGTGCCAGCAGGTCGGGTGGACGAGGGTTAATCACCTCGGAAACGGCCGCGAGGGAACCCCCCTCAATTACACCTGGCGTCTTCCTTACTTCCCGAGTGGCAAAAACAAGATTGCTGTCCTCAGGATCAGGTAATGCAAGCGAATACAAGCGCAAAACGTTCAAATCGTGCATTATTACGCCAAAAGGAAGGACAAACTAGGTGGGTTTGTTCACTCGCCAATTACTTAGTTTTGTCCTCCAAACATAGTATGGTGTGGGTGGGTTGTGGCTGGGTTGTGGCTGGGAGCAAGAAGGAACTGGAGTAAGAGAAAGACTAACCAAATACCAGCTGTGGCCAATGTCCAACTATACCTCCAATTTTGGTGTTAGTTGTAGCACAGAGAGTGGGTTGACTTTACACAGGCACTCCACATTGGTGGCACAGTGGGGCTTTTCTGATTTGAGCCCTGCCCCACTGCCTAGAAGATTGAGGGTTTATTTAAGCCAGCTCTTTCTCACCCTGGTTTTTTTTGCCTTTTACCACCTTTTCGTTGATCATGTTTCTGCTCATTCTGACACCAGTGAAGTGTGGAGTGTGGCTTGAAAATGGCACAATCACTGGTTTAGGTCATGCAGTGTTATAAGATAGGGTGACCAGTAGCCTAGATGGCACATGCTGTGAGAGGGTGATATTCCCTCAACGGATTGACAGTGGTTTTAAATTCCCTATACTTAGACTCGAAGCTATGTATGGAGTTGGGCGAGACAACACCATCTGTATGCTTGTGTAATATTATGCGTAAAACATGAGTAATGCATGTGTGTGTATGTGGCGTGTGTTTGCAAGTTGGTATGGCGATGGTGTACTAGATGAATAGTTTTGAAACAAACCCTGACTCAAATGGCAATTCCCTGGGGATGGAGTATTTGTTCCCATTGTACACCCGCAGTCTGACTTCAACTGTTGTCCCGTCCCCAGTGGCTTCAACATAAAGGGTTTCTGTCCTTATTCACCTACTGTCTCACTCACTCCCTCTCGCTCTCTCTCTCTCTCTCTCACCCACTCACCTTCTGCAGGTACAATATCTCCACTGATGACTACGATCCGTGGAGAACCAACTCTTCTTACAATGAAAACCTGTGAGTCTCTACAGCCTATGTGTACCTATCTGCACACCAAAAACTTTCTGCATGCACACTCCACCAACTTTTGTGAGAAAGCTTTTGTATAAAGGTTCTACTTGATGTGTTCACTTGTGTAAAGGTTCTACTTGATGTGTTCACTTGTATAAAGGCTCTACTTGATGTGTTCACTTGTATAAAGGCTCTACTTGATGTGTTCACTTGTGAATGCAGTGTGGTTATCTAGTTTAAAACTGTGCTTTCATTTTCACCACCACCACTCAGTTATGTGCCTCTTCTGTAGTACAGGTTGACTGTATTATATTATAATTGAAGCATATTGTCCTAGTCCTGATCGCACGGTTTTTCGTATCCGCTCCCCCATCACGCAGAAACCATATGTCCACATCGGCGCCACACCAAACAAGCGCTCCGTCTCGCCATCAACACCGCAGTTTGGCCGACCTTCCAGGACCGAAGCCACGTTTCGAACTCCGACCCGCTCGCTCCTGACGAACTCCGAGGCCCGCAGCTGCGAGATACTCAACCTGAACGTGAGGGGAAAGAGGGGGAACATTGTTCAGACTTTACCCGCCGTCGAGTACGACTTCTTTCCGAATCGATTCACGGTGACTGAGGCCATGTCTCCATGTGCAGTGGACAGGTGGGCATAGTGTTAATACGGCGGCTCATAATATTATACCAGTTTGGTCACTAGAAAACAGAGACCTTAGTTGATCTGGACATGTTGCCATCAAACCCCTGTGCATGTGCAAACACATTTTTGTGTCTTGTGCATGCTAACTACTTACTCATTTATAGGTGAAGCTCTCGGGGCAGTGCTTGCTCTACAAGTGCTATGTAAATCACTAGAATGTTTTGTCATTCTCTCTCTCCACCAATAATTATTGCAGGATCTAAACACACACAACAACAACAGCCCAGCTGGGGACGGCAGGCAGGCTGCGATGCAGGGGAAGGCACAGGAGGTACGGGGATGTTATTGACGCACATACAGTTGTATCATGTTCGTCACAAACTGTTGTGTTTTTCTATTATTCTTTCTATATGTAATGCTAGCTACATAGTTTGCAGTAGGTCTTACGCTACACTAGCTACATAGTTTGCAGTAGGTCTTACGCTACACTAGCTACATAGTTTGCAGTAGGTCTTACGCTACACTAGCTACATAGTTTGCAGTAGGTCTTACGCTACACTAGCTACATAGTTTGCAGTAGGTCTTACGCTACACTAGCTACATAGTTTGCAGTAGGTCTTACGCTACACTAGCTACATAGTTTGCAGTAGGTCTTACGCTACACTAGCTACATAGTTTGCAGTAGGTCTTACGCTACACTAGCTACATAGTTTGCAGTAGGTCTTACGCTACACTAGCTACATAGTTTGCAGTAGGTCTTACGCTACACTAGCTACATAGTTGCAGTAGGTCTTACGCTACACTAGCTACATAGTTTGCAGTAGGTCTTACGCTACACTAGCTACATAGTTTGCAGTAGGTCTTACGCTACACTAGCTATACATAGTTTGCAGTAGGTCTTACGCTACACTAGCTACATAGTTTGCAGTAGGTCTTACGCTACACTAGCTACATAGTTTGCAGTAGGTCTTACGCTACACTAGCTACATAGTTTGCAGTAGGTCTTACGCTACACTAGCTACATAGTTTGCAGTAGGTCTTACGCTACACTTCCCCTCGTCCTCTGTCTACACAAACTGTTGTGTTCCTCTTCCCTCATGTAACAGACTATTAGTTTTCACGGGGTGATGTAATGTACATTTCACTGCTCCATGCCAGGTACTGACAGATCAAACATGGTACAAACTCCCGGCCCCAACGTGAACTACCCGACTCCGTACGACAAGACTGACTCCGACGATGGCCTGTTTAAGAATGCCGACGTTCTCTGGTCCTCGGCCGAGGCAGCGCAGGGTTCTGACGAAGACATTGCCGTGTTCTTTGCCAGTGCCGGCTACTACCAATGTGTCCGCCAGACCACGTGTGGCGATGAATCAGTCCAGGCTAAGAATCCAATGGACCAACTCCTGAACAATGCTCCGGCCTCGTTCGAGGGGGCGCTCCTGCGTTTAAAGAGGGGAACGTACTACTACATCTGCTCTCGAAACAACAACTTTACCAACAGGAGTCAGAAGGGAGTGATCATCGTCACCCCATAGAGGCAGTGTCATTGCAATTAGAACTGACTAGCATGTATATTGACTTAGTGTGTGTGTGTTCTGAACTGACCGTCTGAAACTCTATTCTCTTCCTTTTCTCTCTCTCTCTCCATCTCTGTCCCTTCGTTTTCTGATCATTGTCGTTTCTCCATTTTTTTTAACTTCGACAGTGTATGTATTCCAGGACTGTGCCAATGTTGTCTATACTATCGTGAGTAGTTGATGTTCACGTCTGATTTTTATATCACTGCATAATTATTATAGCTATATTTATTTTGGCCCCTGAGGACTTGTGTGTGCACTAAACACATCGATCGTACTACTGGAAGGTATAATTATAGTCACCACCCATTGCCACACGACGAGCCTCAAGCTACACATGTGTGCAGCAGACGACAGGCCAAGTATAATACCTTGCTTGGCCGGTCTTCTGTGAAGATTTTTTCTTTCGTTTTGTGAGTTTATTTTCGCGTGGTGTTGCTGGACACACCACGCCCACTTTTGTACTCGTGACCTCTCATCTCTTCCGATCGTTTTTTTCTTTTTTTTTCCGCACTTAATTGAGCACTCACTCTAAACATTGCAGTTTTTAACATAAACTTTACAGAATCAAAAATGAGATAAAACGCAGATGACGTGTAAGTATGATGATGCAAGTATATATACTGCTGGTTTTATAAAACTAAAACTTGAGCATGTCTTCAAAGTCTTGGAAGACTGCTCCGAGTTCATTTTTACCCATAACTGCAGGGTCCACCGTAACGGGGAGGGGTGGGAGGCAGATTGCTGGGTCAGCAGAACTGTAGACCTTCACAGTATACTGCCCAGCTAGAGTTTAGAAAGAGGATTGTTGGAGAGAAAGGGTTAAATTATAATGTGAAGTAGAAAGAGGAAGTGATTACGTGTGGGGTACAACGCAGTGCCGTGCTTCGGTTTTTAGAAAGTGAAGCATGCGAGCATCTAAAGAGTGCTGCTTTGGTGCACAATTCATTGCTTATAATCACGCTGGTGCATTATGGAGGGGTTAGTGGGGCTATCTCAAAGAAAGGGTAGAGCTTACGTGGACTGAGGCAGATGTCCCTGAAAGAGGCTCTGGAGAGATAGCCATTCTCTTTGGCAACCAGTGGAGCAATGGACTTGAACTTTATATCACCATCTTCACCTGCACACACACAATACACCACACAGTAGGAACAGGTGAGTGGGGGAATATAGTATATTTTACCTGAAATTTCCAGTTTCATCTGGCCTACTGAATATGCACGGCTGAAAACAGACACCTCTGCTATCTACACAATCGGGAAAAACGTGCAATAAGTTATTTCTATTTCTGAGATTCCATGATGAGATATTAGGCACTCAAGTGGAGTTACAACAGGTTAGGTGTACAAACCTTTTTCCCTGTTATAACCTTAGCAGGAGGGGAGACCGCCCACTGCAGCTCTCCTGGAGTGTAATCTACAAAAAGAGGCAGGCACACTCAATAATGAATACTCTAACACCCACAACAGCACCCAGGTGCCATAATGTTGCTGCTGACCAAGTTGGCAAAAGTGCAGCACAAACTTCACTACATCCTGGTATAATAGCTATATAGGCTGAGGTGCAGGATTCCACTGAGTTTGGTGCTCACATTTTTCTCTGAGAATCCTGGCAGCATGCAGCATACGTCGTCTGTCATCCAACACCTGAACCTATGCAGGCACATCTCAGATTAGCACCAGCACACACACACACACACACACACACACACAGATTGCCATATAGGGTCTTGACTGGATTTACTTCTTTACTTACCACGTCGTCGATGTCGGATGACTTCAGCAGAGCTATGTCGCAGAGTTGGTTGAACCCCTGGAGAATGAGAGGGAAACGCATCATTTCGACATAGACGGGGGAAGACCAGCTCTTGATGAGCTCAGTGCTTAGTTTACTGGTTTTCTAGTCACACAATTTCTACTGGCATAACGCAGTCCATCACTGAAGCAGGAAGTTAAGACTCACTCTCTGGACGAGGGGCTTGAGGTAGCGCTGCATCTCCAGTCTGTCAAACCAGCTCAACACTCCGTCCTCTGAACCAGAACACACACACACATCAACACACTAGATATGTATGTTGAGTGTTTCTTGGCCGCAGTAGCTACATACTTACCTACTCCAAAGAACTGGACTTCAGATAAAACAGCCGTTCTGTTGTCGCCATAGTTGTCTGCCACCACCAGCCGCCAGTACTGCACCAGAGGAAATTCATACAAGTTTCCTCTCCACTATCTTAAATGTGTGCCCCAAAAAGGTCTCCAGGAGACTACTCTACTTACTCTTGCACTGGTGTAGAAACCTTTGAAATCTTGACTTTCGGCTGAAAGACAAAAATAGTAGCATGTGTGTTTGTGTGTACTGGGAGGTGGTGCTGAGACTAACATGGTTGGTCCATAGTCTCAGGTCCAATGGCATCTGCGGTGAACTTTTGAACCTGACTCCACGGCCCACTGGGGGAGGGGAGAGGGGAGACATGAGTAAGTCCCTTTATCTTGAAGTTGATAAAAATATCATACTTACGCAATGTTTTCGGCTGTTTCAACTATGAAGTTGTGGACCATCTGTTTATTGTCCCTGTAGAATTGAAAGGGTAATGTATACAGTACATATGTAGCTTTATAGCTATATATAACTCACCATCCAGAGAGACGAATGCCGGTCAGGGTGTACTTGGAGCCGAGGTCAAAGGCCACCCAATTGTAGCCACCTGAGTCTGGGATCTTCCAGTACGAATAGGAGTCATCTGAAATGTGAGGAGTCACACGTGTCAGAGTGAGAGCACATTCGTCTTTCGTGTTGTATTGCGTCTTTTAAGAAGTATAAACGGCAAAGGGAAGGTCTAGCGAAAGACTAGGCAAATCTACACCAGCGTTTAAGATTCAATATCAACAGAAGAGATAAGGCTTCTACGTAGTAATTATTATACAAAGGCAGGGTCTGAACGTACTGTCCAGTAGACAGGTGTTGGGATGCTGCTTGGACCACCCGCTGCAGTACACCTCATCGGCCTTTGTCCAGCTCATCCTGTTCGTCAGCAGTGGATACGTGACTGCGTGGATTAGTGAAAAGTCAGTATTTGTGAGAGCTCTGAAAGTGAACTCTGTTGTCTCGGCATGTGTAAACAGTGATACTGCAGGTATGGCTCAACAGATACCTCACACGTTTATTTCTAGCAACACAACACAACATTGTGAAGGGCTCTATCAACAGAGTTAGTAAAGCATTACTTAGCAAGGAGCAGTCTAGCTAGACTTTATCTTAGACTTACTGCTGAATAGATCTCCGGTCAAATCTCTGCTTTCCTTTCGCTCCAAAAGTGCCTATATATACACACACATGCACACAGATAAAAAAATCACCAACAACTCTTGCCGGAATCTTTACCTGTGGGATACGTGGGGATTTCCCCTCCAAGTCTCTGATCAGGGCCCGAAACTCGTCTCTCTTGGCCTCGGGATGTTGCATGACAATCCCAACTGCCGTCTGCAGAGATACATCACATGATACATCACATGACTAACAAAATACACCATTCCATAGGAAATTTCCGGCGATGGGTAAAATTTATTCAGTTGTCTCAGGGCAGGAGAGGGGAAGAAGAACGCTAAAATGTCTTCTAACAACACCTCAGCTATACTGAATGCAGATGGACACGTTCCAACATGCTTCAGTCCAGATTAGTGCTGCAGGTCAGGCCTTGCAAGTGCGAATGCTATGGCTAATATAAAAAAAAATTGGACTGAATACCTCTCCATTGGCACTCTGTTGACTCAATTTGGCTCCAAACTCCAGTAGAACTCGAGCAACCTCCTTTCTGCATGGATATAGAGCACGCACACACACACACAGATAATAGCTACTGGGTTGATCTTTCAGAATCAAAGTTTGTTAGCCCACCTAAAAAATCTAACTGCTTCATGGAGGGGACACGTTCCTGCATACAGCACACAGAGCGTCAAAAGACTGTATGGTACGTAATATGTGCCAGATACTTACCTGACGCTCCATCGAGACAGTTTGGATCCGTCCCAGCATCCAATAGGACCTCAACTATCTCCTTACGCCCTAAGAGCAAACACACACACACACCAATACTCTCAATGGGTGGTCACGTGTCTAGTATGACATGCACACTGATTGAACGGTTACATTGGTAACCTAACCCTGAGCACAGTATCCAGGAACTGAGGTGGAGTGTGTGAGTGATTGATAAACTGCCTTGCTACTCACCGGTGCGTGCAGCCTCGATAATGGCCTTTGTTTCACGGATGACACCTGGTTCTGCATCTACCAGCAATGACACTGCCTCTATGTGGGGAAGGGAGAGAGGTGTAGGAATGAACAGAGACAGAGACAGAGGGGGAGAGCAAAGTTATCACACTCCGTGACTGCAGAGCAAAGATTAGTCTCACACCAGAGAGAAGAGAGATACATTAAGCTCTGCAATTCTCTACCAACCTTTCTTGTTGAAGCGAACGGCGAGATCAAAGGGAGTGTCACCTTCTCTGTTCTTGTCGAGGACACAGGCATTGTGTTGGAGGAGTTTCACGAGAGTCAGTGTCTTGCCAGCCGGGCAGTATTGGCAGGCAAAGTGCAGTGGCGAGTTCCCTTCGTTATTGGGCAGACCAACCTGAGCACACCCACACACACACAGATATCACGCCCGTGTAGGGTAATGTGAGATCACGATCTCTATGAATACAATTAGGCCACACACCCACATTGAATGGCGTTCCAGATCATGCACAGCTGGTCAATAACCAATCCAATTGCTATGCTTGCAATTTAACGAGAAAGGAAAATATTAGCCCATGTATAGTTTACATACCGGCAGCAATGATAGCTTTACCTTTCCTCCACCATTGGCAATCAACAACTCAACGATGTCAGAGCGATTCTGCCATGCTGCCATGTGCAGGGCCGTGTTCCTATAACAAGGAAACAGACTATATACTTACATCTGCAGTAAGACCTATGACGCAGTGTATGTTTTAGTGCAGCTATGTGATGCGTATGCTTACCCTTTTAGGTCGCTGGATCGTACATTGGCCGAGTACTGCAAAAGAACGTAGACTATGTCTCTGTGTCCGTTGAGAGTGGCCAGAATTAGAGGGGTTGCCCCGTCGTTGTTGACAGTGTTAATGTCCACGTGGAGTGGGGGCTGTTTTCTCTCGACCTGAAGCGGTTGTTCGGTCTCGGTGTCATTACTGTCGTCCAGAAATTCTCGCGAAAGTAGCCTCTTCAGACGATTCTGCCCCTTCAAAATTGCCTGTGGTTGGGACAAATAGTGGCTAATACAAACTCCAGGGGAGCGAGCATCAATGGTTTGGAGTTTTTGTTTACCAGTGCTAGATAGTTTACTTTGGTGCGTGGTACTCTTTCTGGGATTTCATTAACAACTTTGCAATTCTTATGCTATGTACGTATATTATGCTTCAAAATGTTCTATGCCTAGACACACACAACACTAGCATCAACTCCGATTATGGTAAGAGTGAGAATGGTACATTTCGGTACACGAGATGTGACAGCTATTGTTCATATACGTGCATGATTCAGGTGAATCGACAAGTGTTTGTTTTAAACTGGACAACATGTTTGTTCAACAGCAAAGAGAGTTGCCCAAATATAAACAGGATCACTCTGAATATTATCACACATGGATTTGTATGGATAGTGGGTACTACATATGTGTCATATACAAACCACATACAAATCATAATTTAGGGGCATTTCCATTTCTGGGATAATTCACTAGTGCAAGCAGCTCGCCTTCTCACAGAAGAACATGCCCACAGCCTACTAGGAAAGTGCCCATGAAGTGATCAATTGCCCCATTGACTAACTATATTGTGGTCAACTTGATTACCGTTGACATTTGGCATCGCTGCACTGCACGAAAGTTATGATGTGTATTCGAGAGACTTGCAAACTACGTTTTGTGTGTAAGTGCGATAGTTGGGTGTTAGATGCAGAGTTTTATCTGGTGTTTAGATACAAACAAGTTGATTGGTAATTCAACGACCTTAAATTAAATTATTTTGACACGTGTGAATACGTGGGCTGGTCTAGGAATACCTAAAATCATTCCGTTGGGGTAAATATTTGCAGAAAACCACTGGTTTGCCACACTCAGAAGACCTACAACTGTGCCACTGTTGGATTTCCCCATGCATTCTCCAGTCCCTCTAATGTTGCCATTATAGGGCTGGTTGTTTTGTTAACCTTGGGTTGCTAAGAGGGTTGTTGAGCACACATAGTTGCTTCTGTCTGTCACACCTAGCAAGCTTAGTCCTAGCGTTAGACTACACGGTAGAATGACATCCTTACATCTATTATTGACTGTAGCATATTACCCACAGAAGGCTATTGAGCTACAGATCAAAATGTATTGGTTTGCTCTGATCATGTAGGTGGGCAGGGCACTAGCTATTGAGTCTCACAGTAATGAGTGTGTGGGACGATCCTATACACACCAAGCTCTGAATACGCCCACACTCAAAAGCACTACAGAGAGGCCAACATTATATACGACTACATAGTTGAAGAGAATAGCTTTACGCTCCCTCCCACTCGCAAATCTATATATGAAGCCTGGTAATGGCTTCACGAGTGGGTGGAACTGTAGGATAGTGGGGTGTAGGAGGATTTCTTTTTCTATTGTATATTATAGCAGTTCAGTGGAATAGCTTATAGTAAGGAAGCTTTCTATGGAAAATGATGTCTTACTGTAAGAATCCCGCCCTAATACAGTCAAAAGCGGCGCGTGGCTGACAGGGGGACTAGCTAGCTATGGGTAATGTCACAACACAATTACAATCCTGAACTCCAACAAAACATAGTTATTATGCAAGAATAAAAGCTCGCTGACGGGGACGGGGTGTTAGAAGATACAAGGGAACATGATCGAAGGACCTCCGCTACCTCGTCGGCTAGCTACGATCTCTACCACAAAGACTGAGTGAAACTGACTTACTTCCACTTTGCTGAGGTTCCCAGCGGCTGCGGCGTCAAGCAGTTGCTGCTCTTTGCCCATTTTCAGATGCTTTTCTCGCCAGATAGAGATCGCTTCGCTTTTTACTGCACTGCTGCCGAGGTCGTTATTTCATACGCATGCGCATTAATACCAAAACTGTACGCATGCGCACTAATAACAACTGTATTGCTAAATTTGCGAGCCACTGAATGTATAGAATTCCCAAGAGCCTTGGGGGATAATAATCATTATACAAAAGTAGCTACATCACGTGACTGAAAGTCGCAATGCTTATCCCAGCCAGAGACCAGACACTCAAAGTAACCCTTCTTTAAACGTTTTCCCTCTTTCTCTTCTTCTTCATTCTTCGACGGTTAACTGACTGTTGAACTTACATGCTAATCGGTCACCATGAGAGTGTTCTCAAGGACGAGAATATAGTGTGGTCTGATGGACTCTGTTTTATAAACCACCAGCTCGTCGTAGTTCAGAGCAGAGCGTTTCTTGGGCAACTGGTCACAAACCTTCCCATACACAGAGTCATAATCACGAGGAGGTCCCTTAAGTGATGGGTTATTCTCGTGCAAGATATACTTGCGTCCGGGAGCGATGTCACACACCAGCAAATAGCGGTGTGCCGATGTCCAAGTGTCTGGTGCTCTTGAGCGAAGGGGGTACTCGTAGGCCTTCGAAGAGTTTGCTGCAAAGTAAAACCCCTTTCCAAACCTCTGCCACGAGCTTGAGCTTATCCGTTGAGGGTCAAAACCTTTCCTCGCGATCCCACAAATCCCACATTGAGCTTTGGTGCACGGGTCGAAGTATTCCAGTATGTCGCATTTGAGCTGTGTTCCGTGATAGTACTGTTCCACGTCACCGTAGTCTGGTGACAGACCAGCTACATACTGGTTAAATCTCTGCTCCAGTGCCGGGTTAACGATTCTTAAAACTTGACGGATTCCCGGAAGTTTTCCCTTCTTGGAACACCACGTCGTTACAAACTGCCGTTGAAGTGTCTTATATTCGCCACTTGTAGTAGGTATATTCACTACTCCACACATTCCTGCATGATGTAAAGAGGATATACCTTCTGCTCACTTTTGTTCGTCTGCATGTATACTCAATTTACAGGATCATTAACATACACATAATATTTAAAATGCCTACCAAAGGTCACATGACTACATTCGTGGCAGTGAATTTTAGAGGAAACAATTTTCATGCTATGATTGTCCCATTACTATCCCACACATTTTAAATTTTAGGAGCATACATACATACCTTCTCTTGTTGCTTCCATGAAGTGGTCCCAACTGCAGAAATTATGAAGTTCTCCTCTTTTTGTACACTCACCAAACAGACAGTAACTGGAGTCTACATAATATGTATTATAGTAGCATGACTGGTTGTTTACACAATGCAAATACCTATATACACACTTACTGAAACGTTTTGCGTGATCAGAGCAACAAAATCTAGAGTTACAACGCCTCTTCTCTCGACAGCCAGGAAAGCGACAGAGAAGTGAATGTGTAGCTCTAGATCCTGATGAGGACGCCACTGAGTCTTTAAACACAGCACCAGTGTCTTTGTCATCTACCTCACCTGGAAGATTAGCTACCAAACCACGAATCAGATTGCAGAGTTATTCATGTGCAATGATAGAGGTGTGGTTTGTGAGACTAGGTAAGGAATGCTCAGTGCAGTATCACAACAGAGTAGGAATTTGCATTTTCAGGTGGGATGATGTAAGTTTAGTATAACAGTGCTAATACCTTTTTCAAAGGATGGTCCATCCTTAGCAACAGCACTGGACTGCTGGGAGAGATGACTTACACAATAGTCGTGGACTCTAGTTCCTTCAACATAGCAAGGCAACAGGGAAAACGGCATGTATAAAGAGAAACTGCAGACAGTAATGATAAACAGCATGCACTCCCAAATCGAGCAGCCAGCTATAATACTGACTAGTATACCTTGGGGAATCACTGCTAATGGTGGCGTTCTCCCATGATGCAGTCCGTATCTGTTCCAGTAATCGCTGCAGCATTTGTAGGTGCAGAAATCTACGTGGAGCCCGTCCTTTGTACAAGCAATGAAGTCTCCCTGGGCCAGCCGAAAACACTGAGAGCATACAACTGGCTCGTTACGGCTCGCGACGCTAACACATACGGTCTGAAATGTAGTTTGTGGGGCGACTGCCGATGACGGCGTCTTCCCGTGATTATGAAACCCGTAATTGTTCCAATAATCGTGGCAGCATTGGAGAGTGCAGAAATCGAGGTGGTATCCCTCTCTCGTACAAGCAACGAAGTCTTGGGGCACCAGTCGGAAACACTGAACGCATACAACCGGCTGGTTACGGCTGGTGAGGCTCGCGGGGTTGATTGTTGGTAGGTCCATAGCTATCTAGCTAACCACTAAATCCTGACCTGCAGTAAGTCGTCCACTGAGCTCGTTCAGCTACACGCAATATGGATCGCAAACCCGACGTCAGAGCACCTCAACCTTGAGCGGTATATATCACAGGCGTTATGTCATGTATCATAGCTAAAGGGGCGGAGCGCGAAGTTTGTGCGCGTGCGTAGTATCAAGAATGCAATTAAGTTTCCGTTTGCCACAATCATTGAACAGAAGCAAAATTATTATTGCCACACAACATAGTTACTAACGGCCATAGTGTTTCTGAATGCCAGAAGGAGGTGTTCCCCACCATCTAGAGCCGCTTGGAAATCCCGTTCCATTCTAGAGTAGGAGGTGGACAATTTGGGAAACGATACACTAGCAGTGGACACTGTAGAATACAAGAGGAGTTCGTCGTCTCTGGTGACTCCACTCAGGTCAGCACTGGAGTCATTGTTTACCACGGTAAGAATCCTTCCCTGAATGGTGAAAACATTGACACCTTAACGTTAAGGGATTGAAAGTGTCCTTTACTCGGAGGTGCATAGGTACATAAAACACACTGCTTGGGTGGAACCACGGTGGCCATATAGAGAAGGCCCTTTATCAGATGCTTTAAAGGGTAATTACTTACCGCAGTGGGAAATACACCCAAACCAAAGTCACCATCCATGTGAAACTGTGAGGGATTCAGGATTAGTCGGATGTGAGTAGCCAGTGGACACTTGTCTTCTACTATTATACAAGAATAAAACATTACATCATGTGTATAATATAGAGAGCACGTAATTTGCATGTACCGTAAGTGAGAAAGTCTTTCATACTAGGAAAATCATTGTTTCTCCACAAGGTCAGCATTGGTCTTGTTTTATCCATAGTACTCTGCTCAAACCAGTTTTTTTTGCTGTTAATTTTATCCTCGTTCAGATGGGTGATGTGATCCAGTAATTTCAGGTCTCCCGACCTCAACGCATCATGGGCTGGGGTACCAACTTCAACCCCCAGCATTCGGAGCTGGATTTAAATTTTTTTACACTTCCTATAATTATATATAGCTCCTGAGGCCTTAAGACTTACCCCAGTTTCACCTGGAAAGTTTGCTGTAATGATACCAAGGGATTGTTTTGGTCTCTTCGCGATAGTACACATTATTATTTTTCTCTCTGAGTGGATAGAACGAAAGAGTCAAAAATAAAGGGATTTCGTTTACTCTCATCCCAACACAAGTTATAGTGAACTACCCACTTACGGTCATCTGTGCTCCCTGATTTCTTGGTCGCGAGAGCCGGCCCAGTCCCTTGCCTGTACACTTTCCTCTGAACTGGTCTCCCAACCCCAGCCCCTTCCTCCCTGGGCTCCAAACTGTGGGTACTCCTTGCAACAGCTGGAGGACTGAATGGAAATCGGGCAATAATCACATTAAGAACAGAGGCAAAGACTATTATACCCATTGTGTAGGCCAGTGTGTATGTATTTTCTATAGGGACCCATCCAAACAAGATCAGACAATTAATTTGAACATACATACTTTTCCTCTATCTGAACATGTTCAGCAGGGCGGTGTCCACAGTACACACAAAAGAATTTGTTATCAGAACGATATTCCTCTGGAGGCACATATTTGGAGCACTGGCAGTGTTGACACTTGCCCCGCTTTATTCCCTGGGAGTCTTTCATTAGTGGTACAGCTCTGAGCTAAATGAGAATCAGAAGAACGGACATGATTGTTGCACAGTCAGTGCAACGGATCAGCGGATAGTACATGCTCACAATCTTTTGCAGTTTCTCCTGAGTATGTACCAACTCCCTGTCCTTTGCCAGCATTAAGCCACTCTCCTGTAGTCGGGGTGACTATATACACACAGCTACATAATACTCTAGACTACACACTCGCTCTCTCATCTCCTGCTCTCTCCTGATAGTCTCTTCTGCCCTTGTTAACTGTTCTTCCTATACAGTGTTGCGAAATTGAAATTTTAAAGAGAAAGGAAACATCCTTTACCATTTGCCTCAGATGCTGCTGACCCTCAGCTAGCTCCCTGTCTTTACCCTGCACACAAGGTGGAGAAATTGAAGTTGGATTTTGGTTATGCAATGTTAGTCATGCTTTCTATTCCGTTAGCTATACCTGGTTTATAGACAGTAGATCTTGCATACGGGATTGGGCATCAGCATTTTTTGTCACTAGGTCTCGGAGAACATGTTCCAAATTCTGGAAAAATGGAAAGCAGAAACTTTCAAACCCTGCCACCCATGAAATGTGCATGTCTTGCTGAACAGTGATCGATCGGTAATGTGATCCTTACCTGGTTCCTAGGTTGGCTCTGAAGAGTTCTTACCATCTCACATTTGTTCATCTCACTCTCGTGGCGGCTGAAACAACCTCTGGCCTCATCCAACAGACTCAGCACCTCGCTAATGCTTGGACGTTTGTGAGGACCATTGTGCAGGCATTGCTGGATCAACCGAACAAGAGGGTGGTCTCCACGGAGCTGGCCACAGGCGCGGAGTTGCTCGTTCACGTGTCGCATGTACTCACTGCGTCGCTGGAGCTCAGTGCGAGCTACCAGCAGCCCACTGTTCTCGTCGAGATAGTTGGGAGAAAGAGGATCGCAGGGGAAGACTTCGCCGATAGTGAAAATGGTGACAACTCCAAGAGAGAAGACGTCAATACTGGTATTGTACCTCGACTTTCCAGCATTTGATTGGGTCGGCTCAAAGGCCTCTGGAGGCATGTACACTAGCGCCCCAGGCCCCTTTGTCATGGTGACTGCAGCTCTAACACGGGGCACAATACGAGCCACGCCCAGGTCAGCTATCTTGGCCACCATCCCCGAGTCCAGGAGAACGTTTCTGGCGGACAAATCGCGGTGGATGACGGGCGGCGCCTGCTCGTGGAGGTATGCTAGGCCGCTCGCCACATCGTGCAGCACGGAGCACTTGAGAGCCATGGTGAAGAAGGATAGCGGCGTGACGGCGCCGGACGGAGGGAGCGGATCAGGAACCAGCAGGTCATGAAGGCTCGTCAGCAGTCGCTCCATTACGAGAGCTGGCAGTCGGGAGCTAGGGAAAAAGGTGACACCTAGAAACTGGACGATGTTCGGATGACGGAGAGTGCTCATCAACTGACATTCCTTCACGAACTCGGTTGCAGCCTTGGGTAGATCAACAGTCGTCCCGTCTCCTTCTTGTAGGAAGGCGTAGATGGTTTTGGCCGCTGCGCCCACGGGAAAAGACACCTCCTCCACTTTGCCATAGGCCCCGCCGCCAATTCTGGTGCCAGTGAGTTGAACGTCGGAGAGGACGAACGGTTTCAGCCCCGGATAATCGCGAAGAAAACGTTCAGCCATGATTCGATTGCACCTCGTCTGTTGCGCCACGCCCACGCCGTTGCGCTGCGCGCATGCGCACACGGAAATTACTGGTGGGCGGGGGATCCAGCAATCGCCGGGATGGATCGGCTGAAAGTTGTCTTCTTTTCTAGCCTACAGCGCTCGACTTACCCAGACGTGTGCGTCCAGTGCCACAGTCGCACCACTGGGGGATACACAGCGACGACAAACGAAGGCTATCAGCTGAGGTTCTGCTCCCCCCAGTGCAGTCATGCCTACTGGGACGAATACGCGAAGTTCTCGCAATCTCCGTCAACTTTATACAACACACAGCAAGGTCACTTTCAATGCATTTTGTAGGCTATGATTCACTTTGTGTCTAATACATTTTTGAAGGGTTTTCTCCTCATTATACTGTACAGGTGTCCCTAGCGCGAGTAATGAGCTACTCCAATATGAATAAACATATATACACCTGTGAACATTAGGTGGAGGAGGAAGAGCTACTCAAGCAGTTTCACAAGGAATTCTATTTGTAACTCAAAGGAGAACCAGCTCGCCAAATACCCCACAATCTAATTCGGGGGCTCGGCTGTGTCGTCTTCCTGGCTGCACCAAGCCTTGCTACGTCGAGCGAGGCAGAGTCCATGACTACTGTAGCTATAGTCACGCAAGCGAGGATGCAAGATCACGTCGTACTGTGGAAATTATTATAGCTGCTTCTGTTATATTCTTTCTCTTTATTGTACTGTGGTCTTTTCTGTTGTAGAACATTTGAGCACTTGAGTTTTGCTGACACTGTGCTGTGCTGAATAACATTTCTTCACCGCTCTGCCGTAAACGTCCCCTAAGCGCGTTACCCCGACCCATTGAAATGTCGAAGAACATTGATCGTGTGAGCGCCTTTCTTCGCGGGAGTAATTGTTGGAAGACTGTCCATATCACAAAGTCCTTAGAAGTATAGTATTCTTAGTTGACTTGGTATAAAAAGTCCTGATGTTCAACTGGTGTCCAACACTCGTTCAGTTCAAGGGAATTGCAAACGGGACCCGAGACGGGGAACGATGATTTAGCTAGCACAGTTATCCTAGGACAGTTTTCTGAATAGCCAACCATTCAGACGAAAATTGCTTCTGTCGCCGGTTGCTCAGCCGATCGCGGTATAGCCACACCCTCCCTCAACAAGAGGAGAGAGGGTGTGGCTCATGGAGCGGGGGTAGGGCGGTCTAGAAAACTGGCCGACCCACTGTTTCGGAAACGATGGACCGTGTAAGCCGTGGTGTGAGCCGAAGTCTGAATGCCTTTCTTGATACGCTCACTTCCGCGAGGGCGTCGGGCCACCAAGTCGTGTGCATTCAATGTCATGGACGCGTATCGTCGGAAAGCTACCTCACTACTCATGCTAAGGGATTCAAACTTGACTTCTGTTCTCGTAAATGCGGCCACTCATACTGGTACGAATACGGCCAACACCAGAAAACGCCACCAGCCGTCCCTCAAGGTGCGTTTGGTCCACAGCTACGACACACCCGTCGGTGCTTTCCTCCCTCTGCAGGTCCTCGTACGTGCAGACTTCCCGGATGCAACAAGCCTTGTTTTGTAGAGGGGACTAGAGTTCACGACTACTGTGGGCGTTCCCATGCCCAGCAGGCGAATGCAGTTGCAGCAGGGGCCGTTGCAGGACCACAAACCTACGGTTCACACTCCTGCCACTCAGTTTATGGTGAGTGCAAGGCAGTTTTGGGCAGAGTCATATGTATTTGCAAACCATGGGAAAGGCCAAGGCAGTCCTGTTTATATTGGCTTTGTCCTGGTGTTCCAAATGAGGTCAGAGAAGTCAGCTGCCAACTACAGTGTATAATGAAAAGCGCGCACTAACTAAAGTGCAAACCCTCGGCGAACTGCGCATGCGCGGTACCGCTAATTGACGGGGGCTGGCGCGTATATACCCACAGTCTCCCGTAAAATGCCTGCATTACACCCATGTCACACAATTGTCAGAGTAGCTATAAACTATCCATCCTACTCTTGCAGGCCCGATCTATTTCTACAATCGCGGAGAGCCGTACTATGAATTTACCAACTTCTATGAAATTATGGTCTGAATCGAGGGCAGGATGGCTCACAACGGAGCACTACTTCCAGGCCCAAAAGTTGTCGGGACTCCGCTGGTTCGCACCATTCGCTCATGGAGCGAACCTCGCGATGACGTGACAAGTCCCGCGACCCTCGCTACACCCCACTGGCGTCGCAGTGACGGGGAGGAATGAAGGAAGACATCATGTTCAAGGCTCTGCAGGCAAAGTTCAATAACACGAGAAACTCAAGCGGAGCGGTGGGCACTAAGACAGGCAGTGGGGAGCGCTCTCCCACGACAGCTATGGGGAGATGGTGGGGATGGTTCGGGGAAGAGAACGACTCGGAGCATGTCATGAGACTACGAGACGATCTGACTCCAAAACCAGAAACCTCTCACCAATCCAATAACCATAACCGGCATCACTCTCCCACTGGGCAGTGCATTCTCACAGAACCACTTACCTTCACTCAGCATCAACCACTGCAGAAGTTGATCGGTCCACAAAGCCGCAAGCTCACAGTCCTTCCCAGACCAAGATATGGGAAACAGCACAAGATCGAGAAGTGAGCTACAAAGTCAGTCCGCCTTCCAACAGAATCCTGCCCATTACAAGGCCCAAACAAGAGAATATCACACATCCAAGTATCAGCAGCATTGAGAGTGAACGATTTCTCTGGCATCCAAACTACCCCCACTTCTGAGCTAGTAGTACCAGGAGCCGTTGTTATCCACATCCACAAACAACTGCAATACTCCCAGATTCTGTTGCATCCAAAATACCGCCAGGTTTCCATAAACAACCACCCAAACCAGACGTGGCATCAATCCCAACAGGAAACCCCATCGATTTGTAACTGCCATGACATGAAGTACGTATCAGCCAACATTTATAATGTCTGAAATTTTGATGCGGATGCATCAGCGCGAGCCGAATGGATCCCGCGCGTGAACATTCGTCCCGACCATATAATAGCAGCGTCCGTGGGGATCTGCAGCCTGGAAAATGGCGTACATTCAGTGAACTACCAATACGTGACTGTCGGTTCGACGATTTTATACGAGGACGGACACTCGCGACCGTAAGGGAAGAGCATGGTCTTTGCGTAAAGTGCAGATGTATTTCGGAGGGCTTTTTGACCAGGACCAATCAAGGCCATCAACTCATGTCTGTTCTTTACAGTGCCGCTTGATACTATACAGAAACAGTATGAAATGCAACCCACTTGCATATGGAGTACAACACCGAGTGCAGTTAGTAGACTCGCAGTTTGCGCAGCCAATGTGATATTAGTATTTTGCCACAGCCATACTTGCTGTGTATAGAAGGTCTTGCATGCAAGAAGTCATTGTACTACAGTGATTCCCTTTATGTAGGTGTATATGCCGTACTTTCTGGGTGACCAATAGGCCTGTTAAGTCGAGGGATTGAGGGCTGTATGATTATTGCCGGGCAGACCATGCACAGAGCAGGATGCAGCAACTTAGACCATCGAGTGAGTAAAAAATAATAACCAATTTCCAAATCATATAATATTTTCATCTTCATAACAAAGTAAGACTAGAAGAGTTAGCATTTGACGTGCCGAGTTTGGAAGACTCAAAAACCAAATTACAAAATCTGGGATTCAGAAAAAGGAGAGCTTCCCCGCAAAAAAGCATATTTAAAAGTATCAATCCACAGCTGGATCAAATATTCAACAGCACATGTCTCCGGATTGCCAATTGTTTCAAAGGGAAATAGAGCAGCTATTTCATGGGACATATCTCAGTGTTGATCAAAGGAAGCACCCTGACCTCAAGATGAGGATGTAGAGTTGCAGCATATCACGAGGGCTTTGCACCCCAGCAGATACGCACCCACCGAATGGCAAAGGTCGGAAGCGGTTTCTATTTTGCCACCACTCGCAAATCTTATGATTACCCGCTTCACTGTATCCGTGCCCACGTCTAGCGACGAATGCCCCGGATAGCGCGTGTCGGATGCAGTGGTGTGCGACGTCGCCCCTGGACGAAAAAGCATATCAAGCGCGAGAATGCAGCTTCTCTTGAAGGCACACACAGGTTCGACTCGGTCATGTGGGGACGAGCGAAAATCACGCAATACAGATTCTGGACAGGAAAGACTCATCCCATGAATTATGATGAAGTTGTGGTCTATCGTTCGGAAGCAAGTTATCGGACCACGACTATATTCCTTCTCCTTCAACACAGCACTGGGCGGAGCCCCTCTCACATTGTGTGACACATCTACGTTAGTTATGTAGACTAGTAGAACTAGAGCAAGTCAAAAGCTTTGTGCTGCACACCTGTAGCACAGTTGCATAGTATACATATATCTCATATAGCACAGAACACCAGGCTAGGTAATCTGTACTCACCACCACGAAAATCCAACGGACGCGAGTGAATGTGTGGCAAGGCACCCTGCTGAACTCCTCAGTGCTGGGAATTACAGTACCAGCCCTTCATTGGCCCAGAGACTATGATTATTTGTGGTGTCTCCTGGAGGGGACTTTAACTCCTGATAAAATTTTATCAATCTCACAGACACTCCTGCACACAGTACCCCACACCTCATCCCCATTCCCTAGCAATTAAACAAGGGAAGTCCTTGAACGTCCGCTTAGATCCGCGCGCGCAGGTCTGACGTCGGAAACCGCGAGAAACGCGAGGACTATAAGTCTACGTAAAGGAAACGTTAGCGTGACCGCATCTGTATATGTCACGTAACTGTGCACGCTATCGCGACGGCGGCCTGCGGTTTAAGAAGGTTCTACCTTGTTCACTGTGGGTGCGCATATGGAGACGAACGTATCTAAAGGATCTAGTTAAGAAGGCATAGAAGGATCTGGACACGAGCCGTGTCGCGTCCTCAGGGTCACACGCGTTTTACTGGAGGAGGTACTTCCGCCACACGACCAAACAGCAAGGCTACGACACCTGGTTTTCGGTAGCCTCAAGTGTGCGGAGCGACTATTGGGAAGGAGCGAGTGCGGAAGTGTGGCGAAATCCACCAGTGTTCATGCAAGAGCGGTTTTAGTCCAGTATCTTGTTGTACCCGTCAGGTCCGGCCACACTAGCGCGTGAGACGTGTCCTCTACGAACAAATTATGAGCGCGTCGTTCGTCGCTCGTGCACCGGTCCCGCAAGTGCCGTCTGCCCAGTGCTGCAGTAGAGCCATGTATGGGACCGGGAAAGGAGGAAACAGGTCAAACAGTTCACGAACCTACGGTAGCGGGCGCCTACCATGACCCGAGCCAGCAACGGACCGCATGTCACACTCCCGCGAGAGCGGGAGGAAGATGGGGAGCGAGGGGAAGGACCACTGGGATGCAGGCAGGCTCACATTCGGTGAGTCTCCTGAGTACTAGTACACTACACTTCATTGTTTATTCTAAACTGCACTGTGCAGGATGGGGAACGATGGTAAGACCAGACAGGCCGAATCTATTCTACAACACACGTGGAGAACCGTACTATGAATCACTACCTTCTATGAGGCCATAGTCGAAATTGACGGCCAAGATTGGATAACAACGGAGCACCTACTTCCAGGCCCAAAGTTTGTGGGACTCCGCTGGTTAAGCACCAGTGCCTTTGGATACCTTTCGCCCGTGGGGAGATGAGCATACTAAGAGACTCTAACACGAGAGAGGAGGTACTCGGGAAAAGGAGCACCTTCCCTTTGACCCCTTTAGAGGTCACACTCCCCAAAGAGAGTAAGAAACAAGGGCACTCGGACGACCCTCCCCCATCTTGGGAAGGGGGATAGGATGGGGAAGGAACGAGTGGGGGCGCGTGGGGGGGGGGGGGGGGGGGGGGCGGGGCGGGGGGGTACGGTTAGGGGGGGCGGGGGGGGGGGGGGGGGGCGGGGGGGGGGGCCGCCGTGGGGGGGGGGGGCGTTTGGGGGGGGGGGGGGGGCGGGGGCGTGTGGGGGGGCGGGGGGGGGGGGGGGGGGGGGGGGGTGGGGGGCCGGGCCGCGGGGCCTGGGGGGGCGGTGGCTGGGGGGGCTGCCGGGGGCGGCGTCTCCGCGGGTGCGGGGGGGGGGGGTGGGGGGGGGCGGGGTGGGGTGCCGGCCGGGGTGCGGCGGGGGGGGGGGCGCGTGTTGGGGCGGGGTGGGCGGCCCGGGGGGTGGGGCCCTTTCGGCGCGGGGGGGGGGGGTGTGCGCTGGGGGGCTGGCCGTGGGGGGGGGGCGGGGGGGGGGGGGGCTGCCGGGGGTGTGGGGGGGGCGGGTGGGGGGGGGGGGGGGTGCGGTGGGGGGGGGGGGGGGGGGGGGGGGGAGGGGGGGGGGGCGGGTGGGGGGGGGGGGGGGGGGGGGGGGGGTGGGGGGGGGGCGGGGGGGGGGTGGGGTGGGGGTGGGGGGCGGGTGGGGCGGGCGGTGGGGTTCCAGGGGGGGGGGCGGTGTGGGGCTTCGGGGGGCCGGTGGCGGGGAGCCAATCCTTTCTCTCCTCTCCCCTTTTCCGTTCCGTTCTTTCCTCTCACAACTGTCCCTTCCCCCTCTCCCCTTCCCCCCCTCCCCCTTTCCCCCCCCCCCTTCTCCTCTCAAACTCAAAAAAAAAAACAAAAACAAAAAAATAAGATAAACCCAAACAAAAACCACACGAAACACCCAAAAAAAAAACATAAAAAATAACCAATCACTGGTTTCAAGCTCTTGCAGAAAGTTCTCGCTCAACACCAGCACCTCAAGCGGATGCTGGTGGGCACAAGGACAGGCAGTTGGTGGAGCGCTCTCCCTACGGACACAGCTACTGGGGAGATGGTGGGGATGGTTCGGGGAAGAACCGACTCGGAGTACTGCTCATGAGACTACGAGACGATCTGACTCCAAAACCTGTAGTTCGAGCTCCTTCTCCCAAACTTCCAATCCATCCTGGATCTCCCCGCTGCTCATCTCCAGTCAAAAATCCTCCTCAGAAAAAGGCCCCAGTTGAAAGTGAATCGGCAAAGCAAGAGATTGAAGAGTGGCACGAGCTGAAACCTCTTTCCAAGTTAGCACCTTCACAACAGCCGAATCAAGATGGGCCCAAACACGGCCCACACTCCGAGCAACCAACACAGCCTAATAACGGCCGAAATGAGCAGCACGATGATGGTTTAGCACCACAACCCACCGAGCAGCATCCGCTACAGCTGGATCCACTAGCAGATGCCATGAACTATCCCGGTCAAATCACTCCCATCGTTCACCCGTCAGATCCCACTTCCATGCTTAGCTCCCAGTCTCAAACACACCCGCAGACCATGCAAGTAACAATGACAGCTTCTTCCGTACTCTCTCAAGTGGCCAGGAGCCTAGTCCAACAGTCACTCAACCATTCAACGATCTGGCATCAACTTCAAGTCTAGGGCCTATTGAAAAACCAGATGGCCAAGTTCCAGGGAGTCATGAACAACATCCAACTGGTGGGCCTCAACCCGGATCTCAAATGACGCATATTGATGATGAACCTGAAGATATGGACGTATCTGAAGGCACAATGGTATAGCTTAGCTGCCAACGTGATTATCATAATTATGTTATATAAGTATGTAATACATGCACTGTATATAATTGTAACAACACTCGACCCGAGTCCAGATATTATTCGACTGACTTACAAACACGCATGTGTAGTAAATATGAATAATGTATGACACTAAAATAATTAAAGTTCCAGCTTTGTTACGTAATATTATTCTCATTAGTCCTTTAGCGTGAGTATAAAAACACATTAACCCACAACAGTTCAAAGTTCGAATTCAGTACTGAATTGACTGCCTTCTGAGTACAAGGATAAGGTGTTTCATATTAGCTAAAGCCGTGTCAAAGTCTTTTATATCATTAGCCACTGTTGGAACTTTAGGCTCTGATGCAACTTTGGCAATAGCACCCATCGTGCCATACATGAGGATCTCATCTCGTACGGTGACACCACTCAGAT